AAGATGAGCAGATGCTGCAGATGACATCACCGGATGGATCTTTAGTGAAGTAGGCCCACACCTTACTACGGCCCTCTTTTTCCATCTGTAATAAAATAATCAGTATAAAAGTACAGTTATATATCTGTTGATACTAAGACAAAGTAAAATACATTAAATGTGGCATTTTTATACTTAAAAGTTTAAAAATTATCATGTAAATAAATGATATCAGACATTGTGGCTCAAAACCAATGGCTCTGTTTTTGTTTGGTTCCCCAGCTGTTCAGGGTTTCTCATTTAGTATTCAAGTCTTTTTTTTTCCTTCCACTGAATTTTCTACTCCTTTTGTTGTCAGGTTTTTTTTAGTTATTCTTCTTTCCCTTTTAGGATTCTTTCTTCTTTAAAAATATTTTCATTGATAGTTCCTCCTATGTTCCCCTGCTGTCCTCTGCTCCCACTCACAGCTCCTCCTCATAACTAGTCCTCTGTCATCTCTCACTCCTCAGTGCATACGGTTCAGTTTCAGTCATACTCTGCTGGTTTCAGCGTCCTAGCTACCTGATTTTATTTCTGTCACCTGATTTTTGGCATTAAAATACTTTTGAGTTTTACACTTTTGTGTTTTGATCCTTTCCAAAGCCGACAGTATTAGGAAAATAAAAATAAGATACGTTAAATGACTAGTATGTGGCAATATATAAGCCTTATGTAAAATATAAGGCTGAAAAAATACAATAGATTTATTCTATTGTAGAGAGGAATGTTTATTTTCTCGTATTACCCCCCCCCCCCCCCTCCCAGCTAGGAGAGAGAGGGGGGGGCTCCCTGCACAGGGTTTTATTGCTTTGTTGCCAACCCCCACTCGCCCGTCCTCAGCTGCGACAACGGTCGTGTGCCGCTGAAGCGCCGCGAAACGGGGACCGCCTTCATTCATCGCCCTTGTTATCCTATTCTGCAGCGCTTCGGCGCTCCAGCCCGCGCCGTGCAGCCATCGTTTCGGCGCCTGCACTATTTTTTTCGCGAGGCGCGGGTGAACCGCGTGAGTTTGAAAAGACTGCTGAAGAGTGGAGGAAATTGACTGAGAATATTCCAGAATGTCTACCAGGAAAATGCCAGCAGAAAAAGGGGAAGCAGCGTGAGCTCTGCATGGAGCGTAATGCTGCGGCAGTTTTATTTTATTTTTTCAGGTTAACTTTTCAATACAAGGCCACGAGGCACACAATAAACTTAGGAAGCATGTTGAGGGGAAACATACTTTTGTCATTGCTTATTTTACCGTTCAACTTACCACTGACACAACAAATATGCTTAAAACTGAAGACTTACCTCCTACTTCCTCATCACCGTCATCTCTGCATGGCTGAATTGCTACTGCTGCTCTGCTGCATGTGTGCTGTGACGGTGGCTCCACCCCCCGAGGAGTGAAGCCACACAACATGAGTTCATAAAGCTGGCGCGATCTGCTGGATAGGTTGCACAATATCGGCCGTCTTTTTGGCCGATAGTGTTAATGACCCCTATATCGGCCGATAATATCGGCCAGCCGATATATCCGTCGGGCCCTAATGTAAACGTAGTCACAGTTCTTGTCACAGGTTGCCTCTGAACAAGTGGTTTGTATTCTGAGCAGAGAAAAACAAGATTGTGATCTGATTGTCCAAGAGGAGGTCTTGTTTTGGACATGTATGCATTCCTTACATTTGCATAACACAAATCCAATGTCTTGTTTTCTCTGGTGGAGCAGCTGACAAACTGTTGAAATGTTGGAAGTGTAGCAGAGAGCGAGGCACGATTAAAGTCACCAGATATAGCCACAAATGCATTGGGGTGCTGGGTTTGTAGCTTAGCAACAGCGGAACTGATGACATCACATGCATTTTCAGCAATGGCTGAAGGTGGAATATAAACGGCTGCCAAAACAAAACTGGTGAACTCTCTTGGCAAATAATATGTGCAACAACTTACTGCCAGGAGTTCAAAATCTGGGCTGCAGAAACGACATTTCACTGAAACATGGCCTGGATGGTACCATCTTTTGTTGACAAGCACTGCCACTCCACCTCCTTTTCTTTTCCAGCTCCTCTTCAGATCTCTGTCTGCTCATACAGTCAGGAACCCTGGCAGAGAGATGCTGGAGTCGGAGATATGGTCCTGCAGCCACGTCTCAGTGAAACACATAATACTCCACTGCCGATACTCTGGCTGAGTCCTTAAAAGGACTTGGAGTTCATCCATCTTGTCGGCCAGTGATCTCACATTGCCCGTTATGATCAATGGAAGAAATGGTTTGAATTTCCTCTTTCTCAATTTTGCTCCCGCTCTGCATCCACGCCTCTTGAATTTTGGCTCATGTGGGATTTGTGGCTTCAGTTGAGGTATTAAAACTGATGTGCAAAACTCTCTACTCCAAGACACCATTGCTTGGGATCCCTCTGCACCACGAAATCTGACTTCCAGCTCTACTCCTGACCAATTTTCATTTTGGTCAGAGGTTGTGGTACGTGGCCGTAGGAGAGCCCCTGTGGTCGATCCCAACCCCCCCACCTGACCGCAATGTTTCAAACCGCTTCTCTCCACTTGCTGAGAAACAACCAGCTGATTCCTCCAGGCCTCCTCTTCCCTCCCAACCATCTAATCCCATCTGTAGTCTGGAAGAAGCAAACTCAGCAGTCTCTTCCCCCCCAGACTTCAACCTCTGACGCCCGACACAAAATACTAAAGGATGCTGTGCATCCACACTCTGCTGGACCTCCGGCCCTGGCTCAGGAGGTGAGCTCCTCCACGGCAAACCCTCCAGTTCCCCGACACCACAGGAACCCAAACGCAGAATCCTCCACTACTTCACGGGAACACAAATCAGGAGCCTTCTACACCCCGTCCACCGTTTTCACCAACCACTTTGCTGGTAGGTGATTCAATAATCAGGAATGTCCGCTATTTTAATGTCATGACGAGATGTTTTCCATCAGCCACCATACCTGCTCTCCTGGATAAACTTCCTGCTCTGCTGAACTCCATCCCAGCTTCAGTTAAAAGAGTGATCATGTGGATCATGTGATCAAACGATGTCACACGCCGGAAGTCTGTCATCATTCAACACCATTTTAACCATCTCTTTGACATTGTGAAGAGCAGTGGAATGTCTGTTTTCATCTCTGGCCCGATCCCCACAGTTTCTCGTGGATATGGACATTTTAGCCGTCTGCTCTCTCTCCACCCCTGGCTTCAGTCTGCTTGCAGGTAACACAGTTTTGGCTTCATCGATAATTCTAACCTGTTTTGGAACCATTTCTCCTTTTTCAGGCGAGATGGTATTCACCCTAACCTACATGGCTCAAGCATGCTAACCGCTAACATCCGGTATGCTGTGCAGTCCCATATATTTACATCTATGGTGGATTCCCTTCCACAGACATGACGGTTTACATCCCAGAGATCTTCACCTTCTTCGGCCTTTGCTCAGACCTCCACTTCAAATAACATCACTCCCTACAGTCCTCCCATGATGCAACAGTCTTCTGTGTGTCGTCCAAAGGTCACAATTCCCAAAATGTTGTCTTCTGCTGACAAACCCAAAAGTTTCCCTATTCCAGTTCATTTATCAACCAGCAAACACATGAACTGTATTCATGGCCGGAGAACCCAGAACACCAGATGTTTACGACCCATCCCTCTCCAACAGGTTAAGAAGACAAATGTTCTCCAGGATTCAGTTCAGGGTGACCCTTTAAAAGCTCGCTCCATTTCAAACAAATCCTTTATTTTAAATGAGCTGTTCACCAGAGAAAAGTTGGACTATTTATTTCTTACAGAGAGGTGGCAGCAAGATGGCTGGTTTGTACATTTAAATGAAATATGTCCACCAAACTGCTCTGTGCTTAGCACACCACGCCCGACACGTCGTGGTGGAGGTCTTGCTGTGGTCCTTAAGGACAAACATGTCTGTAATCTGGTGAAAAATGGCCCTTTTACAACCTTTGAATGCCAGGTCATCAAAGCAGGGTTATAAAATGTGTTTCACTGTATTTTAATCTACTGACCTCCCGGTCCAGCTGCCCTTTTCTCTCTGAATTAGCAGAATTTCTATCATCTATGATCAAACTAGAAAAAGTTTTAATCCTTGGTGATTTTAACTTACACATTAATGATCCTAATTGTAGCACAGCAGTGGAGTTCATCTCTATAATGGAGTCATTTAACTTAGAGCAGCCCGTTTCCGGCCCCACACTAAATGGGTCACACTCTAGATCTGGTTTTCTCTTTGGGACTAAAAATCAATCATTTACACGTTGAAGAGGTTCATGTGAGTGACCACAGCTGCATTTTCTTAAATGTCCTATCTGATGTTGGATCTGTCCCTCACATCCTAAAAGCAGAGACGTATCATTAATCAGTCAGCGGTGGATGGATTTTCTAGATGGTTTGACAGCAGCTCAGTTCAGGGTGATGATCCAAGCTTGTTCATCCAGTCATTGGGTAAACAACGCTGCAGTATCTTAGATAAAGTAGCTCCTGTTAAGCAGGTCACTTTTTCTAGCAAGAGAAAAAGTCCCTGGATTAATCAAAACATTTAGTCTCAGAAGGACACGCCGCAGAGCCGAGAGACGTTGGAAGTCAACTAGATTAGAAAGTCACAGGCTGTACTTTAAAGAACTGATAACATCTCTGAATGAGACGGTGAAAACTTCCAGGGCCGCTTACTTTGCTCAACTGATCGCTGTAAACAAAAATAACTCTAAAGTCCTGTTTGACACCATAAACCAGATTATTTCACCTCACATCCCTCTTATGCCAGTTTACTCAAGGTCTGACTGTAAATGTGAAAAAAAAATAGCAGATCCTAGCAAAGATCCTTTAAGCTTCACAGCATCAGAAACAGAAAAGTAAAAAGTCCCCAAAAACACAGTTTTTCTTAAGAAACTAGAAGAAAAAATGTCCAAAAAAGGCAAAACTTACATAAAGTCAACAGAGCGCGCACGGACACACACACGCGCGCGCGCGCGCGCACACACCAGTACCTGTGTCCATGCTGATGAAGCAGTCCCAGCTGATGGATGATCCTGAAGTGGTAGCAGGTTTTCTTTAGCCGTGTTTAGCTAACAGCTGCAATAGAAACAAAGCAGGAGAGCTGATTAAGATGCTGCTTCAGAACAACGCAGGAGATTAAAGATCCAACGCTTTGGTTCTGATCAGCTGAGGACACATCCAGTCTGGAAAAGAGGACCTTTGCTCACCAGAGTTCACGGAGTAGAGCTAACCGCTTTTTCCTCCAGAGTCACATTCAGATTCGGGCCTTTTCCGTCGGAGAGTGTGAGCAGGATGGATGAGAGAGCGAGCAGCGATCCTGCATCATGACCAACTCAGATGAGCGAGTCTGATAGAGGGAACCTCTTCAATCTGATGAAAGCAGCAAAACGAGCGCGTTTCTCAGAGAGGCCAAAGGAACAACAACAAGCTAGCTCTGCTAGCAGCTTCCGGTTCCTGCTTCTTCCGGTGGTTGGTGACTAGCGTAAAGGTGCACTACCGCCACCTGCTGGACTGGATAAGCATGTATTCTGTTCCACAGACCTGTGTTCAGGATTACTTTCTGTTTTCTTTCTTTGAACAAACTGAAAAAGATCTTCAGCAGCAGACAAATGCTTTCTGTACAGAATGGGATGTCGTTGATACTTTTGTCTTTAGTTGAAGCTGCTGTGAGAGGCAAACAGAACATTTAGTGAAGGTGCTGATGTGGGGATTGTTTGATGTAATGCTTGATGAGATCACCAGAGGGCGGTGCTCTTGTTTTCTCCACTCAGAGCCCTGATGGGCCAAAATAAAGAATAGTGTTGATGCTAATGATAATAATATTCCTCATATAATAGACTGAATGTAATAGTATATATAATAAATATACTCAGTATAATGACATCCTACATAAAATGTAGGACTGAAAGTTGGATTTCAGGTACAGTTCATAGTCCAGTCTCATCTTGAAGACTGCGTTTATGTTGTTTTTATTGGTGATCACAAATCAAAACTCATCATCATGACGTGGGGTTCCCCAAGGCTCATTTATTGGAACACTGCTCTTCAATCTCTACATGCTCCTCCTGTGTCAGGTCATACACAATAACGTTAATTCAATTCAAATCAAGTTTATTTATAAAGCGCCAAACAAACCATTACAAGAGTCACCTCAAGGACCTTCACACAGTAAACATTCCATTACAGTTCATTGAGCTAATGAGTAAAAACATTCCTATCTAGGGAACCCAGCAGGTTGCATCGAGTCACTAACTAGTGTCAGAGTCTTTACAGCAATCCTCATACTAAGCAAGCATGCAGCGACAGTGGAGAGGAAAACTCCCTTTTAACAGGAAGAAACCTCCAGAGGCTCCTGGCTCAGTTTATGTTTATGTATTTAGCAGACGCTTTTGTCCAAAGCGACTTACAAGTGAGAATCGGCATGTTGCCCTTGAGGCTAACAACAACAATAACAACAACTTGACATCAATCATGGAGAGGAGGGAACAAAAGTGCAGGGAGGGTGCTAGTTTACAAGATGCTCTCTGAAGAGCAGGGTCTTCAGGAGTTTCTTGAAAATTGAAAAGGAAGCCCCTGTTCTGGTAGTGCTTGGTAGGTCATTCCACATTTGTGGAACAGTGCATGAGAAGAGTCTGGATTGTCCTGAGCGTGGTGTAGGCACTGCCAGCCGACGATCCTATGATGACCGGAGCAGCCGGGCCAAGACGTAAGCCTTTGCAAGAGGATTCACGTAGATGGGAGCCGTAGCATCCCTGACTTTGTATGCTAGTGTTAGCAATTTGAATTTGATGCATGCTGCTAGCGGTAGCCAGTGGAGCTCAATGAACAGAGGGGTGACATGTGCTCTTTTTGGCTGATTGAAGACCAGACGCGCCGTTATGTTCTGGACCATTTGAAGAGGTCTCACATTACAGCCTGGAAGACCAGTTAGAAGGGCGTTGCAGTAATTGAGGAGGGAGATGACAGTAGATTGCACCAGGAGCTGGGTGGCATGTTGTGTTAGGTATGGTCTGATCTTTTGTATGTTATACAGCGCTAAGCGGCATGAATGAGCAACAGAGACAACATGATCTTTAAAGCTCAGGTGTTCATCAATCACAACACCCAGATTTCGAACTGCCTTTGAAGGAGCCAGAGATAGGAAGTAATTTTGGATTGAGATATTGTGCTGTATGGATGGTTTTGCTGGGATGACAAGCAGTTCAGTTTTAGAGAGGTTGAGTTGGAGATGGTGGGATTTCATCCATTTTGATATGTCAGAGAGACAGTTTGATATTCGTGCAGAGACAGTTTGGTTGTCCAGTGGAAATGACAGATAGAGCTGGGTGTCGTCTGCATAGCAGTGGTAGGAGAAGCCATGTGATTGAATGATCTCACCCAGTGAGGTGGTGTATATGGCAAAGAGAAGAGGTCCTAGTACAGAGCCCTGGGGGACTCCTGTAGCAAGATGGTGCACGGTAGAGGATTGTCCAAGCCAAGATACACTGAATGATCGTCCTGTGAGGTACGGTTCAAACCAGGTGTGTGCTTTCTCTGTGATGCCCATGCTAGAGAGTGTGGACAAAAGGAAGCCATGGTTGACAGTGTCAAATGCTGCCGATAAGTCGAGCAGGATAAGCACTGAGGATTTGGCAGTTGCTCTAGCTTCTTTTAAGGATTCAGTCACTGCTAACAGAGCAGTTCAGTGGAGTGGCCCTTTTTGAACCCAGACTGGTAAGGGTCAAGCAGACAGTTTTGTGAGAGGCATTCCGTGACCTGCTTGAAAGCCACCCTTTCAATGATTTTGGACAGAAAAGGGAGGAGAGAGATAGGTCGGTAGTTCTCCACATGATTTGGAGGAAGAGATGGGGTTTTTAGCAGCGGTTTAACTTGAGCATGCTCAGGCTGAGTCATGGTGGATGGCTGCTCAGTATAAGCAACACACACACACACAACAAGTAGTATGTCTATAGTTATATTGTGATTTTTTAGTAAATATTCTATTTGGTGAAAGATAAACTTTATAGTATTTATCCTAGTGGATCTATAATTAAACGGGTAAACTAGCAGTAGCACATCCAACGTCAAGGAAAGCAAAAAGTTATTATCAGGAGAGAGAGAATGTATCAGTGGTTAGCAGCAGTGTGCTACACGATGGCCCCCTCCATGAGGCCACCACAGCTCAGCAGAACATTGTTGTAGCTTCTTCTGGGGAGAAAAACACTTAGAGAGAAAATAAAGTTAACAGCTGAAATAGCAGGAAATAATACAGTTAAAGAGCAGATTGTAGAAGAAAGCAGTAGAGTGTGGAAAGTGGTCAGTGTGTCCTCCAGCAGTCTAAGCCTATAGCAGCATAACTACAGAGATAACACTGGATAACCTATCCTATTTAGATGGAGGCATGTTGGAGGCAGGGCAAGGGAGAGCCGTCTTTACCGACTGTACACTCCACCTCCCTCTACTGCCCCACTTGTCCAGATTTAGGCTAATATCAGATTTTAACCATAGGCCCTATCAAATAAAAATGTTTTAAGCCTATTCTTAAAAGTAGACAAGGTGTCTGCCTCATGGACTAAAGCTGGGAGCTGGTTCCACAGGAGAGGAGCTAGAAGATTTGGTTTTGTTTTATATTTTAACGACGGACACATTTGATCTGTATTAATAAAAGGCTTAAACGTTACCAGTCTCCTCTGCATGGTCAGTGTCTCCCTACTTCTCCGGCACGATGCCACACACGCTTGCCGGTCCGAGTACCGCTGAGATCCTAACGGGGAGCGGTGGAGGATCAGGGGTGACAGGGCCTCCACCAGTGGCAGACACACTCTGGTGGTGGCAAAAAATCTTTTTGGTCCATTTTTTTCTATATCCGCCACAGATCTCTAGGAAGAACTCAAAGCATTGCAAAAGCACTTCCTTTCATTTTTCTACCTCGCCCACAAGTACCTCAATTTCTGCTTTGGTGAAATTGCGCTTCCTTGATCTGCGGTCGCCATCATTAATGGTGAAATGCTGCAATGAGCTGGCTTATGTATATGCATGAGATCCACAAGGCACTTTGCATTGACCATTTATGGCAGAAAGTGGGCGTGTTGAGGGCGGGATGTGATCCAGAAACACCTGAGAACATTTCTAGGTAGAGTGTGATTTATGAAGCGGAGATTGCGTGAAGCTGTGCGTAGGATGAGCTGGATACTTGTTTCAGACGAGTATCCGGTACGGATAAAGAATTTTTGATAGATACGAGCATGAAATGAGTAAAACTCGTAAATATCTGTTATCGTGCTGAAGGAAGATCCTCATTGGGTAACTGACTGTCTTCATGCTCTGTGATTGGCCAGTCACATAGAGCGCCAACAATAGGAAATTAAATTGTATAATCTCCTTCTCTCGGTTTTGGATGTTCAGAGGAAGAAGCTGGTTTTTTGCTTTGTAAAATATTTGCACTATATTATATTTTACAATGTCGATGACCTTGACCAGATTATAAAATAGATTATAGAATAGTTATTTTTTATTTAGTTATTTATTACATTAGTAATGATCCTTATTGCTCATTTTTGAAGATAACATGGTCATGTGGTCAGTAGCAGCTACGCTAGGGGGAGGAGATTATGTGATGACATCACATATGCGGCGTTGACGATTTCTGGTTTGTAGTCACAAACTTTTGCAAGCTAATAAATCTTAAAGTACATGACTGGTGTGGTCCAAACACCCATCATTAGTTTACATTTAAATAGCAGAACAACATATGTGTGATCCAGGGCGTAAGGCAAAGCGGGTTAGAAAATAGCGTTTTTAGACCCGCTGACTTGCATTTATTTTTTCCTTCCTCCGGGGACCCATGAGCCGACCGGAAAGGGAGGAGACTTTGGCTCTCTATTGTGGACTCATGTTGCTTCCTGGGCACCACCATCTCCCAAGACCTTAAGTTGGAGCCCACCATCACCTCCATCATAAAAAGGCCCAGCAGAGGATGAACTTCCTGTGGCAGCTGAAGAAATTCAACCTATCAGTACAGTCGATGAGGCAGTTCAGCACCGCAGTCATCGAGTCCATCCTCACCTCTTCCATCAGCGTGTGGTACGCTGGAGCCACCATCAGTGACAAGAAGAGGCTGCAGCGTGTTGTACGCTCTGCTGAGAAGGTCATGGACACAGTCTCTTTGACTCCAGTCACCTGACCCTGTGCTGAAGCGATCAGCAACAAACTACCGTGTTCTGTCTTCCTCATGTCATACTGCAACCCAAACAAAAGCCTTTCACAAACCTGGAAGCCTACAGCTGTTTTATTTCAGGTTAGTAAGTCAACATTTAGGATTATGCAGATATAATTTACCCAGCAATCAGGGTCAGTTAGCCTCTAGTCCAGCAGGTGGCGCTAGCGCACCTTTACGCTGGTCACGGACCACCGGAAGCAGCAGAAACCGGAAGCTGCTAGCAGAGCTAGCTTGTTGTTGTTGTGGTGTGTGAGGAGAAGATTTGAGGCTCTGCAGTAAAAATGTCTTCACTTCAGTCTCTGGGAGAGTTGATCAGCTAAAGCGACTAACTGCTGCTGCTGCAGAAATCTTCTCACCAGGCTGTGGAAACTTTCTTCTCCTCCTCAACAACTTGGTGGAGTTCTTTCCAGAAGCAGAGAAGCTATTCTGCGGTCTTCGTGACAATCGGAGCTCCAGAAGCAGGTGATGGGTGAGAAAAGCTTTTCTCTAGACTTCCTGCCCTCTGGATCTGCTGCTGTTCCTTTGGCCTCTCTGAGAAACGCGCTCGTTTTGCTGCTTTCATCAGATTGAAGAGGTTCCCTCTATCAGACTCGCTCATCTGAGTTGGTCATGATGCAGGATCGCTGCTCGCTCTCTCATCCATCCTGCTCACACTCTCCGACGGAAAAGGCCCGAATCTGAATGTGACTCTGGAGGAAAAAGCGGTTAGCTCTACTCCGTGAACTCTGGTGAGCAAAGGTCCTCTTTTCCAGACTGGATGTGTCCTCAGCTGATCAGAACCAAAGCGTTGGATCTTTAATCTCCTGCGTTGTTCTGAAGCAGCATCTTAATCAGCTCTCCTGCTTTGTTTCTATTGCAGCTGTTAGCTAAACACGGCTAAAGAAAACCTGCTACCACTTCAGGATCATCCATCAGCTGGGACTGCTTCATCAGCATGGACACAGGTACTGGTGTGTGTGTGTGTGCGCGCGTGTGTGTGTGTGTGTGTGTGTGTGTGTGTGTGTGTGTGTGCGTGCGTGTGTGTGTGTGTGTGTGTGTGTGTGTGTGTGTGTGTGTTTATGACTGACGCAGGAAAAACAGAAACTAGCTTCGGGTCTGAGCTCTGGGCAGCTGGTGAATATAAACCCAGTTCATATTTAAATAGATGGTAAAGTGTAGTTACACCGAATTTCTACAATTGTAATGCAATGTCTGGCCAACACCTTTAATATCCAGTTGACTCTGGAAATAAGTAATTTGGGAATAGAATAGAATAGAATAGAATAGAATAGAATAGAATAAACTTTATTGAATCCACTGTGGGTAAATGCACTTGTTGCAGGAGCACCAACACATAAAACAATAATTAGAAGAAAAATAATAACAAGGTACCTGTATGTACACATAGGCAGTAGTCTAGTATTGTAACCTTCAACCGCTAAAACCACAAATCCTAATGTAAAACCTGGGTTCCAGAACTATGCAGCATACTACAAGAGACACGGCACCTGGAGAATTTGTGATGCATCAAAAGAAAGACAGTGGTTTGTGCCGTGTCGTTAGCTGCTGGTAAACATTCAACCCACTTGGTGAATGCACAGGTCACATTTAAGAAGTATTTTTTACCCCTGCTGGATTTGGTGAGGGGTCCCACCCAATCAAATAGCAGGTCGGACCACGGTGAAGACGGTACTCTCTGAAAAGGAGCTTTGTGGATGGGGCTCGAGGGCTGAAAACTGACAACAAACCTAACAGCTCTGAATTAGGGGTGGGCGATATAGCCTAAAATCTATATTGCGATATATTTTGAAAAATGTGCGATATATGGCTTTCTTTTGCGTATATGTCAAAAACGACTGTTTCTAAACATACTCATACCAGGTCCATTGCAGCAGCAGAGTAAACACACTTCAAAAAGTATAAAATGCCATTTTAAGAATATTTATTGTGCAAAAATCAAAAAGCTTTTCAAGTAATATTTAAGATGTGTAACAGCAGGGTTTCCCTTACATAGGCGTAGCCACAGCTGAAATCCCACCGCCACGCCTACAAAATCCCAAGTTGTTTTTTTTTTTGTGCTGTTTCCCGAAGAAGCAGCGGGAACTACTATGTTGTCGCTTGTGATCTCACCCGGCGGCCAGCAAGGAGGAGCAGGCAGGGCAAGGTGCAGTTACAGCATAAGTTACGGAGTTTAAAATTAGAAAGGCAGCAGTGGATATAATGCTTTGTGGTTTACATGTTTCAGCAGCATTAAGATAAATGAGTGTTGATGATCTTGACAGGGTTTCCTCCAGTGCTTATTAGGCCAGGTTCTCCTCCCCCCACCAGGCTAATCATCACTTATTCATGTAAAATTTATTTATTTTTTCATGTCTGACTTTAACCGCATCTAATACTGTATTACGGCGTGAGCGCAACAGCGACAACTTAAGATCGATGTGTGAGCAGCCTGAGAGGTCGGGTGTTTTCATCTGAACCCTTAAAACCTCCAGCAGGCTACGCTGCACTATTGACGTGTTAGCGCGCGGCGCTAACAACTTAGCAACGTGACGTCTCGGAGAAAGCGTAAAAACACGTTGGACGCTTCTTCTGAAGCGGGAAAATAACGCCTGTCTGCCTACAGAGCACTTCTCTGCATTTCTTCTGGAAGTCCCTATTTTTAGAAATAGATTTAATTAATTGGTCATTCAACACGATTGATAAGATCTTTTCTACGATGAGAACGGAGGAGGGGGCTCCCACTTGCCCTCAAGGGACACACACAGCGGGATGTACGCTCGATTCCTGGTAGGTCTGGAGGATCGTATGCCTCTCTCAGTTGTCCATTGAGGATGTCGAAGACATGTGGATATTTGGCTTGATGATCACTGGATTTCTTCCGATCGGAGTGGGAGGATATCTGGTTTCCTGGTAATTTGGGAAGTCGTGAGTGATTGGACTGCGACCCGCACCCACGGAAAGCACCGCCCGGGCGGTGACCTCACAGACTGGGACGTTACTCGAGGTGAATCGTAAGCTGGACAATGTCCTTGCTGCGTTAACGGTATTGGTGCGCAAAATGGACGTCATCTCGGAGAGGGTCACTGGACGGTGTGGGGATGTTTAAAACCTGAATTGGCTTCACTGGAGGACTTGAATGATCAGTTACAGACTTCAAGGCAGAGAGGAAAATTATCTCTGCCTGACCCAAACAAAGTCTTGTTATCCAAATCTGACGCCAAGGCAGCCTTGAGCTGCTAACAACAACCCCCACGAAGGAAGGAATGCAGACAGATGCTGTGAAAACCAGTCCTACCCCCCCACCTTCAGATTGTGGACTTCTGCCTAGCGAGCTCATCAATCTGCAGGAACTCAATGTGCTCTGCGCTCCTCCCAGATCTCCCAGCCACCTGTGGATACAGGTGGCTGAGTGCCACACAGGGCTGTTCCCGCTGAGGAAACAGGATCCCAGACCCCCCCCCCCCCCCCCCCCCCCCCCCCCCCGCCTCCCTATCGGAGTCTCATGTTGTGAACTGTGATGGTCGTGCTTATATGTTTGAGGTGTTTTTTTGCATAGTAGAGCTACGCCCTGCCAGGAGTAACTCTGGTATGCCTTTTTTTCCCTCCCCCAACTTTCCTCATGTAATCCCCTTTTCATCTAATTGAAATGAGCGCCGTTATGGCTGCTCTCGTGGTCTGCCTGTATCTGTTCTGTGTACATGTGTGTGTGTAACCTTGGTCAGGCTGTTCTGCGAAGTCACTCTACCTCTAGACCAGTGAGAAGTCATTCAGTTTGAAAAGTAATTTCCTGTTTTCTGAGTCAGTTCTGTTCTCACCAACTTAAAGCAATAATACTACTGTTATATGTGTGAATGTGAAGTTCCATTCATCATTCATTCACATCACATGTCTGTGTTTCCTACAGATGTTCAACAGCTGGTGCTGGTTAAAGAAGAAGCTCCTGGTGAGGACCAGCAGCACCCAGAACACCTCCACATAAAGGAGGAACAGGAGGAACTCTGGACCAGTCTGGAGGGAGAGCAGCTCCATCTGAAGGAGGAGACTGATGCTGCCAGGTTTCCAGTCACTGTAGTTACTATAAAGAGTGAGGATGATGAAGAGAAACCTCTGATCTCACAGCTTCATCAACAGCAACTAGAAGACAGAGATGTTCCAACCAGCAGCTCAGCTGACCAGATGACAGCAGAAACTGGTGGAGGAGCAGAGAGTAGCAGGAACGCTGATCTGAACCTTCATGAACAGACATCTGATTCTTCAGAGACTGAAGTTAGTGGAGATGATGAAGAGGATGATGATGTGAATGTAGATTTTGAGCAGTCAGACTCTGGGTCTGAAACTGGAGACAAAGACTGTGACTGCACTAAGAACAGGTCTTCCGAGTCAGATATTAGGACTGTCAACAAATCCTTTAACTGTCCTGAGTGTAGTAAACATGTGAGAGTGACAGGTCATTCACCAAAAATGTCTTCAAGTTGTTTGGTTAAAAAGAAATTTGTCAGAGTGAAGCAACATGTAGACTCATGCAGGAAATTCCAGAAAGACCTAAAATCATTTAGTTGTGATGACTGTGGAAAACAATTTAGTGTAAATTCAAATTTAAACAGTCACATGAGGGTCCACACAGGACAGAAGCCTTTTGCCTGTGAGCTCTGTGGAAAAACATTTAGACAAAAGGTTACTTTAAGCAATCACATGAGAGTTCACACAGGACAGAAGCCTTTTCCCTGTGAGCTCTGTGGTCAAAGATTTAGACAAAAGGTTACTTTAAGCAATCACATGAGAGTTCACACAGGACAGAAGCCTTTTGCCTGTGAGCTCTGTGGTCAAAGATTTAGCCATAAGGCAACATTGAACAGTCACATAATAGTCCACACAGGACAGAAGCCTTTTGCCTGTGAGCTCTGTGGTCAAAGATTTAGGCTTAAGACAACGTTAAATACTCACATAATAGTCCACACAGAACAGAAGCCTTTTGCTTGTGGGCTCTGTGGTCAAAGCTTTAGCCGAAAGACAACTTTAAACAATCACATGAGAGTCCACACAGGACAGAAGCCCTTTGCCTGTAAGCACTGTGGTAAAAGATTTGGCCGAAAGGCAACTTTAAATGATCACGTGAGAGTTCACACAGGAGAGAAACCTTTTGCCTGTGAGCTCTGCGGTCAAAGATTTGGCCGTAAGGCAACTTTAAATGATCACATGAGAGTTCACACAGGACAGAAGCCTTTTGCCTGTAAGCTCTGTGGTCAAAGATTTAGCCATAAGGTAACTTTAAACAGACACGTAATAGCCCACACACGACAGAAGTCTTGCCTGTGAGCAATGTGGAAAAAAATTTAGCCATAAGACATATTTAAATAATCACATGAGAGTCCACACAGGACACAATGAACAGGAGCCACAAAGGTGTGGTTCACTGAAAAAACAATTGTTAATAATTATTTCTGATAATAACTGGTCACAGTTTTTCATGCAGGCTGAAAATGGAAATAACCTCCTACACGTATCTCCTGCATTAGCTTCTGATACATTTGGCTGCAACAACGAATAGATAAATTCGATGAAAATCGATTACTAAAATCGTTGGCAACGAATTGCGTCATCGATTCGTTGTGTTGCACAACTCTTCCAAAAGCCCCCTCCCGCCCGCCGTTGCGCGCAGACCGGAGAGCCGGCAGGTGTTTGGAAGAGGAACATGGCAGAAGCAGCGAGACCCAAAAAAAGTAAAAACTTCTAAAGTTTGGGAGCATTTTCAGTTAAATCAGGCGAAGACATTTGTTACCTGCAACGTTTGTAGGTCAGACTTAGCATGGCACGGGAGTACTACGGTGATGATTTAGCATCTTAAACGCAAGCATGTCAGAATCATCAGCGAGGAAGGAGAGAGCTCTGTGTCCGGTAAGTTAAAAACTTTTCAAAAGTGATTCACCCAAGCCCTGGATTATTACACAGGCTAGACATGCCCTAAGCTCGTAAAAAATAAATAAAATCGTAAGTGCAACGCTATTAGATAGTCGGGGGGGGGGACTCGCGCTGCTGCAAACCGGTTCCGCCGTCACATTCCTGCAGAAACTGGTTGATCACACCGGGGCCAGACTACTAGCATGTGGCTTTACAACCACAATGTCCTCGGAAGCAAAAACACTTTTAAAAGGGAGGGAGGAGTCCTAACTGTTGCTGCAGGCGTGTTGTGTGAGAGTGCAGTTATATACTGGTTAATATATTTTTGGGTTCAGTTGCTTTCATGTGGCCTAATGTGAGTCTATTTGGGATCATTGGAATGATCAGCAGCATTTCTTGATGTGACTTTATGGCAGTTGCCCAGGGCATCATCGCAAGGAGGATGGCATTCATTTACTTTTGTTTTATTTGGTATTTTTTCAGTCATTTTTGGAAATAGTGATTAATTTTGATTAATTCACAGCCTATGTTTAATTACATTTAAAAATTAGTTGTTTGACATCCCCAATTATAATAAATGTCAACAGATGAGATCAAACAAAACAGATGAGAATTGTTGCTGTTTAACTTGGACCAAGCATTTTAGGTCACAGATTGGTGTAGCTTAGGGTCTCTGTCTATACACCTTATAAGACAATTTAGGTGATGGCATGTTGTTTTTCTGCTATTGAACTGTTTTCTAATAATGTTGTGTTTAATAAAGTGAAGGAAGGAGAGAAATAACGTTTCCCTAGCAGTTTTTAAAAATGTCCCCATGTAATCCGATTAATCGTGTCGAGACCCCATCCGATTCATCGATTATCCAAATAATCGTTTTTTGCAGCCCTACTGATAAACATGTCGAAAATAGACAGTGAAACTCTAGGATTTGAAATTCCCCAGAGATCTACATCACGCTGAGTTAGCATTCACAGACTCACCAATCTTGGCTAAAAAACTTTCCTTGTAGTTTGTGTATCCTAGATACAAATCTTGCACCCCTGGTTGTTGTCCTTTACCCTACTACCCACCTAAATCTGTAAATTAATCCCACAGAGAAGTGTAATTTCTCACGGACTGCGTAAAATCGATCAGCTGTTACTCTGTGTGCCGTTTGCTCCCACCGAACTGGGCTAAAGGGCTTTGGTTCACTCTGCTCCTTCTGCATGGAGCAGGCTGCAGGAAAACTGGAAATTAACTGAGGTTATCTCCTTGACTACATGTAAAACCAGACTAAGAACCCTTGAGAGGATTCCCTGTGTTGTAACTGCCTTCTGTAATTTTGTACATAACATGTAACTGTAACTTTGTAACTGTAACTTTGCTGCCTCTTGGCTAGGACTCCCTTGAAAATTAGGTTTTTAATCCCAAAGAGACCTTCCTGGTTAAATAAAGAGTAAAATAATTAAATAAATAAATAGATCATGGGCCACCTCTTCCTGTCCTGATGGGTGGCGTGGAGGTGCTAAAGTACCGCACGATGAAGGGACGTGGGGACAACGACGCAGTCATAGTACAGCAGGACCCCATCTTGCGCATACACCGACTCACAGACCTTAGACAGGTCGGCCAGCTCCGGGTCCTTTGGGTCAGTGCTGCCCCCGTCTTCAATGAGGTGCAGGAGGTGGGAGAGGCATGCGTCCGCGGCCGTCTCCTGTGCAAGGAGCGGCCATGCAATGGCAGCAGACTCCAGTGCGTCGCTGCAAATGGACGCCATATGCACCGACTCCTCACTATCTGTCCCATTCCATGCGCCCATGCATCGGCCCTCATCAGAGCCAGAGGGCGAGGGATACCTGGAAGCTGCGTCGACAGCGCAGTTGCTCTTGCCAGGCAAGTGTACAATATCAAAGCGCCATGGGAGTGTGCGCTGTTTGAGCCTGAACAGGCGAGAGTTAGTTATCTCATCCAATGTCCGGTCCCCAAGGATCTTCACCAGGGGCTTATGGTCGGTGACCACAACCAGGTTGTCGCACCCCTGTGTGAAGTATCTGGTCTGCTCCAGACCCCTTGCTACAGCCAAGGCCTCCCCCTCAATAGCGGCGTACCACTGCTCAGTCGAGGAGAGAATGCGTGAGCCAGCCAGAGTAATTTTCCATCCATCCGGACAGCAGCAAGGGACACCGGAGCTGCAGGTGCATTGCTGCTGGAGGAGGAAGTATCTAATGCCGCGCCTGGACCAGTCTGGGCGGAGACAATTGCCCCTCTCCATGTCGTAGATCTCTATGCCTGCCCAGATAGAGTCCACGATGGCCAGCTTGGATGCCTGAAATGCTGCCTCTAACTTGGGTGACCACACAAATTTGCATCGAGGGCTCAGAAAGGGCTTAAATGGTGCCATTATATCACGCAGCTGCGCATAGTTGGCCACCTGATTGACCAGACCAAACCAGCTCCTGATGTCCGTGGTCGAGGTAGAAGTGGGGAAGTCCCTGATGGCTGTCAGGTACTTTGGGAGGGGCTCGATTGTAGCATCAGAGACCCTGAAACCAGCAAAATCAACGTCCCTCTCGGCAAATTGAAACTTGGATGGGGTCAACACTATGCCGGATTGGCCAACGTACGTCAGGAAGTCAATTTTTCTCCACCAATGAGTTTTAAGGTCGGTGTCATAGTGGATGGTGTCATCCACGCACCTTTCCTTCCGTTCAAAGTCGGAGAGGATCGCATCAAAGCGGCGATTGTAGCCATCGCCAGACGACAGAAAGCCCTGTGGGGCTCTGGTGTAACGCCAGCGGCCGAAGGGAGTGATGAAGGTAGTGAGATGACAGTCTGACTCGTGCAGGGGCACACTGTGATACCCATTCCAGGCGTCAGTGACAGTCTTCCAGGTCCCTTTCAGGATCCGGCGTGCCAGGTGGAATGGAGACTCGGTTGCGAAAGTCTCACGTTTGCAGAATTTGTTAAGAGGTGAGATATCGACGGTGCTGCGGGGGGTTCCGTCGTACTTCCGGGCGACCACCATCCGGTGAAACCAGGTCACTGGTTCGCCATATGGGAAATGTTCGATGACGCCCAGGGACTCGTCCTGTAGGTCGTCATGCACCCTCTGTTGCCAATGCAAAGGCAAGGCCGCCGCGATGTGGCACGTCTTTGGCGTTGCCGCCGGGTCAACGTGTATTTCTATGGGTGGACATTCCATGCATGGTAGTGGCCAATGGGGGCAAGTGTTGAATGTTGAAGATGCGTACCTGTCAAGCATTCATGCTGTCATCCGGTGATTATTCTCTGGGGAGCATGGGAACGGCAGCTCCGCGGGGCGCAGAGTCGGGGCGCTGCGTTGAGGACATGAGCAACAAGCCACATGATGGGAAGCCATGCCTCCGTCGCAGACTTCTCCCAGGCATGAGACTTTGGTGAGCCCACCGCAACGGCCGGCGGCTTCAAGGTCACGGCCCACTGCCGAGTTGCCCTCACCCGTGCAGGATGGAAACCTGCTAGGCAGAAGGCCGAGGCTGAGCAGGGAGTCATACGAGAGGTTCATCGCGTGAACTGACCTGCTAACATATTTCATTGCGCAGCAGGACATCACCTCACCACCAGGGACAGCAGTGGATAGTTTGGCAAAGAAGGCGCCCTCGATGTCAATGGGGGAGCTGTTCACTGCTGATAGGTTTAGGGCCACCGGGTGGAGGGCGCTCCGTGCGAAACCGCACACCAGAAACTCCTCCAGGGACCACAGGTCTGACTGAGCCCCCGTGTCTGCAATGGCAGACATGGTGGCCTCTGCAGCCGGGCATCTGGCACCGGCTCCACTAGTGAACCTCACGTTATCATCAATCTGGATGGAGATGGGCACTCGGGGGTGGTCCCTGAGCATTGCGCGCCGCCATTCGCCCTTGGAGAAGATGTGATGGCTGAGTCTGATCGGCGTGGGCCCATCACTGCAGCTATGCGTCCCCAAGGTGCGGGTCAGTGCGTGTCTCTGCGGCGTCCATTAGGGCAGACGCCCAACGTGACGGATGAGACCTGCGATATCACGTCATAGCCTACAGCAGCCTGTTGTCCGTCCATGTGTGGCTGGTGCCGTGCCCGTCTCTTCTGGGCCCGGAAGCAGTCGGCACACATTCGATGAGGCTTGGTGTTCCAACCCCGAGATCCCTCAGAAAAAACGCAGAAAGACACTTTACAATCAGGGCATATAGCCCTAGCAGACCTGTCTGGTGGGGCCTGAGAGGAAGCGGGCCCTGATGGTGGCATAGCTTGTCTGCGCCTGAACGAGGACATAGCTGACAGGCTGGAGGAGGGGAGGGCATTGCGAGCCATTTCTCTGTTCTCCACCAGTGCAATTATATTATTCACAGACTTACACAGAACATCATGAGTACCCAACATGTCCCTTCGTATATCAGAGTCATTAATCCCATTAATCAGTACACCACGAATAATATGACCAGAATAGTCAACTGACTGCCCGCATCCGCACACAGCGTTGTAGGCGCAGGTTTCTGCTTTGCCACGCACCCTGGCGGCAAATGCACGAAAGGGCTCGTCACGATCCTGGCGTAGTTGAAGCAGTTCAGTCCTCAGAACGCATGTGGCAACCAGTATCACCGCCAGAGAGCGCATGGCAGCCAGCAGAGTCTCAACCGGTCCAGTTGCAGCATCCGGGTTAGCCTTTAGCAAACTGTCCCCAAGTTCCGGACCGGCACACTGAAACAGCTGGAAGGGGGCCTGGGCATCACCCATGCCCGAACCAGCGCAGAAGAGGTCCCAGCGGCGTGTAAAGACGTTCCATTCCTCGATGGACATGCCGACATCCACTTTCGGTCGATTCTGCGCAGGGCCAGGCAGGCCCGGGGCCCGAACGGACGCCGTGAGTTCGGTCCGGCTCTGATGGGCCAGGCCATGGTTTGCCAGCAGCGCCACGGCGAGAGCCTCGGACACGTCATCGGTGGCAAACGTGCAGGCTGGAACGGAGCATCTGACGACCACCATGGCTCCTTCATGAAGAAATACACTCCTCTGTGTCAAATGGCTTTATTGACAAGGATGAAGGAGCCTGCGGCGACATACAAAGCTGAGTGAGCAGAAGCTAATGGCAGCGTGAAGCAGCAGCATGGGCTGAAGACCAAAGCTAAGCAATGCGATAAAATAGGTAAATAAATGCAGCGCGGCTTAGCGTGCATACTGACAATGTGACCATTACATTAGCTTAACAATCAGGTGAGGACTTACCAGAGGTGGAAAGAGTACTAAAATTTCCTACTTAAGTACGAGTACCAATACTTTGATAATTTTTTACTCAGTTTCAAGTAAAAGTACTTGCCTAAATTTTTACTCAAGTAAAAGTAAAAAGTATCGTAAACAAAATGTACTCAAAGTAAAAGTTACTTAGTTACATTTTTGTCAGCGTAAGGATGGCTACATCTAAGTCACATATGTCAGACTCAAGGCCCGCAGGCCAGATGCGGCCCGCGGAGCATTATTATGTGGCCCGCGAGATAAATATCAAAAATATATTAAAACTGGCCCGCTGGTCGATTTTACCGCAAAGACTACAACTCCCATGATGCTTTGTGGCGTCAGCGCGGAGCCGACGCGCCCCCTCCTTTGTGTTTTTTCAGTGCCTGCTGCCGGTGTCTGCAGCTCCGCTGTCTCGGACAGACTACACTCCTCTCACTCAGCGCCGAGTTCACTCAGCTGTTTTCTGACGTTGAAGCCCAGAAACGGAGATTCTAGCCGCTCAGTAATGTGTTCACGACTGAAAGAGAAAGTTTTCCAACTAACGTCCAGACAGAGCTGATATAACTCCAGCGAGCAGCGACACGCTCAAACCAGCACGGCTCTGTGGTCGTGTTTCCTCCCCGACACACAACAACGCGGTCAAGCTGCTCAGACATGTTCATCAGCACAAACCTATGTGAGCACCTGTTGTCATCTAATGTTGTCATTATTATGATGAAGATGAACAAAACAACAGGAGTCTCCTCCTCAGCTCAGATCAACCCCATGATGCAGGTATCTGGCTGAAACAGGTGAGCATCACAGTAAACCAGTGGAGCAAACTGAGCTTTAAATATGTTGGTTTGATGCTCTTTTTCTGCTCCAAAACATGAAAGTTAACAGGTGAGATGTTGCATTTTCATTTAAGATAAAATGATATTTTTATTTTGTTGTTGGCCCGTGAGCAAAGGTTTAACCTACAGTAAACAGGAAGTGGAAAGGCTGCAGATAGATGAATAGAATAGAAAATCCCTTTATTGTTCCTCAGTGGGGAAAGCTAGACGTCACAGCAGCGATGACACGTATTACAGGAGAAAAAAGGAGAATAAAAAATAAGAAAAATGAATAAACAAGAAAACATAAATCCTGAATAGATTTATAAAATGTTGATTATACCACAAGTAATGAATACCACTGATGCCTTTTATTTAAAACTGACTTGCTCGTGTGTAATTTGGTTATTCCACATTCAGTGTTAATGCAGAAATATGTTTGTTTCCTAATTTAAAGGTTGCAGACACCGGCATGTTTAAAGGTTCAAAATTGCATTTATGTTGATAAAGAAAATGTGCAAATTTGCGTCACTTTTTCAAAAAATATTAAGTTTGGCCCTCGACTCCGTCCCAGAGTCTCATTTCGGCCCCGTGTGAGTTTGACACCCCTGATCTAAGCAGTGCTAAATCACAATGCCAGTTCACAATTCACTCGTGTGTGCGCACACACACACACACACACACACACACACACACACACACACACACACACACACACACACACACACACTCTAACACACACAGCTTGAAGGAGGGATTTCTTTCCAATCAGTGAGAACAGGACGTGCACATTGATTGGACGAGGTTTTTCTAGGATGGTAAGTTTAGATTGTGATTAAAATTATTCTTTATTTTGAGAAAGAAAAATTATATATTTTAGACACCATGAGCATGTGAGGTATCTCAATGTTCTCATGACAAAACTCTAACATGAGACTGTGCTCTAACCCATCATATAACAAGCTAAATGAAAGTCAAACATGTCAGATGGAGCGTATGACAGCTGCTAACGTCGGCCCTGCCCTACTTTACCTCTACATTACAGTTCCTTTATCCATGTCCATCCTAGAGCTCCTCTCTGACCTTCATGCTTATTTAGAGCAGCTGATGTTTAAAGTTAGCAGAGTTCATCCTTGGTAGTGGGTTCACTCACTCATCTAACACTTCACCACTGAAATCAGTTTGTTCATTCCAATCCTCCACCTGGAATCCTTAAGGGTCCCGTAACGTCCATCCTGTCAGAACAGGCCTTGGGAGCCCAGGTGTTACTAGAACTAATGGTGTCTCCTCACCAGCGTGAGCCTCCACACTGTGACGGTTGGTCTCCAAACATGAACTTTAAATTCATGCATTCATCTCCTCTTGTAACACTTGAACATGTTTTAAAAGGCATGTATCATGATAAGTTACCCCTCCCAGACCAAAGATAAGATAAAACATTATCGAAGACACTATTAAGACGTCATTATTTATGAAATATAAGTTACAGTATTTTCCTGAGCCATTACTGCAGCCAAGATATAAGATGCATGGATTTGATGAAACCACGCTGTCTCATGCAGTCCTATATGTGTAACACACACACACACACACACACACACACACACACACACACACACACACACACACACACACACACACGTCATGACTAATTTAACTACATTGAACTGCTTCAGTAATAATTTAATCTCTTATTCTGGAGTAAAATAAAGAAACAAGCTAAATCATCACATATCTGTGGCATCAAGGAGCATCTTCTGAGTTCAAACACAGGGATGGAGCACAATGTTTACACCTGAACAGTATCAGGATGTTTTAACTCACAGAGGCCTGCAGGTCTTCTGTTTTATGAGCAAAGCGCTGATAATCCGCTTGTTATGAGCGCTAAACGTTATTTTGCCACTGCCGTGCGGAGCGGTAGAGAAACACGTTTCAAACACGGAACCGAGTCCGGCTACCGAACCGAGCAGAATTCTGATGACGTCACACCGGTGCGCGAAGGTGCGGGTTCCAACCCACAGGAGAGGAGGGAGAGAGGAGGTAATCAGCGAGTTGATCGACTGAACTGATGTCTTTGAGCAAAAGTGTACACACACCCCCCCCCACCACCACCACCACCACCACCACGGTTTAGACGCGGCGCTCATGCAGGTGTCTCTTTCTGTTCCAACGCTGCTACACGTAATATTTTTAATTTATTAAGCCTATAATTTATTTTTACTCAGTAACGGATATGATTTAAAATGTACTGAATTACAATTCTTTTTTAAAAACGTACCCAAGTAAAAGTAAAAGTACAGCTTTTAAAAACGACTTAAAAAGTATAAATATACAAAAAAGCTACTCAATTACAGTAACGTGACTAAATGTAATTCGTTACTTTCCACCTCTGCGTTTATTACATCACGACTTGACTATTGCAACGCACTGTACCTTGGTCTTCCTCAGTCTCACCTCTCCCGTCTTCAAATGGTGCAAATGCAGCAGCACGCCTATTGACGGGTTCGAGAAAGAGGGAGCACATTAGCCCAACTTTAGCTTCGCTGCACTGGCTGCTTGTCGATTTTAGGGTCCAGTACAAGGTTCTTTTATTGGCTTTTAGAGCTGTACACGGCCTTGCTCCGCAGTATGTGTGAACTTTTAGTTGCTCACTCCCCGTCTCGGTCACTGAGGTCAGCCGACCAGTTTCTCCTGGAGGTGCCGAGAACAAAGAGAGAGCTCAGGGGTGATAGAGCTTTCTCAGTAGCAGCTCCAAGGTTGTGGAATGCACTCCCAATCCAGATTAGGATGGTTTCGTCAGTGTCGGGTTTTAAATCGCTTTTAAAGACCCATCTGTTCTCAGTTGCTTTTAATTCAGTTTGAGAATGCATCTGTTTTAGTAGCTTTTATGTCAGTTTGATATGTTTGTTTTTGTCATGTTTTTACTTTGTGATAAACTTTTTATTTTGTTTTTAGAATTTTTAGGGAACTTCTGTTCTTTTTGGCTTGTTAAGCACTTTGGTCAGCTTTTATGCTGCTGTAAAGTGCTTTATACATAAAGTTGACTTGACTTGACTATAAATGGGGAAAATGAACGCCAATGTGGCGTGATGACGTCATCAATATGTAAATCAACACGCGACGTCTTCTGGCGACATCTAGCGACTTTGGGAGGAACTTCAGCTACTTTCAGTCAAAACCACAAAAGGGTCTGGCTGCGGCCACTGTGGAGCCAAAAACAGTTGGCAACACTGAACACAGGTCTGTGGAACAGAACAAATGTTAATTCTGCTCCAGCAGGTGGCGCTAGTGCACCTTTACGCTGGTCACGGACCACCGGAAGCAGCAGAAACCGGAAGCTGCTAGCAGAGCTAGCTTGTTGTTGTTGTGGTGTGTGAGGAGAAGATTTGAGGCTCTGCAGTAAAAATGTCTTCACTTCAGTCTCTGGGAGAGTTGATCAGCTAAAGCGACTAACTGCTGCTGCTGCAGAAATCTTCTCACCAGGCTGTGGAAACTTTCTTCTCCTCCTCAACAACTTGGTGGAGTTCTTTCCAGAAGCAGAGAAGCTATTCTGCGGTCTTCGTGACAATCGGAGCTCCAGAAGCAGGTGATGGGTGAGAAAAGCTTTTCTCTAGACTTCCTGCCCTCTGGATCTGCTGCTGTTCCTTTGGCCTCTCTGAGAAACGCGCTCGTTTTGCTGCTTTCATCAGATTGAAGAGGTTCCCTCTATCAGACTCGCTCATCTGAGTTGGTCATGATGCAGGATCGCTGCTCGCTCTCTCATCCATCCTGCTCACACTCTCCGACGGAAAAGGCCCGAATCTGAATGTGACTCTGGAGGAAAAAGCGGTTAGCTCTACTCCGTGAACTCTGGTGAGCAAAGGTCCTCTTTTCCAGACTGGATGTGTCCTCAGCTGATCAGAACCAAAGCGTTGGATCTTTAATCTCCTGCGTTGTTCTGAAGCAGCATCTTAATCAGCTCTCCTGCTTTGTTTCTATTGCAGCTGTTAGCTAAACACGGCTAAAGAAAACCTGCTACCACTTCAGGATCATCCATCAGCTGGGACTGCTTCATCAGCATGGACACAGGTACTGGGGTGTGTGTGTGCGTGTGTGTGTGTGTGTGTGTGTGTGTGTGTGTGTGTGTGTGTGTGTGTGTGTGTGTGTGTGTGTGTGTGTGTGTGTGTGTGCTCTGTCCACTCGATCCCCAGTGACTCGTGGAGGATTGCTGTAAGGACTGACACTAGTCAGTGACACGATGCAACCTGCTGGGTTCCTTATATAGGAACCTTTACTGATTGGCTAACTGAACAACACCTAACCAACGTCACACCCGATCTCATAATGTACCAAATAGGAAACTTTCACCAGTAAAATGGTCTGTTTGGTCACTATTCACGTGTGTGGTGCTGGAAGGAGGAAGAATAAATGCAAACTGTTCTATTTTCATCATCCACGACTCAGAATCAAGGTGCACCGAGCCTAATTTAGAACACGTCGCCTGTTTCCATCTGAAAAACTGCAGAGGAATAATTCACGTCAGCCCTGCTCTTCAGCATCTCCACTGGCTGCTTGCCGAACACAGAATCTCCGTCAAAGTCCTGCTCCTAACCTACAAATGTATCCATCGTCCTGCCACTCCTCACCTCTCTGATGTCATTCACGTTGCTGTCCCATCTCACTCCCTCAGGTCTTCCTCTGTAATTCACCTCGTTTTACTTTTATTTCTATTTTATAGTTGTATAATTGAAACAATTTTATTCTTATTTTACTTGTTAGTTGTATCATGTTTTGTGAGGGAACCTTGGGTTTTGAAAGGCGCCTATGATTTAAAGGCATTTGTTTCAATTCAAGTTTATTTATAAAGCGCCAAATCACGACAAGAGTCGTCTCAAGGCACTTCACATAATAAGCATTCCAATTCAGGTCAGTTCATTAAGCCAATCAGAAATAAAGTTTCCTATATAAGGAACCCAGCAAATTGCATCAAGTCACTGACTAGTGTCAGTGACTATACAGCAATCCTCATACTAAGCAAGCATGCAGCGACAGTGGAGAGGAAAACTCCCTTTTAACAGGAAGAAACCTCCAGAGGATCCTGGCTCAGTATAAGCAGCCATCCTCCACGACTCACTGGGGATGGAGAAGACAGAGCAGACACACACACACACACACACACACACACACACACACACACACACACAGTAATGTGTCTACAGTTACATTGTGATGTCTTAGTAAATATTCTATTTGGTGAGAGATAAACTTTATTGTATTTATCCTAGTGGATCTATAATTAAACGGGTAAACTAGTAGTAGCACATTCAACATCAAGGAAAGCAAAAAGTTATTATCAGGAGAGGGAGAATGTTTAAGTGGTTAGCAGCAGTGTGCTAGTCGATGGCCCCCTCCATGAGGCCACCACAGCTCAGCAGAACATCGTTGTAGCTTCTTCTGGGGAGAAAAACACTTAGAGAGAAAATAAAGTTAACAGCTGAAATAGCACAAAATAGTACAGTTAAAGAGCAGATTGTAGAAGAAAGCAGTAGAGTGTGGAAAGTGGTCAGTGTGTCCTCCAGCAGTCTAAGCCTATAGCAGCATAACTACAGAGATAACTCTGGATAATCTATCCTATTTAGATGGAGGCATGTTGGAGGCAGGGCAAGGGAGAGCCGTCTTTACCGACTGTACACTCCACCTCCCTCTACTCCCCCACTTGTCCAGATCTAGGCTAACATCAGATTTAAAAGATCTGCCTCCCATCCTAATTTTAGATATTCTGGGAACCACCAGTAGACCTGCAGTCTGAGAGCGAAGTGTTCGGTTAGTGGGCATGTAGTAGGGCAGCTGCACGTGAGAAGCTTGGACACACAGTTCTCAGTGAGGGGAAAAAGAGGAAAAAGAAGCAGTAGGGCCAGAGATGGTTGGGCTAGAAGGAGTTTGTGGTAGCGAATGTTCAGGAGTGGCCAGTTGAGTAAACTGTTGTTTAATTTGTCAGTGAAGAATGAGGCAAAGGTGTCAGCTGATAGATTGTTGGTAGGAGGTGGAGATGGAGGGGTGAGCAGAGTTTTGAATGTTGAAAATAGTTTCTGAGAGTCAGTAGAGCTGAGAATTTTGTCAGTGTAGAAAGCTTTCTTTGCATCAGTGATGCTGGCAGAGAATGAGGACAGTAATTCATGAAATTTCAATTGATCACCAGGATCTCTTGTTTTGCGCCATTTCCATTCTGCAGCTCTAAGACTGGTGTGTAGAGACCGGAGGGTATCATTTAGCCAAGGGTGCGACTGAGAGGATCTAGCAGGTCTAGTGGCTAAAGGACACAAGTTATTAAGACAAGAGCAGAGTGTGGAGCAGAGTGACTCGGTGGCTTCATTCTCTTCATAAGCAGAGAATGTGCTGGGAGATGGAAGTGTGGAGGCAACAAGAGAGGAGAAGTGGTTGGGTGCCAGATTGCGGAGGTTGCGGCGGAATGAGACCATTGGTGAGGAAGCAGTGGACCTTCCTTGTAGAGTCGTGCTGAAATGGATGAAGTAATGATCGGAAAGATGCAGCGGTGTGACAGAGATTGTGTCTATGACACAGTTTCTGGTGAAAATGAGGTCAAGTGCTTTTCCAGCTTTGTGAGTTGGAGGACTTTGTACTAGTTTTAGATCAAATGATGACATTAGTGACAGGAAGCCTGATGAGCTGGGATTGTCCAGGTGAATATTCATGTCTCCAAGGACCATTGTGGGACAGTCGTGCTCAGGAATGGAGGAAAGCAGGGTGTCGAGTTCATCAAGAAAGTCTACAAGTTGACCTGGTTGATATATGACAACCAAAAAGAGTTTTTTCGGTACAGTCACCTGGATGGCATGGTATTCAAAGGAGTTGTATTTAGTGATGGGTAGCAACTGACTGTATATCCAGTTGTTGGAAATGAACATGCCCGTTCCACCACCTCTGCCAGATGCACGAGAAGTGTGGGAGAAAGTGTGGTTAGTTGAGGGAGCAGATGGGGTAGCATTGTCACATGGTTTGATCCAGGTCTCAGTGAGAGCCAGTGCATCGAGTGACAGGTGGTTTGCATACGCGGTAATGAAGTCGGATTTGTTTACAGCTGATTGGCAGTTCCATAGTCCCATGGACAGGTGGGTGACTTCAGGGAGAGTTGGTTTTAGCGAGCGGAGGTTTTGAAGGTTGCGAAAGTGGTTTGCTGTGTGTGACCTTCCTCTGAAGCCAGGGATCACAGGTATAGTTTAGGCCGTCTCCAAGTTTAGGTCCTCCACCACCTCTCTTACCCATGGTGTCCCACAAGGTTCTGTGCTGGGGCCTCTACTCTTCCTCCTCTATCTGCTTCCTCTTGAGCACATCCTGAGCTCCTTCAAGGGAATCTCCTACCATCTTTACGCAGATGACATCCAACTGTACATCTCCTTTAAGCCCCATGAGATGTCTAAGCTGCAGCTGTTACACACCTGCTTAGACTCTATCAAAACCTGGATGGTGGGAGCTTTCTTCAGCTGAATGAAGATAAGACTGAGATCCTCATCTGTGCCCCAGACAAGCTGGTTCCCAAAGTCAGAGACTCTCTTGGTCAGCTTGCTTCTCACACCAAACTTTCTGTCAGGAATCTTGGCGTGACCTTTGACCCAGCTCTCATCCTGGAATCTCATGTCAGTTCTCTTGTTGGCTCTTCCTTCTTCCATCTCAGGAACGTTGCTAAGCTGAGTCCCATTCTGTCCCGCTCTGAACTTGAGACAGTTCTCCACACCTTCATCTCCTCACGCTTAGACTACTGTAACTCTCTTTTCACGTGTCTGAGCAGAACCTCCCTGAACCGTCTACAGGTGGTTCAGAACGCCTGTGCTCGGCTTCTGACCAAGTCCTCCAAACACACCCACATCACCCCGCTTCTCCTCCAGCTTCATTGGCTGCCAGTCAACTTCAGGGTTCATTTCAAGATCCTGGTTCTGGTCTATAGGGCCTTACATGGACAAGCACCATCTTACATTGGTGATCTTCTTAGTCCCTACACCCCCAGCAGGTCCCTGAGGTCCAGTGATCAAAGCCTACTGGTTGTGCAGCACCAGGCTAAAGGTCAAAGGTGACAGATCATCTGCTGCTGTGGCCCCCAGACTCTGGACCTCTCTCCCCCTGAGCCTGAGATCAGTGGACTCAGTGGTCTCCTTTAAAAAGCAGCTGAAGACTCACTTGTTCAAGCTGGCTTTTGTATGACCTTCTTCACCTCTCTCTCTTTATTCTGCTCTCCCCACCTATTCCACCTTCCTCAGGATCCACTGATTTCCCTCTTTCCTGTTCACTCTCTCTCTTTCTTAACATTTTTTCTTTTAAATCGCAATAGCCTATTCTTGCTCATTTTAAATACATATTTTTTAAACATTTTCAAAATGCTTTTTTATATTTTTACAATTTTTATATTTTTTGGGTTTGTTTTCGTGAAGCGCCTCGTGATTTTTATCTTGAGAGGCGCTATAGAAATGATATTTTCTTCTTCAATAGGATAATGGCACATTTTGCAAGGTGTTGATGGAGCAGCGTCTGGGTCGAGTTTGTTTGCTCTGTCTACCTGCTCTGTGGACACGCGCAGGTAGACACGTATGTCTTTACCCCGGAGTGTCTTCACACCTGAGGGCTGAGACACAAGGGCTGATGCTTCAGTTATGCCACCAAACTTATGCTGTGCTACTAGTTGGAAACAGGTGTTCATGCAGCAGCTGATTGCAATGGTTGAAACCAAGATCACCTGATGAGTGTTTTCAGGGAAGGCAGAAACTGCTCGTTCACAGCCCCTGATTGCACTTATTGTTTTCAGTTGGCCCAAACCGGAGCTACTAGACAACAGGATTACCCACAGATGAGTTTCCTTCTCTTTCCCAATGGAAGATAGAGCAAAGCACAATAGTAGTAGCTGTGTGAATATGTGTGTGAATGGTTGAATGATACACTGTAGTGTAAAGCGCTTTGGAGTCCTTACTCTGAGAGGCGCTATACAAGTGCAGGCCATTTATCATTATCATTCATCAAGATAACCCACTAGATGAGTCCTGGTTAGATATAGAACAGACACTTTGTAATATGATAGAGCTTTCAGACTTACCATTTATTAGCTCAAGCATAAGAAAACATGAAGGCTTCAAAAGTATTCGTATCAGCACTTCTCTGACAGCATGGTGGGAGTATCTTAAAATGACAGAGTCTTCACTAGTACCATGCAGACGCACACCTATCTGGAATAATCCTGACCTTTTGCAAAACAACAAAATGATGAACCTTCCGGACTGGAAAAATAAAAGAATCCTATACCTGGAACGCATATATAAAGGATTGGACTTCATCCCATTTAACAGAATAATCTCTCAATTTGGAATAGATAAGAATAGCTTTTTAGAATACCACCAAATTAAATCTATAGTCAAACAAAAAATTTGAGCTCAATAAAGTAGATATACAAAGACCACCAAGGGTATTAGACTTCTATAATCTAAAACCCCCCAAACTACTGTCTAAAGTATATAAGACACTGTCCAAAATAGATGATAGAATAGCAATCCCTATTGAAAAATGGGAGGTGGATCTATCAGTCAGCTTTGACCAGAACGTCTGGTCCCAAACTTGTTTAAGAACTTTTAAAATGATCAGACACTCCAATTTACAATTAATTCAGTACAAAATTCTACACAGAGTACACTATACAGGTCATCGGATGTTTAGGATGGGGTTTGTGTCATCTGGCATCTATACACACTGCACAAACAACATTCCTGACAATTACATCCCCACACTGTGGTTCTGTGCACCTGTCCAGGAATTTTGGGGTAGAGTATGTGAAGACCTGTCAAAGTCTCTGAAATGTCATATCCCAACTTCCCCCTCTCTTTGTTTACTGGGAAACCTGGACGATGTCCCGATTGAAACATCTTTGGTTCACGTGGTTCTGACTGCCATATGCATCGCTAAGAAAACTATCCTCTTGAATTGGAAAAATAGAGAAACTCTTTGCATTAACCAGTATAGAAATCTTTTGTTAGATCATATTACACTTGATACAGCCTCTGCTTCCACTTCAAGTCAATCTCTTTGGGCTCCTTTGATCGGTTCCATCACATAGTGATGATGGGGGGGTCATTGATTTTGTCCTGCGGGATGATGTGGGTGATGGGTGGAGGGTCCGAGTTTGAAGTATCCGGATGTTCCCTGGACTGGAGGTGCCTGGGACTTGGGGCCGTTGCCCCCCTCTAGAGGTGCTTGGGTTGCCTCGGGGGGTGGACCGCTAGCGGTTGTGAGTGGGGCCCCTTGGGGGTCTTGGCGGCGGCCATGGGTTGCTGCCTGGCAGCTGCATTACCCCAGAGCAGGTCTGGGTGGGGGCTCGGGGTTTGGGGGTGGCCGGCCCCGTGTGGGGATCTGTGCAGGGCCCTTGGACTTCGTGGGGCTCTGCGATGCTTCTGCTTTGGGCCCTGGCAAGATGGGCTGGGGTCTCCATGCCCTAGTTGGCATTTTGGCAACAGAGGTGCCTATTGGAGCCAGTGGGGGAGCTGGCTCCCTGGAGAGCTTAGGCCAACCAGCCATTCATCCCCATCCCCACACATTTTTCTTCTCCTTCTCCCTCACATCATCACACAAACAGGCACATAGGACATTGGAGGGTGGACAAGTCAGGGGGTGTGGGTATGGACCCCATTTCCGCATTCCTGTGGAAACCTGCCCCCCAATTTTATTTGCACATTAAACACTTCCACGAACGACATTCCACGCAAACACACTTAGGACATTGGGAGTGAACACATTCAATGGCATTTGGCAGGGGGATTTTTTCAGCCTCATCCCAAGTGCCGGTGCCCACTTCCAATTTTAAACTGCAATTAGATACAGAGGGCTGTGGGTGCAAGTGGGGTTGTGTGGTGGCATCAGCTTGCGTAGGCCAGATGATGCCTGCACTGCCCGCTCACCACAGCCATGGAATACACCTCATCAACACGCACTAACACTATATTGGAGCAGGCGGAGGGAGACTAGGGGTCTTGGCACACCTCTGTTGTCTTTCGGCTTCCCGGGGCTGGAGGCTAGGAGTGGGATCTGGCCATCTGGTTGGGGTCTGGGGTGGCATGTTGCTTTGCTCAGCATTGAGCGGGAGAGCCTGCTCATCAGCACCCCAGCAGAAAGGGTCGAATTCTGGGAACAGGTGATGGTTGTACCCTTTGTGCAGCAGTACCGGGACCAGAGTGAATAGGGTGTGTATGGGGAGCATGAGTGGGTGTCTGGCATGCATTTTTGTAAGTCTTCGGTTGTTTGTGTATGTGTGAGCATGAGGGAGGGAGTGTGTGACTGTGTCTGTGTATGACTGTTTATGTCAGGTGGGGCCTTTGAATCCTCCCCTCTCCTGGGACTTCTTTTGGTGCTATACATCTTTGCCTCCCCTCCCCCTGCCACACTGGTGTGGAGTGTGGTGCCTTGGCCTGTCTGAGTGTTCGCGGCTCCCGGGTCAGGGGGTTTAAGATTTGTGGCGTCTGCCTGACCAATCCCGGTGGCTGCCTGATGGGATCTAAGTCCCTGGGCTCTGCTGGGTCCCCGGCAGGGCTGGTCGCCCCTGGGTCCCGGGTTGCTGGGTTCCGGGCTCGGCCGGCTAGGGGGTGGGAGGCTGCGGGCGGGCCTGTGGGCTTGCCGCTGATATCTCCCGGGACTCTACCGGCTGCTGGTTGTGGCCCCCCGGGGCAATCCTCTGCACCTCTCGAGAGGGACAGGGGCATTTCTGGTTGCAGTCTCCCTGTTCTCTGGGGCAGCTCCTGGATCTCTGAGACTTGGAGCTCCTTCCATCTCCTACATATCTTTGGGGTAGATCTGTGGCCCCTCACACTCTCTATTGGACGCTCCTAAAGAGAAACCTTACATAAACAGGTCCTTCTCATAAAATTAACATATTGTGACAAAGTTCATTATTTTCTGTAATGTACTGATAAACATTAGACTTCCTTATATCTTAGATTCATTACACACAACTGACGTAGTTCAAGCCTTCTATTGTTTCTAATCTTGATGATTTTGGCGTACAGCTCATGAAAACCCAAAATCTCATAGATTCCCCCCCCCCTCCCTTCTCTTTCACCTCTGTCTCCGTGTCCGGTTGGAATTACAAAGCATTCAAAAAACAATAAAAAGAAGAAAAAAATTTTTTGCAAAGTAATTTCCTGTTTTCTGAGTCAGTTCTGTTCTCACCAACTTAAAGCAATAATACTACTGTTATATGTGTGAATGTGAAGTTCCATTCATCATTCATTCACATCGTGTTTGTGTTTCCTACAGATGTTCAACAGCTGGTGCTGGTTAAAGAAGAAGCTCCTGATGAGAACCAGCAGGACCCAGAACACCTCCACATAAAGGAGGAACAGGAGGAACTCTGGACCAGTTTGGAGGGAGAGCAGCTACATTTGAAGGAGGAGACTGATGCTGCCAGGTTTCCAGTCACTGTAGTTACTATAAAGAGTGAGGATGATGAAGTGAAACCTCTGATCTCACAGCTTCATCAGCAGCAACTACAAGACAGAGATGTTCCAACCAGCAGCTCAGCTGACCAGATGACAGCAGAAACTGGTGGAGGAGCAGAGAGTAGCAGGAACGCTGATCTGAACCTTCATGAACAGACATCTGATTCTTCAGAGACTGAAGTTAGTGGAGATGATGAAGAGGATGATGATGTGAATGTAGAATTTGAGCAGTCAGACTCTGGGTCTGAAACTGGAGACGAAGACTGTGACTGCTCTAAGAACAGGTCTTCCGAGTCAGATATTAGGACTGTCAACAAATCCTTTAACTGTCCTGAGTGTAGTAAACATGTGAGAGTGACAGGTCATTCACCAAAAATGTCTTCAAGTTGTTTGGTTAAAAAGAAAAGTGTCAGAGTGGAGCAACATGTAGACTCATGCAGGAAATTCCAGAAAGAGCCAAAATCATTTAGTTGTGACGACTGTGGAAAACAATTTAGTGTAAATTCAAATTTAAACAGTCACATGAGGGTCCACACAGGACAGAAGCCTTTTGTCTGTGAGCTCTGTGGAAAAAGATATAGCCGTAAAGAAACTTTAAAAATACACATGAGAGTCCACACAGGACAGAAACCTTTTGCCTGTGAGCTCTGTGGTCAAAGATTTAGAGAAAAGATTACTTTAAGCAATCACATGAGAGTTCACACAGGACAGAAGCCTTTTGCCTGTGAGCTGTGTGGTCAAGGATTTAGCAAAAAGATTACTTTAAGCAATCACATGAGAGTTCACACAGGACAGAAGCCTTTTGCCTGTGATTTCTGTGGTCAAAGATTTAGCCATAAGACAACATTAAACAGACACATAATAGTCCACACAGGACAGAAGCCTTTTTCCTGTGAGCTCTGTGGTCAAAGATTTGGCCGAAATTCTACTTTAAACAATCACATGAGAGTCCACACAGGACAGAAGCCGTTTGCCTGTGAGCACTGTGGTCAAAGATTTGGCCGAAAGGCAACTTTAGTCAATCACATGAGAGTCCACACAGGAGAGAAACCTTTTGCCTGTGAGCTCTGCAATCAAACATTTGGCCGTAAGGATACTTTAAATGATCACATGAGAGTTCACACAGGACAGAAGCCTTTTGCCTGTAAGCTCTGTGGTCAAAGATTTAGCCGTAAGTTAACTTTAAACAGACACATAATAACCCACACACGCCAGAAGTCTTTTGCCTGTGAGCGATGTGGACAAAAATTTAGTCATAAGACATATTTAAATAATCACATGAAAGTCCACACAGGACACAATGAACAGGAGGTGTGGTTCACCGACAAAACAGTTGTAAATGGGTTTTGCCATCAAATCTCAGAAACCACACCTTGCTCAGATACAGGAGTTCTGATTTGTGGAACTGAAAGCAATGTGTCAGGATATTAGCTTAACCTTGTCATCGTCACATGTCTGAGTGTGTGAGCTGTCAGTAGATAGTGATTCACTTGTTAAATCTAAAATTACTGATCATAACATAATAATATTCATTTCAACTTCAGTAATTTAAGCACAGATTAATCAAAACATTGTTATTATTCTTCAGCCATTATTATTCATTCAACCATATGATTATTTACGTATTTGCATCATCCAGTATTCGTTATTATAACGGTTCATTCTTATAAAAGTTCATTCTTCTACTTCTGTGAAGCAAAGCAGATAAAGATAATAGGAAACTTGAGAGGGACCTTGGTCAAGCAACAGTATCTTTCTTGCAGATTAAAGGTTCCAGTTAAGACTTTTGTCTCCATATGACCGGATACTGAAGAGGTCCAACTGTAGGCGAAAAACTGACCATTTTTGGACGCTACACTGAGTTAGCATTCACAGACTCACCAATCTTGAGTAAACAATTTTCCTTGTAGTTTGTACATACTAGAAAAAAAGTTGCACCCCTGGTTGTTGTCCTTTACCCTACTACCCACCTACATCTGTAACTTAATCTCACAGAGAAGTGTAATTTCTCAGTCTGCGTACAAACGATCAGCTGTTACTCTGTGTTTTATTTGCTCCCACCGATCTGGGATAAAGGGCTTTGGTTCACTCTTCTCCTTCTGCATGGAGCAGGCTGTAAAAAAACTGGGGTCTCATTTACCAAACATTGCGTAGAATCCTTACTAAAACCGTACTTAAGCTCAGCAAAAAATGTACTTACGCCATTAGGTTTGTGATCTATCAAACATGGAGTACGCACAGCTGCACGCAATCTTCGCTTCATAAATCAGAAACTATCTAGAAAGGTTCTCAGCTGCATTTTAGTCACATCCCGCCCTCACCACGCCCACTTACTGCCATAAATGGTCAATGCAAAGTGTCTTGTGGATCTCATGCATATACATAAGCCGACTGTTGCAGCGCTCCGCCAATGACATGGTGACCGTAGATCAAGGTAGATCAAGGAAGCACAATTTCACAGAAGCAGAAGTTGAGGTACCTGTGGGTGAGGTGGAGAAATGAAAAGAAGTGCTTTTGCAAAACAAATAAGAGAAAATCCACGGAGTGGCACAGTGTTGCTGAAGCCGTCAATGCTGAGTCCTTCAGAATCAGAATAGGTTTATTGCCATTGTCAGTGAACAAACAATTCACAAACTAGGAACTTGCTTTGGTACTAATGTGCTACATATAACATGAATAATAAGATTTAAAATAGAATAAAACTTTCAGCTATAAAAAATGGCAGGTAATGGTAACATGGCCGATAACGTGACGTTGTGTTGAGTACAGAAGACCAGCATGGTTGTGTGTTTATAATCTATTCACAAGTCTAACGGCAGATGGAACGAAGCTGTTCTTATGGCGGGAGGTTCTGGTCCGGATGGACCGTAACCTCCTGCCTGAGGGAAGCGGCTCAAAAAGTCTGTGACCCGGGTGAGAAGGGTCAGCTGCTATCCGACCTGCACGCCCCCGAGTTCTGGAGACGTACAGGTCCTGGAGAGATGGAAGGCTGCAGCCAATCACCTTCTCAGCAGAGCGCACAAAGCACTGCAGTCTATGTTTGTCCCTCACTGTGGCTCCAGCGTACCACACAGCAATGGAGGAGGTGAGGATGGACTCAATGATGGCCGTGTAAAACTGCACCATCATCTGGGCCGGCAGCTTGGCCTTTTTCAACTGCCGCAGAAAGTACATTCTCTGCTGGGCCTTTTTGATCAGGGAGCTGATGGATGGCTCCCACCTAAGGTCATGTGTGATGGTGGTTCCGAGGAAGCGGAAGGAGTCCACAGTGGTGACGGGGGTGTCCGTCAGGACGAGGGGGAGGGATGGGGCTGTGATTTTCCTGAAGTCCACAATCATCTTCAGAGATATCTGTGGCGGATATAAAAAAAAAGGTCCAGTCGGGATTCGATCCCCAGACTCCCAGGTGAAAGTCACATGCACTAGTCAGCCAAACGGAGATCTCACTTGTCCAAGTAGCCAGGGCACATGATCAATCGGATCACAGTGACAGGACACACACTGTCACAGACGCATGACATTCTGTCTCAATCTGTCCCCCTGCTGATATTCCGCATTACGTATTCTGCGCTTCAGGATGTGTTTGCGTGTGCGTGTGGGGGGTCTTGTTCTTTGTGAAAATGAAACAGTACAAGTGATAATGCTGCAGGATTTCATAACTTTATCCTTCTCAGCAGCAGCACTGCAGATGCTCTCCATGTCCAACTTGTGCATAAGCCAGGTCTTTAGTCAACTGAAAGTTGCGCACATTTTTCCGCTACGTTTTCTTTCATAAATCCCAAAGTTTGCGTGGAAAGTTGCAGTTTTCCGACCCCGTTTTGTTGCTAAGCAAGCTTGATAAATGAGGCCCCTGGAAATTAACCGAGGTTATCTCCTTGACTACATGTAAAACCAGACTAAGAACCCTTGAGAGGATTCCCTGTGTTGTAACTGCCTTCTGTAATTTTGTACATAACATGTTTGTGTAACTGTAACTTTGTAACTGTAACTTTTGCTGCCTCTTGGCCAGGACTCCCTTGAAAATTAGGTTTTTAATCCCAAAGAGACCTTCCTGGTTAAATAAAGAGTAAAATAAATAAATAAATAGATCATGGGCCACCTCTTCTTGTCCTGGAAGCCACATATTGTTGCCACCAAGCTGTAAATGTTTCACTAAATCTGTTTCCATCAAGAGGCGTCACTGTATCGTAACACAGTGATGAGGTGCTGTCCTACTGGGGCAGCAGTTGCTCAGATGGTAGAGCAGGTTGCCTCATGATCGGAGGGTCGTGGGTTCGAGTCCAGCTCCCACCAGAGGTATTCTGCTGTTGTGTCCTTGGGCAAGACACTTCATCAAACTTGCCAGTGTTGGTGGTGGTCAGAGGGGCCGACGGCGAGAAATGGCAGCCTCGCCCCTGTCAGATCGCCCCAGGGCAGCTGTGGCTATATAGTAGCTTACCATCACTGGCAGTGTGTGAATGTAAGAGTTCACGCAAGCGTCTTTGAGTGTCCTAATAAAGCGCTATATAAGTTTGATGATGATGATTATTATTACTTTTGGAGTGTTGCAGTAGTGAGAGTTGAGCATGGCATCTATACTATGCTGTGAAATAGTTTGTGTAGTGTAGAAATAAGTGCCTTATCAGTGGTTAGTGTGGCACCTTCCTACCGGGTAGGTGGGCTATACTATATATCTACGGGATACAAAATCCCACCCAAGGGTCACACCAGGTAAAGTTGAGAGCAACTGCCAGAGATCAAAGGAATCAGCCGTTAACCACCGCACCAGGGTTTATTCAAAGTACTAATTAAAACATCACTAAAAGCCTTAGGCCAGTCACTAGAACGGTTGCCGGAACTGGGCCCGGTGAGAGTCTGCAGCCTTATCTAGACGCTGCGGGGCAGATTCCTCCTCCTTCAGGACGGTTGTCCGCCACGCCGCCGTTTTCCTCTTCCCTTGAGAGCTCGCCTCCTCCTTCAAGACATGTGTCTGCTGCACCGCCGTTTCCCTCAATCGCCCGCTTCCTCCTGCAGATCAGTCACTGGCTCAGCCGCGCCACGCCGTCGTCCTCCGTCGCGGGTCCACCTGTCAGTGAATTTTAAGAGGGAGGAGAAATTTAAAATGGTAGAACTGTTGATAATACGTCGTTGCTTAGCAGAGTCTGGTAAAAGAGATTCAGAATTTAGGTTAATATGAAAAGAAACTGACTTATGGTCACTGAACACAACATCATTTATCTGCAGCTTATCAACAAGAAGTCCGTAGGAAAAGACCAGATCCAGGGTGTGGCCTGCTCTGTGAGTGGGACCAGACACGTGTTGAGAGAAGTTAAAAGAGTTCATCATGTTTAGGAACTCCCTGGTGGAGCTGTTAGACAGATCCTCAGCGTGGATGTTGAAATCTCCAACAATGATTATCCTGTCTAGTTTAATAGTTGGTGCTCACTCCTCATCTGGACAGTGGGAGGGTTATACGTGACGCATGTACATTCCACGTGGAAATGAGAGGCGAGGATGGAACGGGCATCGGGGCTTGCAGCGTTTATTTCTACGTTCTGTGGCTTGCCTCCACTGTGGGCCAATATTATCCCAGACTGTAGGGGGCGGCATGGAGCTCTACGACAATGCATCATAGCAGAAGCATAAATCTCTTTTGATTCCATCATCTTTCACTCTATCCTCGTGGTGGGATGAACAATTTGGTTCATGGAGATTTGTCCAGGTGGATGACATCCTGGTGCTGGTTGGAAGCTGACGCTCATGCAGCTCCAAACTTACCAGCCAGAGCAGGTGCATAACCAGCGTAGCCCCTTCCTGTTTGGAGGTTGTTCTCCTCGGGCAGCTCATCTCCTCCCCAGCTCGGCAGAGGTAAGCCAGTAGTTTTGGGTAACAGGATGAGCCGATCCGGGGGCTTTTTACCATCTGCCTGTCTTGCAGCCCAGTCAACCTGCGGTGCCGGCTGGGGGTTGTCTGCTTTGGTGGTACACCTCGACGGTTCCGCCACCGGGGCTGTTTTGGGTCCCTCGCTGCTTCACCTTGGCGTCCCTGGACGACTGGATCCAAGCAGTGTGCTCCAAGGCTCCACACTGCTCTTTTGTTAATCCTTCTTTAACACAGTATTTTAGCCCGCTGCTGGGCGAGGCTGCAGAACGTCTGGTTGCCTGGGCAACCACTGGATCGCCCACACCGGTTAAAGGTGTAACCAGACCCATTTAAAGGAGTTATTTGGTTTGTTGTGCTTTTGGGTGACTTTGCTTTTCCTGTTTGTGTGTGTGTCTGTGTTTGCATGTTATCCTTATATCTGTGTCCATATACATTTAATTGAGCCAGTTGGGGGGGTGTATTTAGGTTTCCCCTGTGTAAACTTAACTGACTTGTGTAGCACCTCCCCTTTTTAATCTAGTATATTTTTAGATGTATGTGTTTATATCAATTGTTAAATAAAGGCCATTATTTTATTTAAAAACCAGTTTGTTCCTCTGTGGGTGCACCGGACCTACGTCCTTTTAGTTCCCTGGAGCCTACCAGCTCTGGGGTGGCGTTGTTGCAACATATTAACTTTTTAATATTCTACTTAGTACGGACTCATTTTGCCACACTCATCTTTTCTGACTGTGACAGCAATTATTAAAAATGTTTTGATCACAGTGATCTTTCTGGGCAGAATCGTTAAGAACATCCGGCACTGCGAGCTCTTGCCACTCCGTTATGTTTTTCCAGGCAGGATAGAAAATTTCCTTGGTGCGAGGTACAGAAACTTTGGGCTGTGCGGAGGCCACGTGGAGGGATGTGGTTGCTGAAATGCTGTTATTTGGCCGTGCGGACCTTGTGGACGCTTCAAGCATAAACCTATTAGAGTGTGCGGCACAGCTCCATCAGCTGCTCCAGTCACTGCGTCTCTTTACTGGCACTACCAGTTTTAAATGAAGAAATACACTCCTCGATGTCTTAATGGCTTTAATGACAAGGATGAAGGAGCCTTGCGCCGACATACAAAGCTGAGTGAGCAGAAGCTAACAGCAGTGTGAAGCAGCCGCATGGGCTACGGCTAGAGCTAAGCAATGCGAGAAAATACGTAAGCAAATGCAGCACAGCTTAGCATGCATACTGACAATGTGATCATTATATTAGCTTAACAAGCAGGTGAAGACTTACATCATCGAACTGGTTTGGTCTGGTCAATCAGGTGGCCAACTACGCGCAGCTGCTTGACATAATGGCGCCATTTAAACCCTTTCTGAGCCCTCGATGCAAATTGGTGTGGTCACCCGAGTTAGAGGCAGCATTTCAGGCATCCAAGCTGGCCATCGTGGACTCTATCCGGGCAGGCGTAGAGATCTACGACATGGAGAGGCGCACTTTCCTCCACCCAGACTGGTCCAGGCGCGGCATTGGATACTTCCTCCTCCAGCAGCACTGCACCTGCAACTCCGGTGTCCCTGGCTGCTGTCCGGATGGATGGATAATTACTCTGGCCGGCTCACGCTTTCTCTCCTCCGCTGAGCAGCGATACGCTGCTATTGAGGGGGAGGCCTTGGCTGTAGCATGGGGTCTGGAGCAGACCAGATACTTCACGCAGGGGTGCGACAATCTGGTCGTGGTCACCGACCATAAGCCCCTGGTGAAGATCCTTGGGGACCGGACATTGGATGAGATAACTAACTCTCGCCTGTTCAGGCTCAAACAGCACACACTCCCATGGCGCTTTGACATTGTACACTTGCCTGGCAAGAACAACTGCGCTGCCGACGCAGCCTCCAGGTATCCCTCGCCCTCTGGCTCTGATGAGGGCCGCGGCATGGGCGCATGGAATGTGACTGATAGCGAGGAGTCTGTGCATATGGAGTCCATTTGCAGCGACGCACTGGAGTCTGCTTCCATTGCATGTCCACTCCTCGCACAGGAGACTGCCACGGACGCATGCCTCTCCCACCTCCTGCACCTCATTGAAGACGGGGGCAGCATTGACCCAAAAGACCCGGCGCTGGCCGACCTGTCTTAAGGTCTGTGAGTCAGTGTATGCGCAAGATGGGGTCCTGCTGTACTGTGACTGCGTCGTTGTCCCCACGTCCCTTCGTCGTGCGGTACTTCAGCACCTCCATGCCGCCCATCAGGGCAAGTCGACAATGGAACAACGGGCCTGCTCCATCGTTTACTGGCCTGGGATGTCTAACGACATCCAGTTGACCAGGGAGCGATACGCAGACTGTAACCGCAATGCCCCCTCGCAGGCGGCCACACCTCCCATGCCGGCATCACCGCCATCCATGCCATTTGAAGAGGTGTTCGCAGACTTCTTCGACTACAGGGGCCACAACTACCTGGTCGTTGGCGATCGCCTCTCCGGCTGGGTGGAAGTCATGAGCTCTCCCGCGGGCACCAATCTCGGGGGCTCCATTGGGCTTATCCGTCACTTAAGGGCTTTCTTCGCCACGTTTGGTGTGCCCGAGGAGTTGTCAAGTGACGGAGGCCTTCTCGGCAGGGAGCACAGCGGATTTCCTCCGCTTATGGCAGGTCAAGCACCGCGTGTCCTCGGTTGGGTTCCCCCAGTCTAATGGAAGGGCGGAGGTGGCTGTCAAGACGGCGAAGCGCCTACTAGTCTCAAACACCGGCCCGACCGGGAGCCTCGACCATGACCGCTTTCTGCGTGCGATGTGGCAACTGCATAATACGCCTGACCCCGACTGTGACCTGTCGCCCACGCAAATCATCTTTGGTCGCCCCCTCAGGGACTAGCTGTCATTTGTTAATAGGCTGGAGAAGTTCTCCAACCCTCACATTCGTCCGCTCGGGCATCAGGCATGGGCGGCGAAGGAAGAGGCCCTCCGGACTCGGATGGCCCGTACCACTGAGTCTCTGAGAGAACACGTACGACCGCTCCGCCCTCTCGTAGTCAGGGAGGCGGTGTTCCTCCAGAACCTAGTTCACGGTAGCCCGCGGGCATGGGACAGATCTGGGGTAGTAGTAGAGTCACTAGGACACGACCAATACCGTGTCAGGGTTGATGGGTCTGGCCGCCTCACCCTGCGCAACCGGCGCTTTCTCCGCGCCTTCACCCCAGCCACCCCTCGCACTCACCCAGAGAGTGCTGCGCCCCTGCCTGCATCCAACGATGAGACACACGACTTAGGTCCCACCAACCCGGGGTCAGCGGGACCCCTGCCAGATCAGTCACACACACCACCTGAGCCCCAAGGAACAAACCCCGGCACCGCCCAGCCGGTACCGAATCCTCCAGACGTAGCCAACGGGGACGCTGCCCCAGCGGCGCAGACCACGGAACAGTGCCCATCACCCCCCTCCTCCCAGCCAGCGAGCTCCGGTAGGGTAAGGCGGCCACCCAAGCGTTATGTACCTGAAACTGGCCAGTGGGTTAGGTCATGAGTCCACTGCGCCGGTGTGTCACACGGCTTCCTGGACTGGGAGGGATGCAGAGGTCACCACTGGCCACTAGGGTGTGCTGTGATCAAGCCTAGAGGGAAAAAGGTGTATTCAGGGATGTGCCTGAAGTCACGTACAGGTGACTAATCCCCTGCAGGGACGTGCCCGAAGTCACATACATGTTACTATCCCTCACTGTACATACTGCTGCCGCTCATTTGGATTGCTGCTGCTCAACCATCACACTGCTGTCTATCCATGCTACTGTTCGACTTGTATCTGTGGGTCTTCACCTGCTTGTTAAGCTAATGTAATGGTCACATTGTCAGTATGCATGCTAAGCTGCGCTGCATTTATTTACCTATTTTATCACATTGCTTAGCTTTGTTCTTCAGCCCATGCTGCTGCTTCACGCTGCCGTTAGCTTCTGCTCACTCAGCTTTGTATGTCGCTGCAGGGCTCCTTCATCCTTGTCATTAAAACCATTTGACATCGAGGAGTGTATATCTTCAGAAATAAATTCTAAATTCAAACCATACACTAAAAGCTGACGTTGTTCTGAAAAAATAAGAGGGTTACACACACTTTGCGCTTTTTATTACAATTTTACAGCCATAAGATTAAAAAAATACCAGGCGGCCCTGTTATAATTATGGTCATAAGAGGGTCATTTAGACGGCGATGCACAAACAGGAAGTGATTGGTAGTCATTCCACTCCAATCCAGTTGGTGGCGGTAATGCACCAAATTGTTGTTTGCCAAGTGCCATAAGACCACAAATAAGAATAAGAAGAGAGGCGGGAGCGTTCGTAACAAACTCAAAGCGATAGTCAAAACATTAAGCATGACATGGAGTTATCCTAGTGGCTCCAATAAGAGAAAGAAGCAGCATGCTTCATAAAAGCTTTTATCTTCACTTCTGAAAGTGACATCGTTTCTCGATGTAAACATCAAAGGAAGCAGAAAGGCAAGACAATGGAAAATGTTTCATGGGAGGAAAATGTAGACCAAAATGGAAAATAGAAAAAAAAATAGCTAAGGCTAAAGCACAGGAGCAAAGACAGAAACAAGAAAGCAGAGCAAATATTGAAGGCACTCAAAGGGAGAGAAAAACAGGAAAAAAGAGGAGGACTAATAAAGAGTGAAAATAACTCGTGTCAGAAGAGGGGAGAGTTTCGCAAATCCAGTTAAAGGTCAGATTGTCGAAAATTTAGTGTGGGGCCCCATGTCTGTGTTCGCCTTGGGCCCCCAAGTTGCTAAATCCGCTAGACACTGACATGGGAATCACTCTCGTCAGGATGCCAATCACTCTCTCCCTGTATTTTCAACCTCTTTTTCTGCCAAGCCAAAAAGTCTGAGGTCCCTTCTTCTTCGGTATCTTGAGTTTTCCAGACATTTTTCCTTCAGCTCTTTGTTTTCCTTCGTTAAAGCCTCCATCTTTGTTTTGAGCTAGTCTGTTTCCTTTTTGTTTTCTTCAGTTGCTTTTGTATTTGCCTCTATCCTAAGGTCAAAAGCTTTCAGACTTTCAGGCCAGCAGGGCATCATAGATATTTTCATTGCTCCCCTGTTTCCCGGTAGCTTTCTTTTATAGTTTTTTTTGGATTGGGGCTTTTTATTGTAGTGTGATCACCAGTGGGTCTTGCTGCTATCTGTTGATGCTCCTTCTCCTCTATGTCTTTGTCCGCACATGCTTCTTTCATTGCCACGAGGTTGTAGTCATGGTCGGAAAGGCTACCAATTAGCTCCGCCATGTTAGTCATTTAATGTTTTGCGTTTGCTACTTTATCTGTCCAATAACTCTTCAAAAAGTATGTTTTCAGGGGTTCCGCTTTCCTTTCAGTGTCGTTCTGAATAACTGTTTATAAGTGAATTACTTCTCAGGACATTTAAAACCTGCCGTTTTATCAGACCTGCCAAGTTCCCCGACCGTACTGATTAATTACTGAACACAGGTCTGTGGAACAGAGCAAATGTTTGTCTAGTCCAGCAGGTGGCGATAGCGCACCTTTACGCTGGTCACGGACCACCGGAAGCAGCAGAAACCGGAAGCTGCTAGCAGAGCTAGCTTGTTGTTGTTGTGGTGTGTGAGGAGAAGATTTGAGGCTCTGCAGTAAAAATGTCTTCACTTCAGTCTCTGGGAGAGTTGATCAGCTAAAGCGACTAACTGCTGCTGCTGCAGAAATCTTCTCACCAGGCTGTGGAAACTTTCTTCTCCTCCTCAACAACTTGGTGGAGTTCTTTCCAGAAGCAGAGAAGCTATTCTGCGGTCTTCGTGACAATCGGAGCTCCAGAAGCAGGTGATGGGTGAGAAAAGCTTTTCTCTAGACTTCCTGCCCTCTGGATCTGCTGCTGTTCCTTTGGCCTCTCTGAGAAACGCGCTCGTTTTGCTGCTTTCATCAGATTGAAGAGGTTCCCTCTATCAGACTCGCTCATCTGAGTTGGTCATGATGCAGGATCGCTGCTCGCTCTCTCATCCATCCTGCTCACACTCTCCGACGGAAAAGGCCCGAATCTGAATGTGACTCTGGAGGAAAAAGCGGTTAGCTCTACTCCGTGAACTCTGGTGAGCAAAGGTCCTCTTTTCCAGACTGGATGTGTCCTCAGCTGATCAGAACCAAAGCGTTGGATCTTTAATCTCCTGCGTTGTTCTGAAGCAGCATCTTAATCAGCTCTCCTGCTTTGTTTCTATTGCAGCTGTTAGCTAAACACGGCTAAAGAAAACCTGCTACCACTTCAGGATCATCCATCAGCTGGGACTGCTTCATCAGCATGGACACAGGTACTGGTGTGTGTGTGTGTGTGTGTGTGTGTGTGTGTGTGTGTGTGTGTGTGTGTGTATACGTGTTTTACAAACGAATAAAGTAAACAATAAGATAAGAGATATAAAATATACAGAGGTTGGTATGTGCAGAGCAGTGGCACTAATGTACAGTATGGAGTGTGTAATGTTGGAGTTTCAGCAGTGAGGGTGAGGTGTCTGCGAGGTGTTCAGCAGTCTGATGGCCTGATGGAAAAAGCTGTCTCTCAGTCTGCTGGTTCTGGACCGGATGCTGCAGAACCTCCTTTCTGATGGAAGTAGTCTGAACAGTTTATGGCTGGGGTGACTTGAGTCCTTGATGATCCTCCCCGCTTTCCTCAGGTACCGCTTCCTGTAGATGTCCTGGAGGGAGGGAAGCTCACCTCCAATAATCCTTTCTGCACACCGCACTACTCTCTGGAGAGCTTTGCGGTTGTAAGCGGTGCTGTTGCCATACCAGGCGGAGATGCATCCAGTGAGGATGCTCTCAATGGCACAGCGATAGAAGGTCCTGAGGATGCGGCGGCTCATGCCAAATCTTTTCAGTCTCCTGAGAAAGAAGAGGCGCTGCTGTGCCTTCTTCACTGTATTTTCCGTGTGCACTGACCACGTAAGATCCTCAGCCAGATGAACTCCAAGGAAACGGAAGCTGCTCACCCTCTCCACAGCGTCGCCGTTGATGGTGATGGGGGTGTGTATTCTTCTGCTCCTCCGGAAGTCCACCATCATCTCCTTTGTCTTTGTGACGTTGAGGGTGAGACGGTTGTCCTGACACCAGTGGGTCAGGGCGCTGATCTCCTCCCTGTAGGCCGTCTCATCGTCGTTGGTGATGAGACCCACCACTGTGGTGTCGTCCGCATACTTCACAATGATGTTGGAGTTTCTCGTGGCCGTGCAGTCGTGGGTGTAGAGTGACTACAGGAGAGGGCTCAGCACACACAGAATCCTCGTGCGTCAGAGGGGAGAAAGGATCTCCCTTTCCACTCCTACCAACACGCTGGGTGGGAGAACCTCTGGCGGCGGAGCACCAGCACTGGTTAAAATCCCCGGTTATGCTCCGAGTGAGCGGCGGCCCAAACAGATCCCAAACAGCTCTATCGAACCGCTCCTCGGCTGAGGGGGGGGTCACAGCAGTGACTCAAAGCACTTTGTCGTAGCACCACACAACACCTCGGGTCCTAAACAGAAAAATCGTAATAAACCTCATTAACCCAGGAAAAGAATATTCATACTGAGCGTGCAGGGAGGGGGGGCGTGCCGCACACACTTACCACGCCGACAGCAATAGATCACCTAGAAGGCAAGCACGCTTCTTTTCCAACAGCACGCGGTAGCGTTACAGCTTTCGTCAGGCTTCCAAATGTCGCCTCTGTCTGTATACAGCCTATATCAGTTATCACCGATCTGCTTTTTAACAGCTGATCAGAATACTCACCGCGATCCACACGCATCCAGCTTACGCTGCCACTGTTTGGGTAGTGCAGCTACTTCCGTAAACGAGGAAGGAAACACTTCCCGAGTCTGCTTTTTATACCCACAGCTCCCCTACTGGTGACTGGCGGGGTCAGGTGTTATCTATTAAAATCAGGAGCAGTTTACCTCATCCTGCTACACTAATAACACACATTGTTCGTTTTTATTTCTACACGTTTTTTTACTCACAGAGATTGTCAATAAAGCGTGTTTGTCTTGTTCATGTCACATTAAACTGATCACAAAACACAGATTTACTTTCTTTATTTCGTTTTCCTCATCCAACCCCCATAAATCCCTGTGTGTCCTCCTGCAGCACTCCCGAAGGACAACAGGCAAGACAAAAAGTCTGACATGTTGAGTAAAAACTGCTATTTTTAGCATATTTTTAGTCTTGCTACCAGACGTACAGTGTGAGTGCATGACTCGTGAGATCTGCCCTGCGAGGAAGTCGTACAGTTTGACCTGAAGCTGAGTGCTACGAGTGAAAAAGTCACACAGTGTCTGCCCGGCTTTACTCTGCAGTCAGAGACGCCAGGGTTTCCTATTTTTCCAACCTGGTGTCCCAGAGCAAAGGGAACCCCAAGCTGCTGTTTAACACCATCAGCAGCATCGTGTCTCCTGCCTCTCCTACAGCCTCCATCCACTCTGTTACAGACTGTGAGAACTTTCTGTCTTTCTTTGTGGACAAAGTCAATAAGGTTAGATCTAGCATCTCTCCTTCAGCCTTATCGCCGCCTCTCCCGACTCCAACCAGGACCATCATCCTAGATAGCTTTGCTCCTGTTTCTTTGCCTGAGTTAACCAAACTAGTTAACTCTATGAAGACCTCTGCATGCCCCCTCCACATCTTACCCTCATCTTTGTTTAAAAGTGCTTTCCAGTCCATCGGTCCCAGCGTGCTCTCTATAATTAATGCTTCTCTGGTCTCTGGTCAGGTCCCTGCTTACTTTAAGAACGCTGTAATCCACCCGCTTCTTAAAAAACCGAGTCTCGACCCCTCTCTCCATAGCAGCTTCAGACCCATCTCTAAACTTCCATTCATCTCCAAGATCTTGGAAAAGGTTGTGGCTAAACAACTCACAGCTGCTCTTGATGAACATAACATCTATGATAGCTTCCAGTCAGGTTTTCGTAGAGCTCATTCTACTGAAACAGCTCTTCTTAGGGTCTCTAATGACCTTCTGACTCACAGTGATGCAGGGGACGGTTCTGTTCTGGTCCTGCTGGACCTGACTGCAGCCTTTGACACTGTTGACCATCACCTGCTACTGGAGAGGCTGAGAGACTGGGTAGGCCTATCAGGAACTGCTCTGGAGTGGTTCTCATCTTATCTCTCTGAGCGCTCCTTTTCTGTGGCTGTCTCCAAGTTTAGGTCCTCCACCACCTCTCTTACCCATGGTGTCCCACAAGGTTCTGTGCTGGGGCCTCTGCTCTTCCTCCTCTATCTGCTTCCTCTTCAGCACATCCTGAGCTCCTTCAAAGGAATCTCCTACCATCTTTATGCAGATGACATCCAACTGTACATCTCCTTTAAGCCCCATGAGATGTCTAAGCTGCAGCTGTTACACACCTGCTTAGACTCTATCAAAACCTGGATGGTGGGAGCTTTCTTCAGCTGAATGAAGATAAGACTGAGATCCTCATCTGTGCCCCAGACAAGCTGGTTCCCAAAGTCAGAGACTCTCTTGGTCAGCTTGCTTCCCACACCAAACCTTCCGTTAGGAATCTTGGCATGACCTTTGACCCAGCTCTCACCCTGGATTCTCATGTCAGTTCTCTTGTTGGCTCTTCCTTCTTCCATCTCAGGAACGTTGCTAAGCTGAGTCCCATTCTGTCTCGCTCTGAACTTGAGACAGTTCTCCACACCTTCATCTCCTCACGCTTAGACTACTGTAACTCTCTTTTCACGTGTCTGAGCAGAACCTCCCTGAACCGTCTACAGGTGGTTCAGAACGCCTGTGCTCGGCTTCTGACCAAGTCCTCCAAACACACCCACATCACCCCGCTTCTCCTCCAGCTTCACTGGCTGCCAGTCAACTTCAGGGTTTATTTCAAGATCCTGGTTCTGGTCTATAGGGCCTTACATGGACCAGCACCATCTTACATCGGTGATCTTCTTAGTCCCTACACCCCCAGCAGGTCCCTGAGGTCCAGTGATCAAAGCCTACTGGTTGTGCAGCACCAGGCTAAAGGTCAAAGGTGACAGATCATCTGCTGCTGTGGCCCCCAGACTCTGGACCTCTCTCCCCCTGAGCCTGAGATCAGTGGACTCAGTGGTCTCCTTTAAAAAGCAGCTGAAGACTCACTTGTTCAAGCTGGCTTTTGGATGACCTTCTTCACCTCTCTCTCTTTATTCTGCTCTCCCCACCTATTCCACCTTCCTCAGGATCCACTGATTTCCCTCTTTCCTATTCACTCTCTCTCTTTCTTAACATTTTTTAATCACAATTGTCTATTTTTGCTCATTTTAAATATATTTTTAACCATTTTCTAAATGCTTTTTTATATTTTTACATTTTTTGTTTTTGTGAAGCCCCTCGTGATTTTTATCTTGAGAGGTGCTATAGAAATCATACTTTCTTCTTCTTTCTTCTTCACTCGCTGCCAGTCAAATCGAAGCCTTTGCGATTTGAAAATCTCTTTTTGTCACATTGCAATTTATTTGCATATGTAGTTAAACGTTCAGCCCTGGTATGGACCTCCATCAGCTCTTCCAGCCATTAGCATTCTAGTTTATCTCATTAGCACAGCTAGCATGTCCTCTATTACACTTATTCAGACACCGTTGAAGTTATTTACGTGTTCACCCCGAAGATGCGCTGGTGAAGGGTTTCAGTAATGCTAGTGGTGATCACATGATGGCGGAAACAGCCAATTCCTCCCCATCCCCACATATTTCTCTCCTCCTGCCCCCTCACATCATCACACAAACATGCACATCGGACCTTGGGGGGTGGACAAGTCAGGGAGTACGGGTATGAACCCATTTCCACATTCCTGTGGCAACCTGCTCCCCAATTTTATTTGCACCTTATACACTTCCACTGACGACATTCCACACAAACACACACTTAGGGCCTTGGGAGTGAGCACATTCAACGGCATTTGGCAGGGAGATTTCTCATCCTCATCCCAAGTGCCGGTGCCCACTTCCAATTTTGAACTGCACCGAGGGCTGTGGGTGCAAGTGGGGTAGTGCCAGACAATGCCCGCACTGACCGCTCACCACAGCCATGGAATACATCTCATCAACACACAACACTATATTGGAGCAGGTGGAGGGAGACTAGGGGTCTTGGCACACCTCTGTTGTCTTTCGGCTTCCCGGGGCTGGAGGCTAGGAGGGAGATCTGGCCGTCTGGTTGGGGTCTGGGGTGGTGGGTTGCTGTGCTGAGCATTGGGGGGGGGGGGGGGGGGGGGGGGGGGGGGGGGGGCTGCTCATCAGCACCCCAGCAGGAAGGGTCAAACTCTGGTTACCGGTGATGGTTGTACCCAATGTGCAGCAGTACCGGGACCAGAGTGAATAGGGTGTGTATGGGGAGCATGAGTGGGTGTCCGGCGTGCATTTTTGTAAGTCTTGGGTTGTATGTGCATGTGTGAGCATGAGGGACGGAGCGTGTGACTGTGTTTGTGTATGACTGTATATGTCAGGTGGGGCCTTTGACTCCTCCCCTCTCCTGGAACTTCTTTTGATGATATAGATCTCTGTCCCCCCTCCCCCTGCCACACCTGGTGTGGGGGCTTGTGCCATGGTCTGCCTGAGTGTTCGTGGCAACCGGGTCTGGGGGTTTAAGATTTTGGCATCTGCCTGATAGATCCCGGTGGCTGCCTGGTGGGGTCTGGGTCCCTGGGCTCTGCTGGGTCCCCGGCGGGGGTGGTCGCCCCTGGGTCCCGGGCTCGGCTGGCTAGGGGGTGGGAGGCTGCGGGCGGGCCTGTGGGCTTGCCGCTGATATCTCCCGGGACTCTGCCGGCTGCTGGTTGTGGCCCCCCGGGGCGATCCTCTGTGCGTCTCGAGGGGGGCGGGGGCCTTCCTGGTTGCAGTCTCCTTGGGGTTCCTGTGTTCTGGGGCAGCGCCTGGATCTCTGAGACTTGGAGCTCCCCCCGTCTCCTGCGCATCTTTGGGGGGTGGATCTGTGGTCCCTCACACTCTCTATTGGACGCTCCTATAGAGAAACCTTACATAAACAAGTGCGTGTACACACACAGGTGCTCACATGGTGCTCTCAAAAGTATGGGCTTGGGCACGTTCAACACAGGTCTTAAGACTATGGTGGGCACTTAATCACTGTGATTTATTATCGTGATTCTTCAGTTAATCAATGCTGATTATATATTTCTTCATCAAGATGAAGCAGTGATAGCTTGATCTTGTTGTATTGTTGTTGTGTCCCATTTTTTTTGTTCTTTTGCTTTTTTTTGTCTTTTTCTGCAGGTCTAGAAGCAGACTCTTGTTCATTATTGTTTATTTTTGGGGACCCCCCCACCACCACCACCACCTTTTGTCTTTTCCTTTCTCTTTCACCTCTGACTCCGTGTCTGGTCAGAATTACAAAGCATTCAAAACAACAACAATAAAGTTTTAAGTATCAGGCGTGACATTAAAAGCAGACACTTTGATGCTCCACCTGAGAGTAAATCTGTAAGGCTTGTCACCAGCATTCAGACATCAATTCTGTTTGCTTCACAGCCAGACAGGACACGGTAAAAAAAAACAAAAGAAAAAAAAGGGCTTTTTTAATGCCTCTCAACGTTCTACCATAGTACAACTTTAAATAAGACCGAAGACAGCAGTTTGACCATCCGTTTGTCTGTTTCAAATTTATGTGCACCAGTGTTGTTTTGGCGTCATATACACCGACGTGGAGGGAGAAGCATCACTATAAGAGGAGTTGGGAGTGAGAATGTGTTGTTAATCAAGGCTCCTGGGATATTTTAAGCCCGAACAGTTTCATGTAATTTGTAGAGGCTCAAAATCAGTTTCCAGTTGCAATCATACAACTGTAATATGTGTGAATATAACGTTGCAGCAGTCAAATTCATATAATTGTTTCTGTGTTTCCTACAGATGTTCAACAGCTGGTGCTGGTTAAAGAAGGAGCTCCTGATGAGGACCAGCAGGACTCGGAACACCTCCACATAAAGGAGGAACAGGAGGAACTCTGGACCAGTCTGGAGGCAGAATATCTCCATTTTAAGGAGGAGACTGATGCTGCCAGGTTTCCAGTCACTGCAGTTTCTATAAAGAGTGAGGATGATGAAGAGAAACCTCTGATCTCACAGCTTCATCAGCAGCAACTAGAAGACAGAGATGTTCCAACCAGCAGCTCAGCTGACCAGATGGCAGCAGAAACTAGTGGAGGAGCAGAGAGTAGCAGGATCCCAGATCTGAACCCTCCTGAACAGACTTATAATTCTTCAGAGACTGAAGTTAGTGGAGATGATGAAGAGGATGATGATGTAAATCTAGACTCTGAGCTGTCAGACTCTGGGTCTGAAACTGGAGACGAATACAATGACTGGAATGAGAGCAGGTCTTCTGATTCAGATGGTAGGACTGGTAACAAATCCTTTAGCTGCCCTGAGTGTGGTAAACAGTTTCTCCACCAGTGTTCTCTCCAGAAACATGTGAGCGTGACCGGTCATTCAGTAATAAGGTCTTCAGGCTGTTTGGTTGGTAAAAAGTGTGTTAGAATGAAGCAACATGCAGACCCAGGCAGGAAAGCCCAGGAAGAGCTCAAATCATTTAGTTGTGACAACTGTGGAAAAATATTTAGAACAATATCATATTTAAATAAACACACGAAAGTCCACACAGGACAGAAACCTTTTGCCTGTGAGCACTGTGGTCAAAAATTTGGCCGAAAGGCAACTTTAGACAATCACATGCGAGTCCACACAGGAGAGAAACCTTTTGCCTGTGAGCTCTGCGATCAAAGATTTGGCCGTAAGGATACGTTAAATAATCACATGAGAGTTCACACAGGACAGAAGCCTTTTGCCTGTAAGCTCTGTGGTCAAAGATTTAGCCATAAGGTAACTTTAAACAGACACATAATAGCCCACACCCTCCAGAAGTATTTTGCCTGTGAGCGATGTGGACAAAAATTTAGTCATAAGAAATATTTAAATAATCACATGAAAGTCCACACAGGACACAATGAACAGGAGGCCGGTCATTCAGTAATAAGGTCTTCAGGCTATTTGGTTGGTAAAAAGTGTGTTACAATGAAGCAACATGCAGACCCAGGCAGGAAAGCCCAGAAAGAACTCAAATCATTTAGTTGTGAACACTGTGGAAAAATATTTAGAACAATATCATATTTAAATAAACACACGAAAGTCCACACAGGACAGAAACCTTTTGTCTGTGAGCTCTGTGGACAAAGATTTCGCGAAAAGAACACGTTAAACATTCACATGAGAGTCCACACAGGACAGAAACCTTTTGTCTGTGAGCTCTGCGGACAAAGATTTAGCCAAAAGAACACGTTAAACATTCACATGAGAGTCCACACAGGACAGAAACCTTTTGTCTGTGAGCTCTGCGGACAAAGATTTAGCCAAAAGAACACGTTAAAAAGGCACGCGAGTGTCCACACAGGACAGAAACCTTTTGCCTGTGAGTTATGTGGTCAAAGATTTAGCTGTAAGAGAAATTTTAACGATCACATGAGAGTCCACACAGGACAGAGGCCTTTTGTGTGTGAGCTCTGCGGACAAAGATTTAGCCTAAAGAACACATTAAAAAGGCACACGAGAGTCCACACAGGACAGAAACCGTTTGTCTGTGAGCTCTGCGGGCAAAGATTTAGCCAAAAGAACACTTTAAAAAGGCACGTGATTGTCCACACAGGACAGAAACCTTTTGCCTGTGAGTTATGTGGTCAAAGATTTAGCCGTAAGAATACTTTAAAGGATCACATGAGAGTCCACACAGGACAGAAACCTTTTGCCTGTGAGTTATGTGGTCAAAGATTTAGCCATAAGAAAACTTTAAAGGATCACATGAGAGTCCACACATGACAGAAGCCTTTTGCCTGTGACTACTGTGGTCAAAAATTTGGCCGAGAGGCAACTTTAGACAATCACATGAGAGAAACCTTTTGCCTGTTAGCTATGCGATCAAAAATTTGGCCGTAAGGATACTTTAAATAATCACATGAGAGTTCACACAGGAGAGAAGCCTTTTGCCTGTGAGCTCTGGTCAAAGATTTAGCCATAAGGTAACTTTAAACAGACACATAATAGCCCACACCCTCCAGAAGTCCTTTGCCTGTGAGCGATGTGGACAAAAATTTAGTCATAAGGCATATTTAAATAATCACATGAAAGTCCACACAGGACACAATGAACAGGAGCCACAAAGGTGTGGTTCACTGAAAAAACAATATTTATTGATTATTTCTGGTAATAATTGGTCACAGTTTTTCATGCAGGCTGAAAATGGAAATAACCTCCTACACATATCTCCTGCATTAGCTTCTGATAAAAATGTAGAAAATAGACAGTGAAACTCTAGGATTTGAAATCCCCTCGAGATCTACATCGCACTGATGTAGAGTTAGACTACAGATGTGTTTTGGTTTTAATTATGATCAATAAGATGTGATGATTCTATATAAATATAGAGTATCATCCTTATTGATCTTTGAATGTTTAACCAGAAGAATTAGGATTATTTGTTTATTCAGGGATCACAACACACTTCGTATTAATTCAGAGAGAGTCAAGTTTATAAAAAGTAAATTTTATTTTCTAAACAATTGAAAACATGACAACTAGGAAACACTTTATGTGATGAATGAATCTAAGTGGATGGAATGTGAGGTGTGATGATGTGTGAATGTGATGTTGTCAGAACCGTCGTATCTGAAGAAACTGAGTTCTGAGTGGGAGTGAATTTGGTCTGCTACAAACTATAAGTGGTGGTTAATAAAACCACATCAGACGCAATGTGTCGTGCCTACGTACCCTCTCAAAGACCGTCGTGGTAGATCCGTAATGTGTTGAAGTCCGGGGACCCCAAAGGTACTGAAGTCCGTTGGAGAAACAGCAGCACCACTTGACCAGTCTTAGAGTTGTCTCCAGGTCACAACAGGTACTTATTTGCGTCTATGGAAAGACTCTTAAGGAGTTGGAGCTGTGTCAGCTTTATTCTGAAGGAACCGTTGGCGGTCAGCTGTAGCGCGCAACAGGTTTTGGCAGCTTGTCAAAAGATGCAATGGCCATAGTCCAGAGTTAGCTCAACTGACTCACGGTGAAGCGAGTTCTGTGTTAATAATTGCCATGTTTTGACTTAGTGACAAATCAGAATTTGACATGTAAATGGGTTTTGCCAACAAACCTCAGAAACCATACCTTGCTCAGATACAAGAGTTCTGATTTGTGGAAAAGAAAGCAATGTGTCAGGATATTAACTAAACCTTGTCATCGTCACGTGTCTGAGTGTGTGAGCTGTCAGTAGATAGTGTAGCATCACGGAAGGTCCTCTAATTTGTGGCAAAAGTCACATTTACCCAGCTGGGTCAAGCTGGGTCAAACAGTACTTTTAAATCCACAGATTAACCAAGGAGCCATGATGTCTGGAAGAACATATCACCATATCTGCTGCTGTTCCGTCCCAGAAGAAGGACACTTCAAGTTCACGATAATAATTAAATAATAATATTAATAAACTCTTTGATTTTATTACTGTTTATTATAATCATCATAAATGATCACGTGGTTCAGTATAAAGGTATTTTAATTACATGAAATGAATTATTATGCTTTGGGTATAATAATGATGAATTATGATTATGGTTGATGACAGTAATGTGTTCAACAAAGAAGGTCACTTCCACCTTATCCATCTAACACAGAGTTCATCTAAACAATAACTGCCAACACATGTTTTGACGCATGACCAAAGCTTTCTCGCTGAGAGAGTGGGTGTGTTCTGAGAGCTTTGTAAACTAACCATCACCAGCTTCAAGTCAGTTCTTGAACCAACACCATCCTGAGGAGACGGGACGGCCGCCCTGACACTCTGCAAAGCTGTTCTGTCACGCCGACAAGAATAGCTAAGAATAAACGTAAACTGTAACCAGCTGATGAAAAACTCCTTACAGAGTTATTGATTTCTGAGTTAAGTTCAGACGAGAAACTTCTAAACAGCTAAGCCAAACGCTCGACACTGTACCCGGGACATCTCTGGACCAGAGGATCGGTTCACTCACGTCTTCTCTGCCGGACCGAGTACCTTGGATGAAACACCATCCCCCTGACCTCCGGATCCACAAGAGGGTCTCCTGTTTGGGTGAGGTAGCACACAGGAATGTGTTTGATGCTGTTTTCTCTAAGTAAACAACTCAGTTAGCCGCAAAACATCATTTCCATCCAGAATGCTTTTCTCTCTCTCTGAAAGAAATCTGATAATTCAATTCACGCATCCAAACTCGTATTTCCAATTTAGCTTTCATCAGCCACAGGTTTGTCCTTTTAAAACAAATTTAATATCAAAGCTGTTAAAATTGTCATTAAATTGTCATTCATGAATTGTCGTTTATAATTGTTGTTCAAATCTTTAAGTTTAAAATTGTTGGTAATAAAATTTCTTCATTTTTAAACTTGCCTCATTATTGAAACGAAACACAGAAAGGGATAATTCTGGTTATTGAAAAGCAAAGATTCCTAGCTTCTGATTCAAAAATAAACTGTTGCTATAAAATTTAATTACCGTAAATCCTCTAATATTAGCCTGTATTCAATTAACTGCCGGGTATCAAATTTTGGCCGGTGTCGGAGTCGGCGGAGGTGAATAATGGCCGTTTTTTTATTGTGGCCGGGTGGAATGTGGTAACAAGCAAGTACGGGGGGCGGTTGTGTCATCCGTCTCACTTTTGATTTGATTGATGTGGTACATGACAAATATATATGTTGACTAGTGCATGCGTGTGTGTTAAGCCCCGGATCTTCTTCAGTCCTTAATACGCCCCTGCTGAACACAGGTCTGTGGAACAGAACAAATGTTAATCTCGTCCAGAAGGTGGCGCTAGCGCACCTTTACGCTGGTCACGGACCACCGGAAGCAGCAGAAACCGGAAGCTGCTAGCAGAGCTAGCTTGTTGTTGTTGTGGTGTGTGAGGAGAAGATTTGAGGCTCTGCAGTAAAAACGTCTTCACTTCAGTCTCTGGGAGAGTTGATCAGCTAAAGCGACTAACTGCTGCTGCTGCAGAAATCTTCTCACCAGGCTGTGGAAACTTTCTTCTCCTCCTCAACAACTTGGTGGAGTTCTTTCCAGAAGCAGAGAAGCTATTCTGCGGTCTTCGTGACAATCGGAGCTCCAGAAGCAGGTGATGGGTGAGAAAAGCTTTTCTCTAGACTTCCTGCCCTCTGGATCTGCTGCTGTTCCTTTGGCCTCTCTGAGAAACGCGCTCGTTTTGCTGCTTTCATCAGACTGAAGAGGTTCCCTCTATCAGACTCGCTCATCTGAGTTGGTCATGATGCAGGATCGCTGCTCGCTCTCTCATCCATCCTGCTCACACTCTCCGACGGAAAAGGCCCGAATCTGAATGTGACTCTGGAGGAAAAAGCGGTTAGCTCTACTCCGTGAACTCTGGTGAGCAAAGGTCCTCTTTTCCAGACTGGATGTGTCCTCAGCTGATCAGAACCAAAGCGTTGGATCTTTAATCTCCTGCGTTGTTCTGAAGCAGCATCTTAATCAGCTCTCCTGCTTTGTTTCTATTGCAGCTGTTAGCTAAACACGGCTAAAGAAAACCTGCTACCACTTCAGGATCATCCATCAGCTGGGACTGCTTCATCAGCATGGACACAGGTACTGGTGTGTGTGTGTGTGTGTGTGTGTGTGTGTGTGTGTGTGTGCGTGTGCGTGCGTGCGTGCGTGCGTGCGCATGTGTGTGGTGCCGATCATGTGTGGCTAGATTAAATATGTGATTTTAGGACCACCCTAAATTGTTAGAGGTTAATTTTACACAATAAAATAATAATTATTTATAAATATCAGATGCAAAACAGAGAACTAGACAACAACAATCTAATACATGTTATCGAACATTTTATTTTAAAAAAAAACTGAAACCGTGAGATTTAGTCAGTGTTCAAAAGCCCCTGTTGCAAGGCCGGATTAACCATACGGGCAACTGGGCAATTGTCCAGGGCCCACAAACTCTAAAGGGCCCAGGGCAGCAAGGGCACAAGCAAAATACTGTATCTGTAATCTCCTGCTTTATATTAAACTAGTGTGACCGTACGTCCTGTTTTCCCCGGACATGTCCACTTTTCACTCTGTCCTGGATGTCCGGGTTCTTGTATTGATGAAAATGTCCGGCTTTTCATCCAGGAGCAGGGATGGGGGAGCTGTATATCCTACACATCCAGGGGAGCCGGAAAAAAGTTTTCTACCTAAAAGTTTTCAAAGGCCCGCTCTCTACTAGATTTATACCTCATTTTCAGGACGCACAAAAGCAAATGATCTGCAGATCCCAGGTTTCTGGTTGGAGCATAAGGCTTTATCAGTTCTGAAAGGTAAGCCGGGGCTTGACCATTCAGAATGTTGTAGACAAAGGTCAAAACCTTAAATTGGATGCGGTATTTAACAGGCAGCCAGTGCAAGCATGCAAGGACGAGTGAAATGTGACGGCGTCTGGAGGTGTTTGTCAGGACCCTAGCCGCCGCATTTTGCACTCTCTGTAGACGCTTGATTGCTGAGGCACTGACACCAACAAGTAGTGAGTTGGCATGGTCTAAACGTGTGGTTACAAAGGCGTGAACAACAGACTCCAGCTGAGGTCGTTTAACTATTGACTTTAAGCGCGAGATGCGACGTAGTTGAAAAAAGCAGGACCGGACTGTAGAGTTAATTTGTGAACTCATTAACAGATCAGAGTCAAGTTTCACTCCCAGACTGGATACACAGGATTTAGGATTTAAAAACGGTAGAGGGTAGTCACCAGGTGCATGCATTGGATTTATTGGGTTAAAAAGAATGGCGTTGGTCTTGTTTTTGTTAAGACAAAGGAAGTTCTCCGACAGCCAGCCTTTAACTGCAGTAATACAGTCGACAAGGAGGCGTGTTGAGTCAGGTTTACTTAAAGCCAGATAAATCTGGCAATCGTCCACGTAAAGGTGATAACTCATTCCAAGTTTGTCAGAATCATCCCCAATGGCAATAAGTAAATCGAGAATAGGAGTGGCCCTAGAATCGAACCCTGAGGCACACCCCAGCGAAGTGGAGTAGATGGAGAGGAAAAACTCAATGTGAATACTAAATTGTCTATCTGACAAATATGATCTGAACCAATGAAGGGCGATCCCTGTTACCCCCAACCTCATCTCCAACCTCCTAAGTAGGATGTCATGGTCCTCTGTGTCGAAGGCAGCAGAGAGGTGCAGGAGTAACAGAAGGACATGGGAACCAGAATCAGTTGCCACCAGGATATCATTTAATACACGAAGATGTGCAGTTTCTGTGCTGTGGTGAGGTCTAAAGCCAGACTGACAGTGATCGAGGAGGCTATGATCTCCTATGTAACTGGAAAGTTGAGTGTGAACTACTATCTCAGTAATTTTGGATAAAAACGAGAGTTTGGAAATCAGACGATAATTAGAAAAGTCAGTATGATCCAAGCCAGGTTTTTTCAGTAAAGGATGTACAACTGCATTCTTAAAAGTGGTTGGAAACACTCCAGTCAAAATGCTGTTGTTGACGATTTCCAGAATAAATGGCGCCAGCACAGGAAGAGCCCCAACTAGTAGTTTTGGTGGGAGGGGGTCCTCTGGAGAACCAGAGGGTTTCATGGACCTGACCAGCTCCTCCAAATCATGAAGAGACAACAGTGTAAAATTAGAAAATTGACTTAGACAGACTGGTTCCTCAATGGTGGGCTGACCCAATGGCAAGATGCTTGACCTAATAATCTGAATTTTAAGCTGAAAAGAGTTCATAAAATCGGTGCAAAGGGACGTTGTTGGTACTGAGAGTGTAGTTGCATCTTTTAAAAAGAGAACCGAATTAATGGTACTAAATAGTTTACGTTGATCACCAAGATGTGTTGTGACTATATTACTATAAAAGTTATTTCTGGCTGTTCTCACCGCTGATACAAAAATAGAGAATCTTTCAACCTTTGTAAGGAAATTTCTAAATTGTTTAGTGATGGGTGGCTCAAGACTCGCCTTTTTAGCTTAGCTTTTAACTATTTATTCTTTTTCATAGTCTGTTTTAAATGCTTGCATAATTTAACTTGATTTCATTTTAACAGAGTTTTGCTGTATATCTATGTTTTTGTATTATTTCTATCTACATTTACTTTTTTCTATTCATATTAGCTCTTGTTATTTTATATTTGAATTTATTTTAATCTTTCCAGTGTTTCTTCTGTGGGAGCCCTCTGCCTCGGGGTCGGTGGCAGCCTGGGTGGAGTTGGAGGTCTCTGACCTAACTTGTTTGGACGCCCTCGCTCGGCACCAAGGCTGCTAATGCGTTTCTGCTGCAGTTGGGACAGATAAAGTTAAAGTTAAAGTCCCATTAGTTGTCACACACACAGGTGTGTGTGCGAAATTTGTTTTCCGCATTTGACCCATCCCCTGGGGGAGCGGTGAGCTGCAGACACAGCTGCGCTCGGGAACGATTTGGTGGTTTAACCCCCCAATCCAACCCCTTAATGCTGAGTGTCAAGCAGGGAGGCATTGGGTCTTTGGTATGACCCGACCAGGAATCGAACCCCTGATCTCCCAGTCTCAGGGCGGACACTCTACCACTAGGCCACTGAAAAAGGTCAAAGTGGAGATAGCTCCCCTGGTGGCGTCTCTTTATCCTATCTGCACATCTGAGCTCAAGTAGCCAGGGTGCATGATCAATCGGGACACTGTGACAGGACACTCACACTGTCACATCTTCCCCCCTCTTTCCACAAGCACATCCTCGTGCTCCCGCGCAGGGTGCCACAAACTTCACATCCATGGACCTACTTGACAGTACTACATGGATCCTGCCAACAACGCCAAATGTGGCAAGGTGGAGAAACGAGGGCCCAGGCGGGATTTGATCCCCAGACTCCCGGGTGAGAGTCATACGCTCTAACCCAGGGGTCGGCAACCTGTTCCCATCAAAGAGCCATTATTACCCATTTCCCACAGTAAAGAAAACACTGGGAGCCACAGCAGCCGCGGCGTTGTGGGCGGAGCCTACCCTCAGACAGCAGAGAGCTGCTCACAACAGGTGACAGCAGCCAGTACCGGTCGCTCGTGTACGTCAAAGTTATCTCTCATAAGACGATAATCAATAAAACGATTTATATAAAGTGGATCCAGAAGTTGTAGCCCGTCTCTGCCGACAATATTTAGATATTTTTCTCCCTGTTGGTGGTTTTACTGAGCAGGTGCCACTTTTGTCATACGTTTCTTTCTAAAACATGTTTAGACTTTTCAGAATACAAATCCAGGCTCTGTCACGTTTGATTGTTGTAATTAAACTTTGTAGGTGGGGAAGGTCAGAAAAGGATCCGATCATTTTGTTTTTCCCTCATTTACAGCGACGGAGATAACGGCGCAGTGCACCTGGCTCTGGTGTTAATCAAGTTAAATTATATCTCTTTGCAACAATTTTCACAAGAAAACAGAACAGTTAAAAGCAGGGCTTGTGTTGTGTTGACCGGACAGTTCCCGTATTTGACTGTTTATTTTGACGGAGAAAGAATAGAAAGAATTACCCTGACGCATGCAGACGAACTGACATTTTATTCGTTTCGCACATCGCAGATGTAGCTAAATCACTCAAGAAATGATTCCCATCTGAACATCTGAGCTGGACACTGCTCAGCGCAGCTCACTGTCAGCGTGTACTACATAAGGTACACAGCGAGCTGAAGATGTGGAGATTGGCTTGGAGCACATCGCAGAACCAGAGCGCATGCAGGAAGATTCCTCCCACTGAAGCGAGTGTTTTCCAAACCCTGTCTCTCAGAGAGACTTGTCACTTAGAAAATGTTCCCTGATGATGAAACTTTGGCTGATTAGCGCTTGTTCCTGTCTCCAATGTGGCGACACATCCAGGAGCCGTCTGAGGAGAATCCTAGAATCTCACATCTTCAGCTCAGAAAGCGCCTATGATTACGCACAAGCGTGACCCGTCAACCCGGTCTCACAGTAAGACCGGGTTGGAACTGTTCAGGTTTACGCAGACAATCTTTACATAGAATTGACTTACAGATGTAAAATTAATGCAGTAAAATATCAAGCATTTTATTTAAATATCCATTCATTATTTTACAAGCACACAGAGCCGCATCAGATGGATGGAAGAGCCGCATGCGTCTCCAGAGCCGCGGGTTGCCGACCCCCGCTCTAACCAGTCAGCCAAAGGGACATCCCCTTGGCCAAGTAGCCAGGGCGCATGATCAATCGGGACACTGTGACAGGACGCTCACACTGCCACACATACAACTGTAATATGTGTGAATTTAACGTTGCAGCAGTCAAATTCATACAATTGTTTCTGTGTTTCCTACAGATGTTCAACAGCTGGTGCTGGTTAAAGAAGGAGCTCCTGATGAGGACCAGCAGGACTCGGAACACCTCCACATAAAGGAGGAACAGGAGGAACTCTGGACTAGTCTGGAGGCAGAATGTCTCCATTTTAAGGAGGAGACTGATGCTGCCAGGTTTCCAGTCACTGCAGTTTCTATAAAGAGTGAGGATGATGAAGAGAAACCTCTGATCTCACAGCTTCATCAGCAGCAACTAGAAGACAGAGATGTTCCAACCAGCAGCTCAGCTGACCAGATGGCAGCAGAAACTGGTGGAGGAGCAGAGAGTAGCAGGATCCCAGATCTGAACCCTCATGAACAGACTTATAATTCTTCAGAGACTGAAGTTAGTGGAGATGATGAAGAGGATGATGATGTAAATCTAGACTCTGAGCTGTCAGACTCTGGGTCTGAAACTGGAGACGAATACAATGACTGGAATGAGAGCAGGTCTTCTGAGTCAGATGGTAGGACTGGTAACAAATCCTTTAGCTGCCCTGAGTGTGGTAAACAGTTTCTCCACCAGTGTTCTCTCCAGAAACATGTGAGCGTGACCGGTCATTCAGTAATAAGGTCTTCAGGCTGTTTGGTTGGTAAAAAGTGTGTTAGAATGAAGCAACATGCAGACCCAGGCAGGAAAGCCCAGGAAGAGCTCAAATCATTTAGTTGTGACAACTGTGGAAAAATATTTAGAACAATATCATATTTAAATAAACACACGAAAGTCCACACAGGACAGAAACCTTTTGTCTGTGAGCTCTGTGGACAAAGATTTGGCCAAAAGAACACGTTAAACAGGCACATGAGAGTCCACACAGGACAGAAACCTTTTGTCTGTGAGCTCTGTGGGCAAAGATTTAGCCAAAAGAACACGTTAAAAAGGCACGCGAGTGTCCACACAGGACAGAAACCGTTTGTCTGTGAGCTCTGCGGACAAAGATTTAGCCAAAAGAACACGTTAAAAAGGCACGAGAGTGTCCACACAGGACAGAAACCTTTTGCGTGTGAGTTATGTGGTCAAAGATTTAGCTGTAAGAAAACTTTAAACGATCACATGAGAGTCCACACAGGACAGAGGCCTTTTGTGTGTGAGCTCTGCGGACAAAGATTTAGCCAAAAGAACACGTTAAAAAGGCACACGAGAGTCCACACAGGACAGAAACCTTTTGTCTGTGAGCTCTGCGGACAAAGATTTAGCCAAAAGAACACCTTACAAAGGCATGCCAGTGTCCACACAGGACAGAAACCTTTTGCCTGTGAGTTATGTGGTCAAAGATTTAGTTGTAAGAAAACTTTAAACGATCACATGAGAGTCCACACAGGACAGAGGCCTTTTGCTTGTGAGCTCTGTGGTCAAAGATTTAGCCACAAGATAACTTTAAACAGGCACATGAGAGTCCACACAGGACAGAAACTTTTTCTCTGTGATCTCTGTGGACAAATATTTAGCCAAAAGGCACATTTAAACAAGCACATGAAAGTCCACACAGGAAAGAAACCTTTTCTGTGTGATCTCTGTGGACAAATATTTAGCCGTAAGACAAATTTAAACAAGCACATGAAAGTCCACACGGTACAGAAAGAAAGAAAACAATCTTTTTTTTAGCGCCTCTCAAGATAGAAATCACATGGCACTTGACAAGAACAAAAAATATATAAAAGAAAAACTTTTTTTTAATATAAAAATGACAACAGTAAAAAAAATGTTCATATAAAAGGATTGGAAGGGTTCCCTCTACATGTAGGGTAGATGTATGTGTAATTGATTGTGGCACTCCGCCACCACAAAATTAAAGTCGCCCCACAGTTCCAGTGACGTGTTTTTTATATATTCCCCTTGTTTCAATTTCTAGGCATCATTTGCCTTTCTTGCAAACATTTCCCTTATCAACTCCAGCCAGTGTGAGTGACGTCACCACGCACATAACGTAGCTTACACGTTTACTCGGCTGGAGACATGGCGCCTAAGCAGCAGAAATGCTCAAAAGTTTGGTTCATCTTTACGAGAAAGGTTGACAACAGGGCAACTTGCAGTACTTGCAAAGTAGATATCTAATCATAGAAGGAAACACTACATACATGCAAAAGTATTTAAATGTGGTAACTTAAAGTTATTGTGTTTGGACTCGCTCCTGACTAGTGAATGTCAACGCAGCACCAGCAGTGACATTCGCACGTCCTCTCCTGTTATTACTGCAGGTAACTGATCAACTAGCACTGCCTATCGTGTTGGCGTTATTTGTCTTTAAACTCCCCCCCCCCCCCCCCCCCCACACACACACACACACACTGGCAGACTCCAGTGACAAAAGTCCAACCTGTGGTGAGATTTTGCAAAAGCTACAGCAACTCTACACCAAACAACAAGATGGCTGCCTTTACAGGGAGCATAAAGGAGAACATTTGAAACCATCTTTACAAACAATACCAGGACCGTGCTGGAGACTGAGTGCTATTAATTTTTTGCCACCTATTGAACTACTCGAGAATTGATAAGGAATTAGATCGATAGAATGACAATGACATTGATATTGATTAACCTTTATCAATTCCCACCCCCTAGTGAGCACAGAGTGGAGGATGGGGAAATGCTGTAAGAATTAAAGCTTGTGGCTGTTCAGGGAGACCCTGGCAGAGTCTCTGTGGTATTACAGTCATTTTTTGTGTCACAGCGACAAGTCCGGTGTCAAATGGTGCTGAAAATCACAAAGACTATAGTGGTCAAATGCAGGTTTAGACAGGTCCACGCTAAAACCCACAGACGATTCTAACACAGACAAGGTTCTGGGGTGGTGTTTCAGATACAAACAAGCTTTAAAACACAAAGAAATAATGAGAGCAATCTTTACTTATTTATTCTCAAAAGTAAAAAAGATCTAACTAGGATTAGATCTGACTTCCCTCAGATCAAAGTCAGTGACGCTTTTTCTCTTCCCTAAATATTACCACTATTAGATTTGTTGACAGTTTAGAAAAAAGAAGTGGATATTTATTTAATGGGATGTTGACATTAGTGGAAAATTAATGAAAATATTACAGGTACTTTTAGCGTCGTTCTTTTGTGTCAATTCAGTGTAAATGTTCAATGAAATCTCTAAAGCTGTTTAAACCTGCCTTTTTGTTGTAGGTCTGTCTATATTTTCAAAAGGAGATGATGGTTTAAAATCGTTGTAGCTAAAGTTATCAGAGCTGCTGTAGAAGGTCCACAGAGCCTGAGTTAAGCTGTGGTAACTGGAGAGGAGCTGTGAAACCGTACGAAAGCTTTTGCTGTTTGCTTGTTCACGTTGAATTCAAGCAGGAATGAAATATATAACCTACTGGTTTTACATACAGGAAGGAGATCAGACATGTATTTTGGCCCCATGTCATTGAGTGATTTAAAAACTAGTAGGAGCACTTTGAAATCTATTCTGTGGTTTACTGGTAACCAGTGTAGGGATGAGAGAGAGATAAGCACAAAACATCAGGCTGTTCATAGGCACGAGTGTCCGATAGGCAGGTGGGAGGGGCTGAGAATGCAGCCTCAGTGCGCATGCTCGATCCCTGTTGTTCACAGGTGGGAGGGAGATTAATGGTGCAAAGTGCACATAGACTCCTTTGGTTTGGTGACCTTGCCAGATCAGGCCACAAATCTAAAGGTGGGGGCAAGGGTGGGTTTTCACAGCATCTGTCTGCGTTCCTTCGTGGGGGGGGTTTCAGGCTCAAGGCTGTCTGATTCAGATAAGAAAAATTGTTTGGGAGCAGGCAGAGATAATATCCTCTCTGACTTTGAGTTCTTAACTGGTCTCCAGCCCTTAGTAAATCCAATAATTAGGTTTAAACTTGCCCATACCATTCAGTGACTTTCTCCAAGATGATGTCCATTTTGCGTGCTAACATCGGAATCGCAGCTCGAAACTCTAGCTTGCCGTTCACCTTGAGCAGTGTCCAAGTCTGAGCAGTCTCCACACGTTTGAGACTATCCGTAAGCTCGGGTGGCACTCCAATCACCCCCGAATTCCCAATTTTACGAAATACCAGAAAACCTCCCACTCCAATCAGAAGAAATTCAACAACGATCCTTGTTGTTCGAACATCTTCAATACATCCCTGGTTGTTGTCCTTTACTCTAGAACAGGGTCGCTTGGCACATATTGTGTTTACCAAGCTGTAAATCTTTCACTAAGTCCATAGCCTCTTTTAGAAAACAATACTGCCAGTTTGACTCAATTTGGCATCTGGGAGCCTTAGGTTGTTTATAAATGCTCAGAACGTGGTAGTAACGTGGCACAATCGTGAAAGATGACACAATGACTGTGTAAAGGGGGTGCTTGCTGCGCTGCCGCAAACTTCCGTTTAACTTGGACAGAACTTGCTTTTTGTTGTGATAGAAGCCATGCTCATTCATTTTTGTTCATACAGTCACTCACAGTCCTCGTGCACTCTGGTGATCGGAGCTCCAGCTCTAACAGAGAGGAGCTTCGCATCGCTCTAGTTTATCAGCTCAGCTGATTCTGTTTACAAAAGTGAAACTTATCGGCGTGCTTACGGTCGTTTTTAATATAGTTTCCTGGCGGAGCTCGGCAGTGATTCCCCACATGATCATGACACCTCCCTATCTTGTATATCACCGTAATATCCATTCACAAGTCTGGCATTGTGGCAATATGGCCATCAAGCATGCCGGCACGAATGCCGCAAGATTCCCGCATCACCAAGCCGGCACAGCATGTTCATAAGACACACCGGGGTGGCAGTATTGTGCTGATTTGCCTTTCTAAAAAGGGCTATTGTTGCATAAAATAAAAATACACATCAGTGGTATTCGTTACTGTGTCTCAATTATTTTCATAATTGTATTCCTTAAAATGTGTATATGTTAATAATTTTTGAGATCCTAAGCTGAATATTTTGAATATTTTAAGTATTTGTTTTATCTTTTCTTGTTGTTTATTCTATTATTTTTGCTCCTGTTATGAAAGTAATTACTGCCTTGGCACCCAAGTTCCCCACTGAGGGACAATAAAGGGATTTTCTGGTCTATGTCAATGCTCTCTGTAGCCTTTGCACATTTATTTCCTGTTTTACTGTAGGCTTAATCTTTTTTCACATGCATACATCAAAATCCAAAAATTTGAAACTTCCCTAAATGAAAATGCACTATTTAAGCTATTAACCTTCACGCTTTGAAGTAGAATATGGACATTCTTCGCCCCTTTCAGCCCAAAACAGATTGCTGAGCTGTTGTAATCACCAGTTCTGGGATTCAAAGTTGGCAAATATCCGGGTAAAGTTGGCATTGAGAAAGAGGAGTATTTTCAGTTTCTTGGAAACTGAGGAGAAAACGGCCAAAGACAACAATTCTGGTAGAAAGCTCGCACCTCCTTTGGCTGCTCCTCATTCCAGTTTGCTACTTCCAATGACGGAATGAGCTGCTGAAACTACTGAATTCCTACATTCCATTATCTACCTTCAAATATTTATTACGATCAATAGTTTCTGAGTACATTTTTAGATTGCTTGTACATATTATATATGACAACAGTCTTGTCTATATGTCTAACTCTTTAGTTTGTTTTTATCTTTTTAAACAAATGGAAAATGTAGAATGTTCAATAATAACTGTAAACAGAAAGGAGGCGCATTGAGTGATGCGCTAACCTTGCAAAGCACTATGGGATTTGTAGTATTTGCGGCAACAGGGCACCTGGGGCGCCAGTTTTAATATGATCTTGCGTGTTAAGTGGGACTCCTTTTATCCAATCCTCCCTGGTGAGGTTTTCCGAGCACGTCCAACCAGTAAAAGACCTAAACGCAGACCTAGGACACATTGGAGGGACTATGTCTCTCAGCTGGCCAGGGAACGTCTTGGTAATCCCCCAGAAGAGCTGGCCCAAGTAGCTGGGGAGAGGGAAGTCTGGGCCTCTCGACTTAGGCCACTGACCCCGCGACCTGACTCCAGATAAGCAGAAGAGAATGAATGGATGGATGGAAGTTAAAACTAAAGCCTGATTTGTATTTCTCCGTGAGCTTCAGGTTCAGAGGATCTTTCATGGATGTAAATTCAAAGAGTCTGAGTACCTGGCCCAGAGGGTTACCGGGGTCCCACCCTGGAGCCAGGCCTGGGGTTGGGGCCCGTGAGCGAGCGCCTGGTGGCTCCAAAGAGGTTCTGGCAAACTGTCCGGCGCCTCAGGAGAGGAAGGAAGAAACTCGCTCACACTGTTTACAGTGGGGATGGGGAGCTGCTGACGTCAACTGGGGCTGTAGTCGGACGGTAGAAGGAATACTTTGAGGAGCTCCTCAATCCCACCTATGCGCATTCTGAGGAGGAACCAGAGCCGGGGGACCTGGTGATGGACTGTCCAATCTTGGGGGCAGAAGTTGCTGAGGTAGTCAAACAACTACACAGCGGCGGAGCCCCTGGGGCGGATGAGGTTCGTCCTGGGTGCCTCAAGGCTATGGATCTTGTAGGGCTGTCATGGTTGACATGTCTCTGCAACATTGCGTGGTCATCGGGGGCAGTTCCTGTGGAGTGGCAGACCGAGGTGGTGGTCCCCATCTTTAAGAAGGGTGACCTGAGGGTGTGTTCCAACTATAGGGGGATCACACTCCTCAGCCTCCCTGGAAAGGTCTACTCCAAGGTACTGGAGAGGAGGGTCCGATCGATAGTTGAATCTCAGATTGAGGAGGAGCAATGTGGTTTTTGTCCTAGCCGTGGAACTGTGGACCAGCTCTATACCCTTGCAAGGGTGATGGAGGGGGCATGGGAGTTTGCCCAACCAATCCACATGTGCTTTGTGGATTTGGAGAAGGCTTATGACCGTGTCCCCAGGGGCACCCTGTGGGGGACGCTCCAGGAGTATGGGGTGGGTGGCTTTCTGTTAAGGGCCATTCAGTCCCTTTACCAGAGGAGCGTGAGTTTGGTCCGCATAGCCGGTAGTCAATCAATCAATCAATCAAAATTTATTTCTAAAACGCTTTTCAAACAAAGTGTGATTCAAAGTGTAGTAAGTCGGACCTGTTCCCGGTGAGGGTTGGACTCCGCCAGGGCTGCCCTTTGTCACCGGTTCTGTTAATTACCTTTATGGACAGAATTTCTAGGTGCAGCCGTGGTGTGGAGCGTGTCGAGTTTGGTGGCAGGAGAATCTCGTCTCTGCTTTTTGCGGATGATGTGGTCCTCCTAGCTTCATCCAGCTCTGACCTTCAGCTCTTGCTGGGTAGGTTCACAGCCAAGTGTAAAGTGGCTGGGATGAGGATCAGCACCTCCAAATCTGAGACCATGGTTCTCAACCGGAAAAGGGTGGCTTGCCAACTCTGTGTCGGGGGAGAGGTCCTACCTCAAGTGGAGGAGTTTAAGTATCTCGGGGGTCTTGTTCACGAGTGAGGGTAGGAGGATTGGGAGATCGACAGGCGGATTGGTTCAGCATCTGCAGTGATGCGGACGCTGAGCCGATCTGTCATGGTGAAGAGGGAGCTGAGCCAGAAAGCCAGGCTCTCCATTTACCGGTCGATCTACGTCCCAATCCTCACCTATGGTCATGAGCTTTGGGTAATGACTGAAAGAACGAGATTGCGGATACAAGCAGCCGAAATGAGTTTCCTCCGTAGGGTGGCCAGGCTCAGCCTTAGAGATAGGGTGAGGAGCTCGGACATTCGGGAGGGACTCGGAGGAGAACCGCTGCTCCTCCGGATCGAAAGGAGTCAGTTGAGGTGGTTTGGGCATCTGGTCAGGATGCCTCCTGGACGCCTCCCTGGGAGGTGTTTCGGGCATGTCCTGCCGGCAGGAGGCCCCCGGGTCGACCCAGGACAAGTTGGAGAGGTTACATCTTCAATCTGGTCCGGGAACGCCTTGGGGTCCTGCCGGAGGAGCTGGTAGAGGTGGCTGGGGAGAGGATGGTCTGGAGCTCCCTAGTTGGGATGCTGTCCCCGCGACCCGGACCCGGATAAGTGGAGGAAGATGACGACGTGAGCTTCACAATGGAGAGACGCACATGCAAACTTCTGTTCAGACAGCTTATTGCAAAGCAATTCCCTACCAGGACAACAGAGGGCGTAGCACTTTCCTGTGGCATCTTGTCACCATAACACTCATGTATCCAGTCCATGATCGTGTATTTACTAATGTGTTTATGTGACAACACGAGTGGGACCTCTAGGAAAAATGAAAATCTACAGTGCCAAAGTTTACGACTGACAGATAAAACTAGTAAAAAGGTAGAAAAGTTCAACTATTACTATCAAAAGGTTCTAAAACAAGGCAAGCAGTGCAACCACAAAAGCAAATGAAAAAGGAATTTAATCCGAAAGCTCGCGGATGATGATGCCCAAAATGAACTCCTAAATAAAGTCTGTGCTGGGGCTCAGGGGACAAAGCAGTCCAGTCCGGCCCTGCGCAAGCTCGACAGGGAAGCCTTTACGACCCCGCGCTCCTGCGGTGCGCGTCGTCCTCGGGGAACCACAGGATCGCCGCACGGTGGATCCAATCCTCTTCCTCTCGGCCCGGCCCCTGTGGGCACACAAAAACTCCGGCAGTAAAAGGTTCCCGGCACCAGACCACACACAGAGAGACAGCAAATTCCAAGTACTGCTAGGCACCGCTCAATTACTGACGCGCGGGGGCAGAGTAACTCTGCCCGCCTGCCGTGTTGCGCTCCGTGCCCTGGCTTCTCCGGCTGCGGATCTTGCTCTCCGCTGCTGCTGCTGTCCATTCCGCTGGTGAACCCCCTCCTCTGTCCAAGACTCCAACCAGACTCAGTGGCACCTGTACACGCGCCGCACATGTGTTGAGGGAGGGACACCCACGCTCCTCCGCACTCGGCCGCCGTCCTTCCTCCAGGACCGTACTCCGGGTGCTCCTCTGTTCCGGCGGGGTGGGGGGGGGGGGGTGGGGGGGTGTTCAGGCACATGTGTCCTCAAGACATCATCCGGGGTGCGTCTCTGCCTCTTAGCTGGCTCTGTCTGCCATCCTGGCTCTCTCCCGGTCCATGCGTTCCTCCCTTTAAATAAAACCTGTCCTGCCTGCGTCTGTCCATTCATTGGCAGTCCAGGCAACACTGCCACAGGTGAAGATGATTGGGGTGATTGACAGAATGAAACACAATGTTGCACCAAACAAACTAAAAACACACCATCAATAAAAACATGCACATCAGAATAAAAACAAGTAAAACATGCAATACAAAATATAACATAAGTGCAACATTACCACTCTGAGACATTTATATATTTCAGAGACTTTTTTCTTCGTTCTCCTCCACCTCTTTATGTTGTCGCCACCTCCAAACCCACGTTTCCTGTCATTCCCATCCACGTTTATTCTGCATTTTGTACTCCTTCAGTCACAGGTGAATAAACGTTCAAATTTTCGGACTTTTTCCGGGATGCGTTCTTCAATCTGTTCTGTGTCTGCCGCTACATATCTTTATACTTTTTTAATGGGACAACATTAATTATAGATTCACTCGGATAAATACAATAAAGTTTATCTCTTACTAAATGGAATATTTACTAAGAAATCACAATGTAGCCATAGAAACATTACTTGGTATTTATGTTCTCTCTGTCATTCCGTCCTTCCGTCTTCCTTCCTGGTAAACACTGTTCGAGTGAGGCTCAAGGATCAGTTTCCAAATGCAAATGCATCTCATTCTACTGCCCCTTTAAAGCAATTATACAGCTGTCTGTCATAATGTGTGAACAAAAAGTTACAGCAGTCACTAATTCACATAATTTGGTCCTGTGTTTCCTACAGATGTCAAACAGCTGGTGCTGGTTAAAGAAGAAGCTCCTGGAGAGGACCAGCAAGGCCCACAACACCTCCTCATAAAGAAGGAACAGGAGCAACTCTGGATCAGACTGGAGGGAGAGCAGCTCCATCTGAAGGAGGAGACTGATGCTGCCAGGTTTCCATTCACTGTAGTTACTATAAAGAGTGAGGATGATGAAGAGAAACCTCTGATCTCACAGCTTCATCAGCAGCAGATAGAAGACAGAGATGTTCCAACCAGCAGCTCAGCTGACCAGATGACAGCAGGAACTGGTGGAGGAGCAGAGAGTAGCAGGAACGCTGATCTGAACCCTCATGAACAGACATCTGATTCTTCAGAGACTGAAGTTAGTGGAGATGATGAAGAGGATGATGTAAATCTGGACTCTGAACTGTCAGACTCTGGGTCTGAAGCAGAAGACAAAGACGGTGACTGGAATGAGAAGAGGGCTTCTGAGTCGGACGTCAACACTGTTAACAAATCCTTTAGCTGTCCTGAGTGTGGTGAACAATTTCTTCACAAGAGGCCTCTCCAGAAACATGTGAGAGTGTCAGGTCATTCAGCAACAAGTTCTTCAGGCTATTTACTTAAAAAGAAATGTGTTAGAGTGAAGCACCATGTAGACCCACGTAGGAAAATCCAGAAAGAACAAAAATCATTTAGTTGTGATGACTGTGGAAAAATATTTAGCACAATATCACATTTAAACAGACACATGAAAGTGCACACGGGACATAAGCCATTTGCTTGTGAGGTCTGTGAAAAAAGATTTAGCCAGAATACACATTTAAACAGACATATGAGAGTCCACACAGGACAGAAGCCTTTTGCTTGTGTGCTCTGTGGACAAAAATTTAGCCATAAGTCGACTTTAAACCGTCACATGACTGTCCACACCGGACAGAAGCTTTTTACTTGTGAGTTCTGTGGACAAAGATTTAGCCGAAAGACAAATTTAAACATTCACATGAGAGTCCACACCGGACAGAAGCCTTTTGCATGTGAGCTTTGTGGACAAAAATTTAGCCGAAAAACAACTTTAAACAGTCACATGAGAGTCCACACAGGACTTAAGCATTTTGCCTGTGAGCTCTGTGGACAAAGATTTAGTAGAAAGACAACTTTAAATGCTCACATCAGAGTCCACACAGGACAGAAGCCCTTTGCCTGTGAGCACTGTGGACAAAGTTTTAGCCAAAGGACAAATTTAAACACTCACATGAGAGTCCACACAGGACATAAGCCTTTTGCTTGTGAGCTTTGTGAACAAAGGTTTACCAGAAAGGCAACTTTAAGTGCTCACATGAGAGTTCACACAGGACAGAAGCCCTTTGTCTGTGAGCTCTGTGGACAAAGATTTAGCCAAAAGACTACTTTAAACACACACATGAGAGTTCACACGGGACAGAAGCCTTTTGCCTGTGAGCTCTGTGGTCAACGATTTAAACAAAAGACAACTTTACATAATCACATGAAATTCCACTGAGCCTGAACAATTTTTTTTTCTGTTGTCAAAATTGAGATTTCAAACAACACGATTAAATGATTGTTAAGACTGTGCTTTTTGTAGTGCTCCTGACTGTCCCATGATGTCTTGTGGCAACTACAGCAGTAATAGCAAGTGGGGGTGGGGACATGGGGTTTGGAGTAGTGCTGCTACGATTAGTCAATTTGTCACAATGATGTCTACAAACAAAATAGTTGACAATAAATATAATAGTCAACATTTATTCTATGAAGCTTTGCTTTTCTCTATCTTGCCTGTTACAGTATGACTGCTGCTTTCTGTCTCTCTGCTCAAGGCACATGTGCAGTATCAGCCATCAAGGTCAGCCACTGCTTTCTGTTCGAGGGACATGTGCAGTAGTGGCCAGCCAAATCAACTGCTACTTTCTGGTCCAGGCACATGCACAGTAATGGCCATTTGGTTGAGCTGTCACGTCACTGTTAAAAACAAGACATGGCGAGCCAGCAACTTGGCTCAAATATTATAGAGCATTTCACAAGTGTGGCAGTGTGAGCGTCCTGTCACTGTGACACGACTGATCATGCACCCTGGCTACTTGGCCAAGAGGATGTCCCTTTGCTTAGTGCGCGACTCTCACCCAGGAGTCTTTGGATCGAATCCCGCTCGGGCCCTCGTTTCTCCACCTTGCTACACAAGGATAAAAGAGATGCATGGAAAATAACCCTAACTCTTTCACGTGAACACAATGGTGATGCACGAACCCCTGAACTCATTTACTGCCATTGACAACAAAATTCATCATTGTTTTGGACTGCCTGGAGGACAGCAAGCTATGGTTAGCTCAGAACTACTTGTGTTTCAACAAAAACAAGACAGAAGTAATTCTGTTTACTCCATCAAAGACCCTAGGAGGTGCCTGTCATGAGTCGGGGTGAGTACTCCCGTCGCACATTCCACCTTTGAGTTGTTTTTCAGGAGAGGGAGGCGCCCAGCTGCTTCTGGTTAGCAATCAACGGCACTGGCTTCTTAAGGAGTTGGAGAACACACCTCAACGCGGGATGATTACTACTACTCGGATTTTTTGGAACATCTCTGGAGTAGAGCCTTCTCAGGATTCAGTGACTCATCAGGAAACTCACCTTTGCCACATAACAGTCTGGACTCAGCTTCCCGTGTTCTCCATCTCTCCAGTCGCCCCACTCCTCTGCTTCCCACAAGCTCCCTCTCCTGGATTTACTCACCTTGACTCACCCAACTCTCGACCGGCCCCTCCCGATTTTTCCTCATCTCCTTCGCCCAGTAAGTCTTATCTCTGCACCTCCTCAGTTAAGACTTACTTCTCAGGACTCACCTTATTTTGCTCTCCCCCTCCTCAGACGCTGAGTACGGACTTTACTCATCCACTGGAAGCTCCAGTGCGCTTTTGGTTCCTGTCTACTAATAAATACCTTTTTTTTGATCTTTATTTGTGAGTGTGTTGATTCTGCATGTCCTGGGTTAAACTCCTTCCCCAGATCATGTCAGAATCATCCCGCCAACCCGCTAACCCAGCAGACTCAACCCTCTCAGATCTTCTTCAGAGAGTGTCTCAACAGGAGCAGACATTACCACTGCTTATGGATCAGCTCAACGCTGCCCACAATCGTTACCAGCAGTTGGAGGCCCTAGTCCGGCAGATCCATGAGCGGGTTACGCAGCCGCTGCCACAGACTACAAGGTCGGAACCTCAAGCAGCCGCTCCTGTTGCTTCCGGACCGGGAGTTCCTGTCCCCACAGAGACTTCTCATTTTCGTCCAGCCATTTCTCCTCCCTCACAGACATTCAGCGGTGAGTTCGAAGAATGCCACAGCTTCCTGCTCCAGTGCCGGCTTGCGTTCGAACGCTCACCTGGAGCCTTTCCCACGGACTCAAGTAAGATTTCTTACGTTATTGGACTGCTACGTGGAAGAGCCCTACGGTGGGCGGAAGCTAAGAGCCATTGTGCTGCCTTTTTAGCAGGACCTTTTGATGAGTTTTTAGCGGACTTTACATTAACTTTTGGACAGACCGAGTCCGTTTCAGATATAGGAAAGAGACTCTGGAACCTGTCGCAGGGCCGACGATCGGTTGCAGACATGTCGGTAGAATTCCGAACCCTGGCAGCTAGGACTTCGTGGAACGAGGAGGCGTTGATGGCTGCATTCACGGAGGCCCTCAGTGTTCGTGTACGGGATCAGCTGGCGCTGTGCCCCGAACCTCAGTCTCTCGAGGGGCTCATTCGCCTGGCCATCTCCATTGATAAACGTCACCAGGAGCTACGGCGCCCCGCCAGCAGTGCCCGTCCAGCTCCTATTCCTGACCGAAACCTGGGTGGTCTTCGCTCCTTTTCCGAGACCCCCACAGCTGATGAACCTATGCAGATGGGTCGCACTCGCCTTACCCCAGAGGAACGGGAACATCGTTTGAGGTCAGGTCTCTGTTTATATTGCGGGCAGACCGGACACTTTGCCAGAGCCTGTCCTGCTCTGGGAAAAGGGAGAGCCCATCAGTAAAGCCGGGGCTACTGGTGGGCGGAAATTCAGACTCTTTTAGCTCCCGTTGTTCAATTCCATGCACTGTGTGTTTTAATTCTGAACAATTTCAGTTAGAGGCTCTGGTGGACTCTGGTTGTGAGCAATCTATGTTGGATGTCGGTTTGGTATAGAGGTGGAAAATACCTACCACCCGTTTGTCTTCTCCTCTCACGGTTTCGTCTCTGGATGATCGCAGTTTGTCCACCATCACTCACCAGACCATCCCACTGCAGATAAAGGTGTCAGGTAACCACACAGAACTTCTGGCATTTTTTGTATTTCCCTCTCCCCAGTCTCCAGTGGTTCTTGGCCATTCCTGGTTGAAACACCACAATCCCCAGCTGAACTGGAGAACCAGTCAGATTGAAGGATGGAGTCCTGAGTGTTCTCTAGCCTGCCTTCGCTCAGCTGCACCAACTCTCCAAAATTCCACAACCTCTCCTTCTGAGAAGATTGACCTCTCCAACGTTCCTCCGGCCTACCATGACCTCCGACAGGTATTCAGTAAGGACCGTGCTTCTTCTCTTCCCCCACACAGACCTTTTGATTGCTGCATTGAGTTGTTACCCGGAGCCCCACTTCCCTCCAGTCGACTATATCACCTTTCCAAACCTGAGAGGGAGAGCATGGAGAAATACATCCAGGAGTCTCTAGCAACCGGTCTTATCAGGCCGTCCACCTCACCATTGGGGGCAGGGTTCTTCTTTGTTCCAAAGAAGGAGGGGACTCTAAGGCCCTGTATTGATTACAGGGAATTGAACCAAATAACAGTAAAGAACAAATATCCTCTGCCTCTGTTAACCTCCACTTTTGAACCCATTCAGGACGCCACCATTTTTAGCCGCCTGGATCTCAGAAATGCGTACCACTTGGTACGAATCAGACAGGGTGATGAGTGGAAGACGGCATTTAAGACTCCGTTAGGACATTTTGAGTATCTGGTAATGCCTTTCGGCCTAACAAATGCTCCAGCTGTGTTTCAGTCTCTGGTGAACTCTGTTTTAGGAGATATGTTGAATAAGTACGTGACTGTCTACTTGGATGACATTTTGATTTTTTCAAAGACTCTGGAACAACACGTCTTGCATGTGCGTTCTGTGTTGCAACGACTCCTGGAGAATCGGCTTTATGTGAAGGCCGAGAAATGTGTTTTTCATGTCTCTACTGTTAAGTTTTTAGGATTTGTGATCGAAAGTGGAAGACTGAGGGCTGACCCTGAGAAGGTCCAGGCGGTCACAGAGTGGCCTACCCCCTCGTCACGTAAACAGCTTCAGAGATTCCTGGGTTTTGCCAATTTCTACAGAAGATTCATCAGAAATTTCAGTCAGACTGCCATGCCTTTAACCAACCTCACATCCACTAACCGCCCTTTTGTTTGGTCCACAGAGGCTGAAGCAGCCTTTCAGAAGCTGAAAAAACTATTCACAAATGCTCCAGTGCTCCATCGCCCAGACCCCCAACTCCAGTTTACACTCGAGGTGGATGCCTCAGACACCGGAGTCGGCGCCGTGTTGTCACAGGTATCACCGCTCGACCATCGCCTTCACCCTTGTGCTTTTTTTTCTCGCCGTCTCACCCCAACAGAGAGCCGATATGACGTGGGTGACAGAGAGCTCTTGGCGGTGAAACTCGCCATTGAGGAGTGGAGGCACTGGCTCGAGGGAGCTGAGATTCCCTTCATCATCTGGACTGATCACAAGAATTTGGTCTACCTCAGAGAGGCCAAGAGACTAAACCCACGACAATACAGGTGGTCCCTTTTCTTCTCTCGTTTCAACTTTCAGATTTCATACCGACCCGGATCCAAGAACGTAAAACCGGATGCTCTCTCGAGACAATATGCTTCTGACCAGGAGACTGAGCTCTCCACCATCCTACCCCCGGCGTGTGTTGTGGGAGGTGTGACGTGGGAGATACGTGACCAGGTACTGGAGGCACAGAGAACTGACCCTGATCCAGGTAAGGGACCTCCAGACAGGCTCTGGGTTCCGCAGGCTGTGAGAAGCAAGGTCATTCACTGGGCTCATACTGGCAGATTTTCACTTCACCCCGGAGTAGGACGTACTATTGCACTCATCAGACGCACATTCTGGTGGCCGGCCATGTACCGAGATGTCAAGGATTATGTTTCAGGTTGCCACATCTGTGCTCAGCAGAAGGGTGATCACCGTGCACCTGCTGGACTGTTGAACCCTCTGCCGACCCCCTCTCGACCATGGTCTCATGTGGCTCTGGATTTTGTGTGTGGTTTACCGAATTCTCAGGGATTTAACACCATACTCACCATTGTGGACAGATTCTCCAAAGCATGCCATCTCATTCCTTTGAAAACTCTTCCATCTTCTACCGTTACAGCCAAACTGCTCATCAGACATGTTTTCCGGTTGCATGGTATCCCGGAGGAAATCTTGTCCGATCGTGGTCCCCAGTTCATATCCAGAGTCTGGAGGGAGTTTGCAGAGGCTCTGGGGGCCCGAGTCGCCCTTACCTCTGGACACCATCCCCAGACCAATGGTCAATGTGAGCGTATGAACCAAGAACTCGGTGCTATGTTACGCTGTGTATGTTCTGCTCACCCGTCATCATGGAGTTCGCACCTCCCCTGGATCGAATACGCCCACAATTCTCACGTCTCTACGGCAACAGGTCAGTCACCTTTTGAATCCTCCTTGGGTTATCAACCTTCCCTGTTCCCTCCACAGTCTCCAGCCCTCACCACGGTTCCACAGTTTCTCCGGGGGGCCAAACGGGCCTGGGCCTCCACCCGGGCGGCTTTGGACAGGACGGCGGCCTCCAACAAACGGCTTGCTGATCGCAGGCGGCGTCCTGCCCCGTCCTACGCTCCTGGTCAGGAGGTTTGGCTCTCCTCCAAGGATATCCCCCTGAAGGCGTCCAGCCGCAAACTGTCGCCCAGGTTTCTGGGTCCTTTCAGGATTCTGGACATCCCCACGCCCTCTACTGTCCGGCTGGCCCTGCCTCCCTCTCTCAGGGTTCACCCTGTGTTCCACGTGTCCTTGGTGAAGCCGGTGACCACGAGCCGTCTCTGCCCTACGCCTGCTCCTCCCCCGCCTGCACGGTTCTACAAGGGGGGTCTGGTTTATTCTGTTCGCAGGATTCTGGACTCCCGACCCCGTGGCAGGGGCATCCAGTACCTCGTTGACTGGGAGGGGTACGGCCCGGAGGAGCGTTCCTGGGTTCCACGCTCCTTTATTGAAGATCCGTCCCTCATCCGGGACTTTGAGGTGGCATCTGCCAGGACGCCGGGAGGCGTCCGTTGAGGGGGGGGTACTGTCATGAGTCGGGGTGAGTACTCCCGTCGCACATTCCACCTTTGAGTTGTTTTTCAGGAGAGGGAGGCGCCCAGCTGCTTCTGGTTAGCAATCAACGGCACTGGCTTCTTAAGGAGTTGGAGAACACACCTCAACGCGGGATGATTACTACTACTCGGATTTTTTGGAACATCTCTGGAGTAGAGCCTTCTCAGGATTCAGTGACTCATCAGGAAACTCACCTTTGCCACATAACAGTCTGGACTCAGCTTCCCGTGTTCTCCATCTCTCCAGTCGCCCCACTCCTCTGCTTCCCACAAGCTCCCTCTCCTGGATTTACTCACCTTGACTCACCCAACTCTCGACCGGCCCCTCCCGATTTTTCCTCATCTCCTTCGCCCAGTAAGTCTTATCTCTGCACCTCCTCAGTTAAGACTTACTTCTCAGGACTCACCTTATTTTGCTCTCCCCCTCCTCAGACGCTGAGTACGGACTTTACTCATCCACTGGAAGCTCCAGTGCGCTTTTGGTTCCTGTCTACTAATAAATACCTTTTTTTTGATCTTTATTTGTGAGTGTGTTGATTCTGCATGTCCTGGGTTAAACTCCTTCCCCAGATCATGTCAGTGCCCATGGGCTTGATTTTTCCACACTGGCACCTCATCAGAAGGCGGTGGTCACTAACCTAGGGGTAAAGTTGGACGCAGAGCTCAGATTTGAGGCTCAAGTGAACGGAATCGTGAGATCTTGCTTCTTTCATCTACGCCGTATAGCGAAAATTAAGCCATTTCTGTCACATAGTCATTTGGAAACCGTGATCCATGCCTGTGTTACCTGCAGGCTGGATTATCGCAACTCGCTATATGCGGGGCTTTGGCTAGCTCCAATAGCACACCTCCAGGCGGTTCAGAACTCGGCTGCTCGGTTGTTAACATCTACCAGGACGTCTGAACATATAACACCAGTCCCACGTGCCTTGCATTGGCTCCCTGTCTCCTATCGCATCAGGTTTAAGGTCATCCTGTTTGTGTTTAAGGCGGTAAACTCAGGGGCACCTAAATACCTTTCTGACATCATCCACCGACATGTCCTGGTGCGTTCCCCTAGCTCAGCTGACCAGAGACTATTAACTGTGCCCAGGTACAGCTTGAAGTCTCGTGGGAGACGTGCCTTTTCAGTGCTAGGACCAAGTCTTTGGAATGAGCTGCCAGCCGACGTAAAGCAGGTCAAATCACTGGAGACCTTTAAAAGTCGACTCCAAACACATCTGTTCTCGCTGGCGTTTGGACATTGAAGTTGGGATTACGTGGGCAGCATCACTTTGAATGTGTCTGGATCTGATTTTGGAAAAAGGTCTGATATGGGTTGCGAACTTGTACTCGGGATTTCTTATTGTATTTTAAATGGTTATATGTCTGTTTTGTTGTTGTGCTTGTTATTGGTGTACAGCGCTTTGTTTGTCCGTTTTGGGTACGTGAAAGTGCTTTATAAATAAAGTAGATTTGATTTGATTTTAAATCCAATTAGAGGAGTAAAAGAAGTATCTATGTCAAACTTGAAACCCCCACTTTAAATAGGGGTGAGGGGACTTAGATTTAACCTTTCATCTATAATGCGGCTTTGAATCTCCTTCCTTTACTTTGGGGAAATTAAACATTTACACAAGCGCATGGCACAACACAGGAGAGCCACCTCTGCAGTCCACTCATACCTGAAAGATAAGGGACACACTTTTGAAAATGACAAAGGACACATTCCGGACAGAGATGATGGATGGTTTGAGAGAGGAGTAAAAGAAGCTCTATCAAACATGAAAAACCTACTTTAAACAGGCGAGGGGGGCTTAGATTTCACCTTTCCAGCACCTATAAGGGCAAATGGCCTGTATTTGATATAGTGCCTTTTAGAGTCCTGGGACCCCCCAGGTGCTTTACAACACAATCTGTAATTCACCCATTCACACACATTCACACGCTGGTCAGGACTAAGCAATTTTCTTTTCTTAATTTCGGGCTAAAGGGCTTTGGTTCACTCTGTTCCTTCTGCATGGAGCAGGCTGCAGGAAAACTGGAAATTAACCGAGGTTATCTCCTTGACTACATGTAAAACCAGACTAAGAACCCTTGAGAGGATTCCCTGTGTTGTAACTGCCTTCTGTAATTTTGTACATAACATGTAACTGTAACTTTGTAACTGTAACTTTTGCTGCCTCTTGGCCAGGACTCCCTTGAAAATTAGGCTTTTAATCCCAAAGAGACCTTCCTGGTTAAATAAAGAGTAAAATAAATAGATAAATAGATCATGGGCCACCTCTTCCTGTCCTGGAAGCCACATATTGTTGCCACCAAGCTGTAAATGTTTCACTAAATCTGTTTCCATCAAGAGGCGTCACAGTATCGTAACACAGTGATGAGGTGCTGTCCTACGGTTTCACTTTTGGAGTGTTGCAGTGGCGAGAGTTGAGCATTGCACCTGTACTATGCTGTTAAATAGTTTGTATACTGTAGAAATAAATGTCTTACCAGTGGTTTGTACTTTTGGATGAATAAAAAATAAAGTTATATAAATTTAACTACAGATCTCTTCACTTGTCTACAGACAACAATCACGCATTTCCTTTATTTTTCACACATTTTGCAGATTGAGTGTTTCCCATTTTTTAGAGACTCTTGTTTTGTGTTTGAAACTGTCTTTTAGAAACGTTAACCTTACTGAGGCAACAGCAGTGAAGGCTGTCAATCAAAGAAAAGAAGACATTTCTGTCTTTCTGATTTAAATTAGGACTAAATAAATATGGTGGAGTCATCCTGGCATTACGCCCCAAAGCCCTTTGTGGTATGGCTTAAGAACCTGATTGTTTCCAGGTGGAGCTGGTCATTGGCTGGAGGCAGGTGTGGAGTAAGCTAACAGCAGGCTCAGTGAGAGAGACACGGTTGTGCAAAATAAAGCTACACATTTACTTAGACACCCATGAGTCTTCCCCTTTTGTTTGTTATGGCTTAGAGCCAGGTCTAACACTGGGGTCACCTGTTCCTGTGTGGAGGTGTTTCACTGATATGTGAAGATTGTCTGATTCCAGTCTGCTTAGAGGACACAGGCTTCCCAGAAAGATTATCAGAGACAGGTCGGGGTAAGGGAGAAGCCACCTCCATGACATCATTTAAAGCCAAATGCAACTTTTTCATGTTTTAAACCATTTTCTTATGTCAGTATGTGCTAAGATGACCCTTTAAACGGTCAATGTCACTCAGATCCCACCACCCTCTGGGGCCAGGACTGGAATAACAAATGCTTCTGCAGTAACATAAGTTGTGTGGAGGTACATGACCACGCACGGACAGGAGCGACTTTCATATGTGATCCCAAAACATGAGCTGATTGTCACGGTCAGACCTAGGAACGATCAGCCGGATCCAACAACAGCCATACAGCAGAGAACGTTTAAAACGTTTATTTAAAGGACTTGATATCGGGACCCGCTGGAGTCGGTTCCGGGCGGCGTGGCCTGGTAGACAGAAAACAGTCAGCGAGGGAGATGGTTCAGATCACTTAATATGAACAGTGACGGACCTCGTAAAGCAGCAGCAGTGTTCTGTGGTGGGGACAGCTGATGAAGATGCAGGGACTAAGGCAATAGGCAGGTTCCGTGGTCAGACAGGCTGAGGTCGGGCAACAGGCAGGCAGACAGGTTCAAACGCTCAAAAGACTGTAACAGGGCAGCAGACAATCTCGCACTGAGCAGCAGGAGCCAGGTGCTTACATAGGGAGCAGCACAGGTGGAATTAATCAGCTAGATTACTGCCCCCCCCCCACCCCCCCCCAACGGGAGGCTTCAGACGACCATCTGGGCTGATCGGGGTGCAGACGGGATCTTCCGGCTCCTTTAACAGCTGGTTCATAAATGGTGATGCATCCCGAACCTCTGGTCGGGACGACTGATGTTCCTTCCACTGACGCACTTGAGCAAGGTCGGGATCACGGGCCTGACGTTCCATCCAGCTCCCCCCCGGTCCCTTCTGGCCTGTGCCACTCGAGCCACTTCATGGTCCTGCAACCGGGAGAGATCATCAGCGTTCTTATTTTGTACTCCTGGACGATATTTAATGGGATATTTGAAATTCGCCAACTGGGCTACCCATCGTTGTTCCACGGCTCCAAGCCGTGCAGTTTCAAGGTGCACCAAAGGGTTATTATCTGTGAAAACTGTAAACTCAGCACCATACACATAGGGGATAGCTGTACTTTTAAGTGCAGATTATCCCAAATGAGGAACTATAATTTGGTCGTTGATGTCTGCTGGATGGAGACTACGACTGGCATAAGCAATCATCCGTTCTTTGCCTTCTTGGACCTGGGCCAAGATTCCCCCCGGACCAGAAAAACTGGCATCAGTGTACAACCTGAAAGGTTGTGAAAAATCGGACTAGGCCAGCACAGGTGCTTTGACTAAGGCCTCTTTCACCTTGTCGAACGAGCATTTACATTCTGGGGACCAAATGACAGGATTAGAGGAAAGAACCACCATAAATCTGGTCATGTGGTCAGTAGCAGCTACGCTAGGGGGAGGAGATTATGTGGTGACGTCACATAGCCCACCATCACCTCCATCATAAAAAGGCCCAGCAGAGGATGAACTTCTTGTGGCAGCTGAAGAAATTCAACCTATCAGTACAGTCGATGAGGCAGTTCAGCACCGCAGTCATCGAGTCCATCCTCACCTCTTCCATCAGCGTGTGGTACGCTGGAGCCGCCATCAGGGACAAGAAGAGGCTGCAGCGTGTTGTACGCTCTGCTGAGAAGGTCATGGACACAGTCTCTTTGACTCCAGTCACCTGACCCTGTGCTGAAGCGATCAGCAACAAACTACCGTGTTCTGTCTTCCTCATATCACACTGCAACCCAAACACAAGCCTTTCACAAACCTGTAAGCCTACAACTGTTTTATTTCAGGTTAGTAAGTCAACATTTAGGATTATGCAGATATAATTTACCCAGCAATCAGGGTCAGTGAGCCTCTAGTCCAGCAGGTGGCGCTAGCGCACCTTTACGCTGGTCACGGACCACCGGAAGCAGCAGAAACCGGAAGCTGCTAGTAGAGCTAGCTTGTTGTTGTTGTGGTGTGTGAGGAGAAGATTTGAGGCTCTGCAGTAAAAACGTCTTCACTTCAGTCTCTGGGAGAGTTGATCAGCTAAAGCGACTAACTGCTGCTGCTGCAGAAATCTTCTCACCAGGCTGTGGAAACTTTCTTCTCCTCCTCAACAACTTGGTGGAGTTCTTTCCAGAAGCAGAGAAGCTATTCTGCGGTCTTCGTGACAATCGGAGCTCCAGAAGCAGGTGATGGGTGAGAAAAGCTTTTCTCTAGACTTCCTGCCCTCTGGATCTGCTGCTGTTCCTTTGGCCTCTCTGAGAAACGCGCTCGTTTTGCTGCTTTCATCAGATTGAAGAGGTTCCCTCTATCAGACTCGCTCATCTGAGTTGGTCATGATGCAGGATCGCTGCTCGCTCTCTCATCCATCCTGCTCACACTCTCCGACGGAAAAGGCCCGAATCTGAATGTGACTCTGGAGGAAAAAGCGGTTAGCTCTACTCCGTGAACTCTGGTGAGCAAAGGTCCTCTTTTCCAGACTGGATGTGTCCTCAGCTGATCAGAACCAAAGCGTTGGATCTTTAATCTCCTGCGTTGTTCTGAAGCAGCATCTTAATCAGCTCTCCTGCTTTGTTTCTATTGCAGCTGTTAGCTAAACACGGCTAAAGAAAACCTGCTACCACTTCAGGATCATCCATCAGCTGGGACTGCTTCATCAGCATGGACACAGGTACTGGTGTGTGTGTGTGTGTGTGTGTGTGTGTGTGTGTGTGTGTGTGTGTGTGTGTGTGTGCGTGCGTGTGTGCGTGCGTGCGTGCGTGCGACGTGAAAGCATCGCGGTTTAGGGCCTGAAAGTGGAGGTTCGCGGGCCAATTCCGGACCACAGGCCACCTTTGAGGCACACTGCTCTAAAGTTTAGAACCAATCGTCACGAGCAGGTCAGCTAAGAGGAAGAAGAAGAAATTATCATTTCTATAGCGCCTCTCAAGATAAAAATCGTGAGGCGCTTCACAAAGACAAAAAATGTTAAAATATAAAAAATAATGTAGAAAATGTTTAAAAATATATTTAAAATGAGCAAAAATAGACAATTGTGATTAAAAAATGTAAAGAAAGAGAGAGTGAACAGGAAAGAGGGAAATCAGTGGATCCTGAGGAAGGTGGAATAGGTGGGGAGAGCAGAATAAAGAGAGAGAGGTGAAGAAGGTCATACAAAAGCCAGCTTGAACAAGTGAGTCTTCAGCTGCTTTTTAAAGGAGACCACTGAGTCCACTGGTCTCAGGCTCAGGGGGAGAGAGGTCCAGAGTCTGGGGGCCACAGCAGCAGATGATCTGTCACCTTTGACCTTTAGCCTGGTGCTGCACAACCAGTAGGCTTTGATCACTGGACCTCGGGGACCTGCTGGGGGTGTAGGGACTAAGAAGATCACCAATGTAAGATGGTGCTTGTCCATGTAAGGCCCTATAGAAAGCTCCCACCATCCAGGTTTTGATAGAGTCTAAGCAGAATCAGAGCATTCAGAATCAGAATAAGCTTTATTGCCAGCGCTCCAGCGACCCAGAGCATAGGAACTTGACTCCGCAAACACAACCTGACCAAGGATAAACAGAAGCAGAACCCTAGCATCTCTGACTGCAGAGTTAAAGTAGGGTTCACTGCAGGACCTGTTCTGGTTCTGACAGGACAGATGTTGTCCAGAATGGAGAGGCAGTGCTCGTTAAACTGAGAAGTTAAGGAATCTGGGTCATTATCAGAAGAACAGGGTGGATCAAAAGCAGCAGAAAAATTGCTAGCTGTGCTCTCATTAAGAAAACAAGAACTAACCATACGGCGAGTAGGAGGTGGGGACGCAGAAACTGACAAGTTAAAGAAAATGCAATGGTGATCTGAAATATAAACGTCCTCAGGACAAACACTGTCAGCATTTAGACTCAGGGTAAAAACAAGGTCTAGAGTGTGCCCCCTGGTGTGTGTGGGGCCAGAAACATGCTGGGTAAAGCTGAAGGAGTCCATAAGGCTGGAGAAATTCATGGCAAAGAGATCGGAGGGATCATCAACGTGGATGTTAAAGTCACCCACAATCACCAGTCTGGACAGCTTCACAGTGGAGGATAGAAAGTTACTAAACTCCTGAAGGAAAGAACCGTTTGGACCAGGTGGACGATAGACCACAGCACAGTAGAACGGGTCCTTACGCCCGACTTTAATCAGCTGCAGTTCAAAGGAAGCAAAGTGACCAGAGGTTGTAGAGCTACATGGAAGATGGTCTCTGAAAACAACAGCTAGGCCTCCACCACGACCAGAACCCCGGGGCTGGCTAAGAAAAGAATAACCACTCGGGCAGAGTTCAATCAGACCAGAATAATCAGATGTTTGCTGCCAAACTTCAGTCAGAAACAGAAAATCCAGATTTTTAGAGAGAATTACATCATTGAGCAGGAAGGACTTATTGTTAACAGAGCGGGTGTTTAATAGAGCCATGCTGAGTGAGGTGGAGGAATCAGAAACTACAGAAACAGCTGGAGTTAGTGGATGTAAATTAGCAGGGTTAGATCCACGGTGTTTATAAAAACCACTTATGGAGGGAACAGGCGGAGAAACCACTGAAGAATGAGGATAAGCCGACCTTAAAAAACTTGGACGGAGAAACCGGGCTGCAACGCGGCCTGGTGGGAATGCGGAAGTGGCGCTCAAGTCGCCAAACAAGGGAAGAGAAGCTAGAAGATCACGCCGATGTTTACTAGATAAACCACGCTTTAAGAGAAGTCTTATTCTCACCTGGATTCCTGCTCGTTTACCTCTTTTCCTCCGACGTTTTCTCGGGACCAGATAAAACTCGCTGGAGGCGCCCTGGTTAGAATCATCGTTTGGCTCCGGGTCAGTGCGCCACTCAGTTAAAAGAGCAGGGAGGTACATCCTCGGTGCATCTTGGGCGATCGTGAACGAATGAAAGGACAAAAGAGTCTGGCCATCATAGGAGATGGTAGCAGGGACACTACTGAAGAGGATCGCAGACAGGAGCAAGGTGGAAAAGAGGAGGTTAATGGAGAAAAGTTTATAAAAGTGGCCGATGACTGCGGCTAAGCCAAGCACAGGCGCCATCTCGTTACCGACCGGAAAAAATTAAAAAAAATTAAAAATGGTAATGCTAATGCTAGCAGCTAGCATGTTCAGAATGAAGTTGATCCTGAAACTAAGGGGACGAAAAATCCCCAAATATTATTAGCATGTCCTGTAGCTTCCTAACGAGCCCACACACTTGTTCTGAGCATTTATTTAGACGTGCACTTTCAAGAAAAGTGAGTGACCTTAATACCACCTAAATACTTATTTATATATAAGTGAAAGTTATACAATAAATATTAATATACACATCAGCTGGGATACAGGATCCAGAAAACACCAATGTTATCGATCCTTTTCTAGTAAGACTCTGGCATTTTAGATGGGCCATTTTGGGGTTTTACTTAATCTTTTTAGCAGCTGAACACAGTCTGGTTGGACAGCTGTGGCAGATGTGTGGCTCCATGTTCACGTTTGGAAAGATTTACCGTCAGCAATAAAACTTAGAAAGAATCTAGAACGTTTAGATCCAGGTGAAAACATGACTGAATCAAAGACATTTGTTTATATTAGTGTGTGTGTGTGTGTGTGTGTGTGTGTGTGTGTGTGTCTGTGTGTGTGTGTGTCTCTCTCTCTCTCTGTGTGTGTGTGTGTGTGTGTGTGTGTGTGTGCTTATGGTTTGCGAGACCTATTTGCCAGGTTACACACCAGCATTATGAAACCAATAGGTTTATGAGACCATTTTTGGTGGTCTTGTAATTCATGACTTTTAACTTGTTGTAATCTTTGAAAAATATAAAAAGTAAACGTTGTTAATATATTATTACAATCTTTGTAACAACCATTATCATTTTATTTAGTTATTTTAGCAACTTAAACTTCCTTTTTGTGTTTTATAGGCAGTTTAAAAATTGGTTTCGTAAACCATATCATGTGTTGTGTAAATTTTCAGAGCCCCCTGCTGGTAGAAGACTGCATAGCAGGGCTGATACAACCGATACAGGAAAACTAAGAATAAGATGTTCGAACAAACTGTAGCTATTAATTGGTAAGGGACTGATTAATAAGTCCGAATGAAAAATGGTTGCTACTCCTCCTCCTCACCCTGTACTTCGAGCAATATGATGATTTAAATAATTTGAAGGAGTCGACTCGTTTAAGCTAACATAGTCCTCTTGCTGCAGCCAGGATTCTGTGAGAGAGAGCAAAGAGATCTGATTATCACAAATCAAGTCATTAACTAACAAAGTCTTAGAAAAAATGGATCTAATGTTCAACAACCCACATTTAATTTTTCTAGTTTTCTGCTCAGTTGAATTTGTTCTAATATTTATGAGATTTCCATGATTTGCTTTATTAAGCCTGATATTTAATCTGTGTGATTTTGGCCGTGGGCAGGACACTGTCTCTATGGGGTAGTGGGTGGGTAACAGTACAGAAGCTGCAGAGGGGTGTGTTAAACTACGACTCTGCTTCCTGGTCTGGACCCTGGGTTGTCATGGAGGACTAATAAAACTGGCCATATTCCTAGAAAGAAGAGCTGCTCCATCCAAAGAGGGATGGATGCCGTCTCTCTGCATCAGACCAGGTTTTCCCCAAAAAGTTTTCCAATTATCAATGTAGCCCACGTTGTTTTCAGGACACCACCTAGACAGCCAGCGGTTGAAGGACAGCATGCGGCTAAACATGTCGTCACTGGTCCGATCAGGCAGGGGGCCAGAGAAAATTATGGAGTCCGACATTGTTTTGGCAAACTTACATATCGAAGCAACATTAATTTTAGTGACCTCCGACTAGCGTAACCGGGTGTCGTTACCGCCAGCGTGAATAACAATCTTACTGTATTTACGCTTATCCTTAGCCAGCAGTTTCAGATAAGATTTAATGTTGCCCGCCCTGGCCCCAGGTAAACATTTAACTATGGTTGCTGGAGTCTCTAATGCCACGTTTCTGACTATGGAGCTGCCAATGATCAGAGTCGGCTTGTCAGTGGGTGCGTCACTGAGCGGGGAAAATCTATTAGAAACGTGGACGGGTTGGTGGTGGCCCACGGACTGGGTTCTATGCTTCCTGCGTACCGTCACCCAGCCGGCCCGAGGTCCCGGCTGCTCGGGTTCTGCTGGAGGATCGCTACGGGGTGGTTCTGAGCTAGTTAGCCCCGCGCTAGCTAAGTAGCTACGGCTGTTTACGGGTTTTTCAACAGCGCAGAGCCGGGACTCCAATTCCGACACCCTCGCCTCCAAAGCTACAAAAATGCTACATTTATTACACGTACCATTATCACTAAAGGAGGCAGAGGAGTAACTAAACATCTGACACAGAGAGCAAGAGATAGGAGACGGAGAAGCAGAGACAGAAGTAGCCATAGTCGTGCTGAGGCTAAGCTAACTGGACGAGCAAACTGTTCAACACCAAATAAACTGCGTGCGAACTCAAATGGTTCCCTAAAAGCTAGGTGGAACAACAGAAAATGTGTGTTTTAGCGTGCTTTAGTGCTACAATAACTCAGAGATATCCAAGTACAGAGAAATTAAATCAGCTTTAGCGAGCACCAAACACCAAACAGCTACATGTAGTGCAACACTGAAAACAGGAAACAGGAAACGCCTTACCGCCAGGTGCAGCCAATCAGTCCAGGTTTCTCTGGTGGTTTCTCTGCTCCAACACACTTGATTTAGTGGTTGAATCACCTGTGCAGCACCTCACCAGGCTCTGCAGAAGCCTGCTAATCACCTGCTGATTGAAATCAGGTGTGTTGAAGCAGAGTTAAAACTAAAACCTGCTGGATACTGGCCCTCCAGGACCAGGATTGGGCACCCCTGGGTTAACAGCTTTTTGAATCAAGATATTCAGCAGCATTTATCTTTGCAAAGCTAAGCTATTAACGATGCTGTTAGCTGTTGATTTGGTTTTTATTAAGCCCTTTGGCCAACAGAATGCCTTCATGAGTATAGAATGCTCGCTCACGGAAAATGCCCAATCTCATGGTTGCGTCATGGCAGCCCTCCGTATATTATATTTTTGGGAATTTTGTTGTATTTCCTTTTTATCTTTTATCTGTGTTCGACATGTTTGTATAACGCCGGTTTAATTAACCAACATTTTTAGTGTACAGCGCCTTGTTTGGTTGTAATGCCTTGTGAATGCGCTTCATAAATAAAATTGGATTGGATTGGATTGGATATTAAAGCAAGAATTTAGTCATTAGCTTAGCTACGGGAAAAATGTGGCAGTTCTGAGCCGCTTGCTCGCTCAGCTTTTAGGTCCAACGGGACGGAATAAACCTCTTCAGACCCCAAGGGTTGTCTGGAATTTCAGACCATGGAAACGACTTGCTTACGTTACGTTAAACAACTCATCAGCCTCCAACAGACGTAGACTTCTATGCCAGGGTATCCTACTGACCAGCCGAGCCGGATTCAAAAGGACCCACTACCGTTGAAGAAGATTCAGCTAGCTGGATCTCCCAGGAACCCTCATTCTCACCACTGGTATCGTAGGCTCTACACATTGGCGTTGGATGGGTTACGATTAATTTGATAACTAGTCAAACATCACTGAATTCAGCCCGATTATTCTTGTAGTTCCAGACTTCACATCTTTCCTAAGACACTTAATTAGATTCTTAATAACATCCAAGATCATTTTTCAGTAGTTTGGTTATTGTCTCAGTTGATATTACCTTAAATAATCATTTATCTACAGTTATTCTGTATAATCATTAAGCATTGAAATATAGTAATGAGTGGATTTTTATAAACTATATTTTTGCTTCTTTGTCAAATTATTGATGAGTGTTGGTTCTCTGACTACCCAAATTAACCATTTCCAGTGTCAATCGAATATTAAAGATTCAACAATATTGATAATTCATAGTTTTATTGAACATTAGATTTTGTTAAACACCTTATCTATTTTATTGACAGTTTATTAATTGTGACCACATATAAAATGTTACATATCCTTAATATTAACATGTTTTGTAATGTACTTCCTAAAGAAATTATGTTTTTTTTGTTGGCAAAACAGCTAAAGAAATTACATTAACACAGTCTGCTGCTGCTTCGTGACGCTATTTTGCATCTGCCTCCTGAACCCCAACCTGCACCTAAAGATATAGCCTATAGCTGTACTTTTAAGTGCAGATTATCCCAAATGAGGAGTTTTGATCAGTTTTTATGGCATTATTTGTTAAATTAAGTGATTCATGTTGTCAGTGTGTTAGAAAATCTAAATAATTCTAGAAAGCCTAAATATTTTAATCTTTGTAAATTCACCTCACAGCGGTAAAGTCCCATAGTAATCATCACACACTGGTGAAATTACATCTCTGCATCTGACCCATCCGCATGGGAGCGGTGAGCTGCAGCTTTGGCTGAGCTCAGGAGATATTTGGTGGTTTAAGCTTACCAATCCAACCCCTTAAAGGAGCGTGTCAAGCAGGTAGGCACTGGGTCCCATTTTTAAACTCTTTGGCACGACCCTACCGGGATTTGAACCTCAATGTCCCAGTCACAGGGCAGACACTCTACCTCTTGACCAGTGAGAAGTCATTCAGTTTGAAATGTAATTTCCTGTTTTCTGAGTCAGTTCTGTTCTCACCAACTTAAAGCAATAATACTACTGTTATATGTGTGAATGTGAAGTTCCATTCATCATTCATTCACATCGTGTTTGTGTTTCCTACAGATGTTAAACAGGTGGTGCTGGTTAAAGAAGAAGCTCCTGATGAGGACCAGCAGGACCCAGAACACCTCCACATAAAGGAGGAACAGGAGGAACTCTGGACTAGTCTGGAGGGAGAGCAGCTCCATCTGAAGGAGGAGACTGATGCTGCCAGGTTTCCATTCTCTGTAGTTACTGTAAAGAGTGAGGATGATGAAGAGAAACCTCTGATCTCACAGCTTCATCAGCAGCAGATAGAAGACAGAGATGTTCCAACCAGCAGCTCAGCTGACCAGATGACAGCAGAAACTGGTGGAGGAGCAGAGAGTAGCAGGAACGCTGATCTGAACCTTCATGAACAGACATCTGATTCTTCAGAGACTGAAGTTAGTGGAGATGATGAAGAGGATGATGAAGTGAATGTAGAATTTGAGCAGTCAGACTCTGGGTCTGAAACTGGAGACGAAGACTGTGACTGCACTAAGAACAGGCCTTCCGAGTCACATATTAGGACTGTCAACAAATCCTTTAACTGTCCGGAGTGTAGTAAACATGCGAGAGTGACAGGTCATTCACCGAAAATGTCTTCAAGTTGTTTGGTTAAAAAGAAATTTGTCAGAGTGAAGCAACATGTAGACTCATGCAGGAAGTTCCAGAAAGAGCTAAAATCATTTAGTTGTGATGACTGTGGAAAACAATTTAGTGTAAATTCAAATTTAAACAGTCACATGAGAGTCCACACAGGACAGAAGGCTTTTGTCTGTGAGGTCTGTGGTCAGAGCTTTAGACAAAAGTCAAATTTAAACAGTCACATGAGGGTCCACACAGGACAGAAGCCTTTTGTCTGTGAGCTCTGTGGTCAAAGATTTAGGATAAAGGTTACTTTAAGCAATCACATGAGAGTTCACACAGGACAGAAGCCTTTTGCCTGTGAGCTCTGTGGTCAAAGATTCACACACAAGGGACATTTAAACAGTCACATGAGAGTCCACACAGGACAGAAGCCTTTTGCCTGCGAGCTCTGTGGTCAAAGATTTGACCGTAAGAACACTTTAAACATTCACATGAGAGTTCACACAGGACAGAAGCCTTTCGCCTGTGAGCTCTGTGATCAAAGATTTAGCCAAAAGTCAAATTTAAACAGTCACATGATGGTCCACACAGGACAGAAGCCTTTTGTCTGTGAGCTCTGTGGAAAAAGATTTAGCCGTAAAGAAACTTTGAAACTACACATAAGAGTCCACACAGGAGAGAAACCTTTTGCCTGTGAGCTCTGTGGTCAAAGATTTAGAAGAAAGATTTCTTTAAGCAATCACATGAGAGTTCACACAGTACAGAAGCCTTTTGCCTGTGAGCTCTGTGGTCAAAGATTTAGCAAAAGGATTGCTTTAAACAGTCACATAATAGTCCACACAGGGCACAAGCCTTTTACCTGTGAGCTCTGCAGTCAACGCTTTGGCCGAAAGAAAACTTTAAACAATCACATGAGAGTCCACACAGGACAGAAGCCTTTTGCCTGTGAGCACTGTGGTCAAAGATTTGGCCGAAAGGCAACTTTAGACAATCACATAAGAATCCACACAGGAGAGAAACCTTTTGCCTGTGAACTCTGCGTGCAAAGATTTGGCCGTAAAGCAAGTTTAAATGATCACATGAGAGTTCACACAGGACAGAAGCCTTTTGCCTGTGAGCTCTGTGGTCAAAGATTTAGCCATAAGGGAACTTTAAATAGACACATAATAGCCCACACACGACAGAAGTCTTTTGCCTGTGAGCGATGTGGACAAAAATTTAGCCATAAGACATATTTAAATAATCACATGAAAGTCCACACAGGACACAATGAACAGGAGCCACAAAGGTGTGGTTCACTGAAAAAACAATATTTATTGATTATTTCTGGTAATAAATGGTCACAGTTTTTCATGCAGGGTGACAATGGCAATAACCTCCTACACGTATCTCCTGCATTAGCTTCTGATAAAAATGTTGAAAATAGACAGTGAAACTCTAGGATTTGAAATTCCCCAGAGATCTACATCACGCTGAGTTAGCATTCACAGACTCACCAATCTTGACTAAAAAGCTTTCCTAGATACAAATCTTGCACCCCTGGTTGTTGTCCTTTACCCTACTACCCACCTAAATCTGTAAATTAATCCCACAGAGAAGTGTAATTTCTCACAGACTGCGTAAAAACGATCAGCTGTAACTCTGTGTGCCGTTTGCTCCCACCGAACTGGGCTAAAGGGCTTTGGTTCACTCTGTTCCTTCTGCATGGAGCAGGCTGCAGGAAAACTGGAAATTAACCGAGGTTATCTCCTTGACTACATGTAAAACCAGACTAAGAACCCTTGAGAGGATTCCCCGAGTTGTAACTGCCTTCTGTAATTTTGTACATAACATGTAACTGTAACTTTGTAACTGTAACTTTTGCTGCCTCTTGGCTAGGACTCCCTTGAAAATTAGGTTTTTAATCCCAAAGAGACCTTCCTGGTTAAATAAAGAGTAAAATAAATAAATAAATAGATCATGGGCCACCTCTTCCTGTCATGGAAGCCACATATTGTTGCCACCAAGCTGTAAATGTTTCACTAAATCTGTTTCCATCAAGAGGCGTCACAGTATCGTAACACAGTGATGAGGTGCTGTCCTACGTTTTCACTTTTGGAGTGTTGCAGTGGCGAGAGTTGAGCATTGCACCTGTACTATGCTGTTAAATAGTTTGTATACTGTAGAAATAAATGTCTTACCAGTGGTTTGTACTTTTGGATGAATAAAAAATAAAGTTATATAAATTTAACTACAGATCTCTTCAGTTGTCTACAGACAACAATCACGCATTTCCTTTATTTTTCACACATTTTGCAGATTGAGTGTTTCCCATTTTTTTAGAGACTCTTGTTTTGTGTTTGAAACTGTCTTTTAGAAACGTTAACCTTACTGAGGCAACAGCAGTGAAGGCTGTCAATCAAAGAAAAGAAGACATTTCTGTCTTTCTGATTTAAATTAGGACTAAATAAATATGGTGGAGTCATCCTGGCATTACGCCCCAAAGCCCTTTGTGGTATGGCTTAAGAACCTGATTGTTTCCAGGTGGAGCTGGTCATTGGCTGGAGGCAGGTGTGGAGTAAGCTAACAGCAGGCTCAGTGAGAGAGACACGGTTGTGCAAAATAAAGCTACACATTTACTTAGACACCCATGAGTCTTCCCCTTTTGTTTGTTATGGCTTAGAGCCAGGTCTAACACTGGGGTCACCTGTTCCTGTGTGGAGGTGTTTCACTGATATGTGAAGATTGTCTGATTCCAGTCTGCTTAGAGGACACAGGCTTCCCAGAAAGATTATCAGAGACAGGTCGGGGTAAGGGAGAAGCCACCTCCATGACATCATTTAAAGCCAAATGCAACTTTTTCATGTTTTAAACCATTTTCTTATGTCAGTATGTGCTAAGATGACCCTTTAAACGGTCAATGTCACTCAGATCCCACCACCCTCTGGGGCCAGGACTGGAATAACAAATGCTTCTGCAGTAACATAAGTTGTGTGGAGGTACATGACCACGCACGGACCGGAGCGACTTTCATATGTGATCCCAAAACATGAGCTGATTGTCACGGTCAGACCTAGGAACGATCAGCCGGATCCAACAACTGCCATACAGCAGAGAACGCTTAAAACGTTTATTTAAAGGACTTGATATCGGGACCCGCTGGGGTCGGTTCCGGGCGGCGTGGCCTGGTAGACAGAAAACAGTCAACGAGGGAGATGGTTCAGATCACTTAATATGAACAGTGACGGACCTCGTAAAGCAGCAGCAGTGTTCTGTGGTGGGGACAGCTGATGAAGATGCAGGGACTAAGGCAATAGGCAGGTTCCGTGGTCAGACAGGCTGAGGTCGGGCAACAGGCAGGCAGACAGGTTCAAACGCTCAAAAGACTGTAACAGGGCAGCAGACAATCTCGCACTGAGCAGCAGGAGCCAGGTGCTTACATAGGGAGCAGCACAGGTGGAATTAATCAGCTAGATTAATTCCACCTGTGATGCCCCCCCCCCCCCCCCCCCCCCCCCAACGGGAGGCTTCAGACGACCATCTGGGCTGATCGGGGTGCAGACGGGATCTTCCGGCTCCTTTAACAGCTGGTTCATAAATGGTGATGCATCCCGAACCTCTGGTCGGGACGACTGATGATCCTTACACTGACGCACTTGAGCAAGGTCGGGATCACGGGCCTGACGTTCCATCCAGCTCCCCCCCGGTCCCTTCTGGCCTGTGCCACTCGAGCCACTTCATGGTCCTGCAACCGGGAGAGATCATCAGCGTTCTTATTTTGTACTCCTGGACGATATTTAATGGGATATTTGAAATTCGCCAACTGGGCTACCCATCGTTGTTCCACGGCTCCAAGCCGTGCAGTTTCAAGGTGCACCAAAGGGTTATTATATGTGAAAACTGTAAACTCAGCACCATACACATAGGGGATAGCTGTACTTTTAAGTGCAGATCATCCCAAATGAGGAACTATAATTTGGTCGTTGATGTCTGCTGGATGGAGACTACGACTGGCATAAGCAATCATCCGTTCTTTGCCTTCTTGGACCTGGGCCAAGATTCCCTCCGGACCAGAAAAACTGGCATCAGTGTACAACCTGAAAGGTTGTGAAAAATCGGACTAGGCCAGCACAGGTGCTTTGACTAAGGCCTCTTTCACCTTGTCGAACGAGCATTTACATTCTGGGGACCAAATGACAGGATTAGAGGAAAGAACCACCATAAATCTGGTCATGTGGTCAGTAGCAGCTACACTAGGGGGAGGAGATTATGTGGTGACGTCACATAGCCCACCATCACCTCCATCATAAAAAGGCCCAGCAGAGGATGAACTTCTTGTGGCAGCTGAAGAAATTCAACCTATCAGTACAGTCGATGAGGCAGTTCAGCACTGCAGTCATCGAGTCCATCCTCACCTCTTCCATCAGCGTGTGGTACGCTGGAGCCGCCATCAGGGACAAGAAGAGGCTGCAGCGTGTTGTACGCTCTGCTGAGAAGGTCATGGACACAGTCTCTTTGACTCCAGTCACCTGACCCTGTGCTGAAGCGATCAGCAACAAACTACCGTGTTCTGTCTTCCTCATGTCACACTGCAACCCAAACAAAAGCCTTTCACAAACCTGGAAGCCTACAACTGTTTTATTTCAGGTTAGTAAGTCAACATTTAGGATTATGCAGATATAATTTACCCAGCAATCAGGGTCAGTGAGCCTCTAGTCCAGCAGGTGGCGCTAGCGCACCTTTACGCTGGTCACGGACCACCGGAAGCAGCAGAAACCGGAAGCTGCTAGCAGAGCTAGCTTGTTGTTGTTGTGGTGTGTGAGGAGAAGATTTGAGGCTCTGCAGTAAAAACGTCTTCACTTCAGTCTCTGGGAGAGTTGATCAGCTAAAGCGACTAACTGCTGCTGCTGCAGAAATCTTCTCACCAGGCTGTGGAAACTTTCTTCTCCTCCTCAACAACTTGGTGGAGTTCTTTCCAGAAGCAGAGAAGCTATTCTGCGGTCTTCGTGACAATCGGAGCTCCAGAAGCAGGTGATGGGTGAGAAAAGCTTTTCTCTAGACTTCCTGCCCTCTGGGTCTGCTGCTGTTCCTTTGGCCTCTCTGAGAAACGCGCTCGTTTTGCTGCTTTCATCAGATTGAAGAGGTTCCCTCTATCAGACTCGCTCATCTGAGTTGGTCATGATGCAGGATCGCTGCTCGCTCTCTCATCCATCCTGCTCACACTCTCCGACGGAAAAGGCCCGAATCTGAATGTGACTCTGGAGGAAAAAGCGGTTAGCTCTACTCCGTGAACTCTGGTGAGCAAAGGTCATCTTTTCCAGACTGGATGTGTCCTCAGCTGATCAGAACCAAAGCGTTGGATCTTTAATCTCCTGCGTTGTTCTGAAGCAGCATCTTAATCAGCTCTCCTGCTTTGTTTCTATTGCAGCTGTTAGCTAAACACGGCTAAAGAAAACCTGCTACCACTTCAGGATCATCCATCAGCATGGACGCAGGTACTGGTGTGTGTGTGCGCGTGCGTCTGTGTGGTGGGGCGTGTGTGTGTGTGTGTGTGTGTGTGTGTGTGTGTGTGTGTGTGTGTGTGTGTGTGTGTGTGTGTGCGTGTGTGCTCTGTCCACTCGATCCCCAGTGACTCGTGGAGGATTGCTGTAAGGACTGACACTAGTCAGTGACACGATGCAACCTGCTGGGTTCCTTATATAGGAACCTTTACTGATTGGCTAACCGACCAACACCTAACCAACGTCACACCCGATCTCATAATGTACCAAATAGGAAACTTTCACCAGTAAAATGGTCTCTTTGGTCACTATTCACGTGTGTGGTGCTGGAAGGAGGAAGAATAAATGCAAACTGTTCTATTTTCCTCATCCACGACTCAGAATCAAGGTGCACCGAGCCTAATTTAGAACACGTCGCCTGTTTCCATCTGAAAAACTGCAGAGGAATGATTCAGGAACGAGCAGCTTGGAAAGTGAAAGTCGAACTCGTGGCTTGAGCCGATGAGCAGCGTGTGTTGTGGAGCTGACTCGGGCGGGGGTCTTCCTGTTATTATTTAAATAGAGCCCAAGACCGCACAGCCTCGGCAACGTGAAAGCATTGCGGTTTAGGGCCTGAAAGTGGAGGTTCGCGGGCCAATTCCGGACCACAGGCCACCTATTGAGGCACACTGCTCTAAAGTTTAGAACCAATCGTCACGAGCAGGTCAGCTAAGAGGAAGCAGAAGAAATTATCATTTCTATAGCGCCTCTCAAGATAAAAATCGTGAGGCGCTTCACAAAGACAAAAAAATTTAAAAATATAAAAAAGCATTTAGAAAATGGTTAAAAATATATTTAAAATGAGCAAAAATAGACAATTGTGATTAAAAAAAGTTAAGAAAGAGAGAGAGTGAACAGGAAAGAGGGAAATCAGTGGATCCTGAGGAAGGTGGAATAGGTGGGGAGAGCAGAATAAAGAGAGAGAGGTGAAGAAGGTCATACAAAAGCCAGCTTGAACAAGTGAGTCTTCAGCTGCTTTTTAAAGGAGACCACTGAGTCCACTGATCTCAGGCTCAGGGGGAGAGAGGTCCAGAGTCTGGGGGCCACAGCAGCAGATGATCTGTCACCTTTGGTCTTTAGCCTGGTGCTGCACAACCAGTAGGCTTTGATCACTGGACCTCAGGGACCTGCTGGGGGTGTAGGGACTAAGAAGATCACCAATGTAAGATGGTCCATGCTTTCGTTCTTTTTTAAACACAGAAACAGTTTTGTTTACCTGTTTGTAGCTACAGCGTCAGCCTGAAGAAGCCGGCAGCCGTCGGCGAAACTGTAGCTACAAACAGGTAAACAAAACTGTTTCTGTGTTTAAAAAAGAACGAAAGCATGGATTTAGAAAGACACAGCAAGAACACACCTAAAATGTAAGATGGTGCTTGTCCATGTAAGGCCCTATAGAAAGCTCCCACCATCCAGGTTTTGATAGAGTCTAAGCAGGAGTGTAACAGCTGCAGCTTAGACATCTCATAGGGCTTAAAGAATCAGAATCAGAATAAGCTTTATTGCCAGCGCTCCAGCGACCCAGAGCATAGGAACTTGACTCCGCGAACACAACCTGACCAAGGTTAAAAACACACACGTGTAGACAAAACAGGTACAGGCAGTCCACGAGAGCAGCCACAACAGCGCTCAGATGTACAGTTGGATGTCATCTGCATAAAGATGGTAGGACATTCCTTTGAAGGAGCTCAGGATGTGCTGAAGAGGAAGCAGATAGAGGAGGAAGAGTAGAGGCCCCAGCACAGAACCTTGTGGGACACCATGGGTAAGAGAGGTGGTGGAGGACCTAAACTTGGAGACGGCCACAGAAAAGAAGCGCTCAGAGAGATAAGATGAGAACCACTCCAGAGCAGTTCCTGATAGGCCTACCCAGTCTCTCAGCCTCTCCAGTAGCAGGTGATGGTCAACAGTGTCGAAGGCTGCAGTCAGGTCCAGCAGGACCAGAACAGAACAGTCCCCTGCATCACTGTGAGTCAGAAGGTCATTAGAGACCCTAAGAAGAGCTGTTTCAGTAGAATGAGCTCTACGAAAACCTGACTGGAAGCTATCATAGATGTTATGTTCATCAAGAGCAGCTGTGAGTTGTTTAGCCACAACCTTTTCCAAGATCTTGGAGATGAACGGAAGTTTAGAGATGGGTCTGAAGCTGCTGTGGAGAGAGGGGTCGAGACTCGGTTTTTTAAGAAGCGGGTGGATTACAGCGTTCTTAAAGTAAGCAGGGACCTGACCAGAGACCAGAGAAGCATTAATTATAGAGAGCACGCTGGGACCGATGGACTGAAAAGCACTTTTAAACAAAGATGAGCGTAAGATGTGGAGGGGGCATGCAGAGGTCTTCATAGAGTTAACTAGTTTGGTTAACTCAGGCAAAGAAACAGGAGCAAAGCTATCTAGGATGATGGGCCTGGTTGGAGTCGGGAGAGGCGGCGATAAGGCTGAAGGAGAGATGCTAGATCTAACCTTATTGACTTTGTCCACAAAGAAAGACAGAAAGTTCTCACAGTCTGCAACAGAGTGGATGGAGGCTGTAGGAGAGGCAGGAGAGACGATGCTGCTGATGGTGTTAAACAGCACCTTGGGGTTCCCTTTGCTCTGGGACAGCAGGTTGGAAAAATAGGAAACACTCGTGTCTCTGACTGCAGAGTTAAAGGATGTCAGAAGATCCTTTAGGTGCAGCAGATGGACGTGGAGATGGGTTTTCTTCCACAAACTCTCAAATTTTCTGCACTGGCGCTTCAGGCTGTGAAGGCTGTCATTAAACCAGGGAGTAGGGTTCACTGCAGGAACTGATCTGGTTCTGACAGGACAGATGTTGTCCAGAATGGAGAGGCAGTGCTCGTTAAACTGAGAAGTTAAGGAATCTGGGTCGTTATCAGAAGAACAGGGTGGATCAACAGCAGCAGAAAAATTGCTAGCTGTGCTCTCATTAAGAAAACAAGAACTAACCATACGGCGAGCAGGAGGTGGGGACGCAGAAACTGACAAGTTAAAGAAAATGCAATGGTGATCTGAAATATAAATGTCCTCAGGACAAACACTGTCAGCATTTAGACTCAGGGTAAAAACAAGGTCTAGAGTGTGCCCCCTGGTGTGTGTGGGGCCAGAAACATGCTGGGTAAAGCTGAAGGAGTCCATAAGGCTGGAGAAATTCATGGCAAAGAGATCGGAGGGATCATCAACGTGGATGTTAAAGTCACCCACAATCACCAGTCTGGACAGCTTCACAGTGGAGGATAGAAAGTCACTAAACTCCTGAAGGAAAGAACCGTTTGGACCAGGTGGACGATAGACCACAGCACAGTAGAACGGGTCCTTACGCCCGACTTTAATCAGCTGCAGTTCAAAGGAAGCAAAGTGACCAGAGGTTGTGGAGCTACATGGAAGATGGTCTCTGAAAACAACAGCTAGGCCTCCACCACGACCAGAACCCCGGGGCTGGCTAAGAAAAGAATAACCACTCGGGCAGAGTTCAATCAGACCAGAATAATCAGATGTTTGCTGCCAAACTTCAGTCAGAAACAGAAAATCCAGGTTTTTAGAGAGAATTAGATCATTGAGCAGGAAGGTCTTATTGTTAACAGAGCGGGTGTTTAATAGAGCCATGCTGAGTGAGGTGGAGGAATCAGAAACTACAGAAACAGCTGGAGTTAGTGGATGTAAATTAGCAGGGTTAGATCCACGGTGTTTATAAAAACCACTTATGGAGGGAACAGGCGGAGAAACCACTGAAGAATGAGGATAAGCCGACCTTAAAAAACTTGGACTGAGAAACCGGGCTGCAACGCGGCCTGGTGGGAATGCGGAAGTGGCGCTCAAGTCGCCAAACAAGGGAAGAGAAGCTAGAAGATCACGCCGATGTTTACTAGATAAACCACGCTTTAAGAGAAGTCTTATTCTCACCTGGATTCCTGCTCGTTTACCTCTTTTCCTCCGACGTTTTCTCGGGACCAGATAAAACTCGCTGGAGGCGCCCTGGTTGGAATCATTGTTTGGCTCCGGGTCAGTGCGCCACTCAGATAAAAGAGCAGGGAGGTACATCCTCAGTGCATCTTAGGCGATAGTGAACGAACAGAAGGACAAAAGTGTCTGGCCATCATAGGAGATGGTAGCAGGGACACTACTGAAGAGGATCGCAGACAGGAGCAAGGTGGAAAAGAGGAGGATAGTGGAGAAAAGTTTATAAAAGTGGCCGGTGACTGCGGCTAAGCCAAGCACAGGCGCCATCTCGTTACCGACCGGAAAAAATATAATAATAATAAAAATGGTAATGCTAATGCTAGCAGCTAGCATGTTCAGAATGAAGTTGATCCTGAAACTAAGGGGACGAAAAATCCCCAAATATTATTAGCATGTCCTGTAGCTTCCTAACGAGCTCACACACTTGTTCTGAGCATTTATTTAGACGTGCACTTTCAAGAAAAGTGAGTGACCTTAATACCACCTAAATGCTTATTTATATATAAGTGAAAGTTATACAATAAATATTAATATACACATCAGCTGGGATACAGGATCCAGAAAACACCAATGTTATCGATCCTTTTCTAGTAAGACTCTGGCATTTTAGATGGGCCATTTTGGGGTTTTACTTAATCTTTTTAGCAGCTGAACACAGTCTGGTTGGACAGCTGTGGCAGATGTGTGGCTCCATGTTCACGTTTGGAACGATTTACCGTCAGCAATAAAACTTAGAAAGAATCTAGAACGTTTAGATCCAGGTGAAAACATGACTGAATCAAAGACATTTGTTTATATTAGTGTGTGTGTGTGTGTGTGTGTGTGTGTGTGTGTGTGTGTGTGTGTCTCTCTCTGTTTGTGTGTGTGTGTGTGTGTGCTTATGGTTTGCGAGACCTATTTGCCAGGTTACACACCAGCATTATGAAACCAATAGGTTTATGAGACCATTTTTGATGGTCTTGTAATTCATGACTTTTAACTTGTTGTAATCTTTGAAAAATATAAAAAGTAAACGTTGTTAATATATTATTACAATCTTTGTAACAACCATTATCATTTTATTTAGTTATTTTAGCAACTTAAACTTCCTTTTTGTGTTTTATAGGCAGTTTAAAAATTGGTTTCGTAAACCATATCATGTGTTGTGTAAATTTTCAGAGTCCCCTGCTGGTAGAAGACTGCATAGCAGGGCTGATACAACCGATACAGGAAAACTAAGAATAAGATGTTCGAACAAACTGTAGCTATTAATTGGTAAGGGACTGATTAATAAGTCCGAATGAAAAATGGTTGCTACTCCTCCTCCTCACCCTGTACTTCGAGCAATATGATGATTTAAATAATTTGAAGGAGTCGACTCGTTTAAGCTAACATAGTCCTCTTGCTGCAGCCAGGATTCTGTGAGAGAGAGCAAAGAGATCTGATTATCACAAATCAAGTCATTAACTAACAAAGTCTTAGAAAAAATGGATCTAATGTTCAACAACCCACATTTAATTTTTCTAGTTTTCTGCTCAGTTGAATTTGTTCTAATATTTATGAGATTTCCATGATTTGCTTTATTAAGCCTGATATTTAATCTGTGTGATTTTGGCCGTGGGCAGGACACTGTCTCTATGGGGTAGTGGGTGGGTAACAGTACAGAAGCTGCAGAAGGGTGGGTTAAACTACGACTCTGCTTCCTGGTCTGGACCCTGGGTAGTCATGGAGGACTAATAAAACTGGCCATGTTCCTAGAAAGAAGAGCTGCTCCATCCAAAGAGGGATGGATGCTGTCTCTCTGCATCAGACCAGGTTTTCCCCAAAAAGTTTTCCAATTATCAATGTAGCCCACGTTGTTTTCAGGACACCACCTAGACAGCCAGCGGTTGAAGGACAGCATGCGGCTAAACATGTTGTCACTGGTCCGATCAGGCAGGGGGCCAGAGAAAATTACGGAGTCCGACATTGTTTTGGCAAACTTACATATCGAAGCAACATTAATTTTAGTGACCTCCGATTAGCGTAACCGGGTGTCGTTACCGCCAGCGTGAATAACAATTTTACTGTATTTACGCTTATCCTTAGCCAGCAGTTTCAGATAAGATTTAATGTCGCCCGCTCTGGCCCCAGGTAAACATTTAACTATGGTTGCTGGAGCCTCTAATGCCACGTTTCTGACTATGGAGCTGCCAATGATCAGAGTCGGCTTGTCAGTGGGTGCGTCACTGAGCGGGGAAAATCTATTAGAAACGTGGACGGGTTGGTGGTGGCCCACGGACTGGGTTCTATTCTTCCTGCGTACCGTCACCCAGCCGGCCCGAGGTCCCGGCTGCTCGGGTTCTGCTGGAGGATCGCTACGGGGTGGTTCTGAGCTAGTTAGCCCCGCGCTAGCTAAGTAGCTACGGCTGTTTACGGGTTTTTCAACAGCGCAGAGCCGGGACTCCAATTCCGACACCCTCGCCTCCAAAGCTACAAAAATGCTACATTTATTACACGTACCATTATCACTAAAGGAGGCAGAGGAGTAACTAAACATCTGACACAGAGAGCAAGAGATAGGAGACGGAGAAGCAGAGACAGAAGTAGCCATAGTCGTGCTGAGGCTAAGCTAACTGGACGAGCAAACTGTTCAACACCAAATAAACTGCGTGCAAACTCAAATGGTTCCCTAAAAGCTAGGTGGAACAACAGAAAATGTGTGTTTTAGCGTGCTTTAGTGCTACAATAACTCAGAGATATCCCAGTACAGAGAAATTAAATCAGCTTTAGCGAGCACCAAACACCAAACAGCTACACGGAGTGCAACACTGAAAACAGGAAACGCCTTACCGCCAGGTGCAGCCAATCAGTCCAGGTTTCTCTGGTGGTTTCTCTGCTCCAACACACTTGATTCAGTGGTTGAATCACCTGTGCAGCACCTCACCAGGCTCTGCAGAAGCCTGCTACTCACCTGCTGATTGAAATCAGGTGTGTTGAAGCAGAGTTAAAACTAAAACCTGCTGGATACTGGCCCTCCAGGGCCAGGATTGGGCACCCCTGGGTTAACAGCTTTTTGAATCAAGATATTCAGCAGCATTTATCTTTGCAAAGCTAAGCTATTAACGATGCTGTTAGCTGTTGATTTGGTTTTTATTAAGCCCTTTGGCCAACAGAATGCCTTCATGAGTATAGAATGCTCGCTCACGGAAAATGCCCAATCTTATGGTTGCGTCATGGCAGCCCTCCGTATATTAAAGCAAGAATTTAGTCATTAGCTTAGCTACGGGAAAAATGTGGCAGTTCTGAGCCGCTTGCTCGCTCAGCTTTTAGGTCCAACGGGACGGAATAAACCTCTTCAGACCCCAAGGGTTGTCTGGAATTTCAGACCATGGAAACGACTTGCTTACGTTACGTTAAACAACTCATCAGCCTCCAGCAGACGTAGACTTCTATGCCAGGGTATCCTACTGACCAGCCGAGCCGGATTCAAAAGGACCCACTACCGTTGAAGAAGATTCAGCTAGCTGGATCTCCCAGGAACCCTCATTCTCACCACTGGTATCGTAGGCTCTACACATTGGCGTTGGATGGGTTACGATTAATTTGATAACTAGTCAAACATCACTGAATTCAGCCCGATTATTCTTGTAGTTCCAGACTTCACATCTTTCCTAAGACACTTAATTAGATTCTTAATAACATCCAAGATCATTTTTCAGTAGTTTGGTTATTGTCTCAGTTGATATTACCTTAAATAATCATTTATCTACAGTTATTCTGTATAATCATTAGGCATTGAAATATAGTAATAAATGGATTTTTATAAACTATATTTTTGCTTCTTTGTCAAATTATTGATGAGTGTTGGTTCTCTGACTACCCAAATTAACCATTTCCAGTGTCAATCGAATATTAAAGATTCAACAATATTGATAATTCATAGTTTTATTGAACATTAGATTTTGTTAAACACCTTATCTATTTTATTGACAGTTTATTAATTGTGACCACTTATAAAATGTTACATATCGTTAATATTAACATGTTTCGTAATGTACTTCCTAAAGAAATTATGTTTTTTTGTTGGCAAAACAGCTAAAGAAATTACATTAACACAGTCTGCTGCTGCTTCGTGACGCTATTTTGCATCTGCCTCCTGAACCCCAACCGTGCACCTAAAGATATAGGCTATAGCTGTACGTTTAAGTGCAGATTATCCCAAATGAGGAGTTTTGATCAGTTTTTATGGCATTATTTGTTAAATTAAGTGATTCATGTTGTCAGTGTGTTAGAAAATCTAAATAATTCTAGAAAGCCTAAATATTTTAATCTTTGTAAATTCACCTCACAGCGGTAAAGTCCCATAGTAATCATCACACACTGGTGAAATTACATCTCTGCATCTGACCCATCCGCATGGGAGCGGTGAGCTGCAGCTTTGGCTGAGCTCAGGAGATATTTGGTGGTTTAAGCTTACCGATCCAACCCCTTAAAGGAGCGTGTCAAGCAGGTAGGCACTGGGTCCCATTTTTAAACTCTTTGGCACGACCCTACCGGGATTTGAACCTCAATGTCCCAGTCACAGGGCAGTCACTCTACCTCTTGACCAGTGAGAAGTCATTCAGTTTGAAAAGTAATTTCCTGTTTTCTGAGTCAGTTCTGTTCTCACCAACTTAAAGCAATAATACTACTGTTATATGTGTGAATGTGAAGTTCCATTCATCATTCATTCACATCGTGTTTGTGTTTCCTACAGATGTTAAACAGGCGGTGCTGGTTAAAGAAGAAGCTCCTGATGAGGACCAGCAGCACCCAGAACACCTCCACATAAAGGAGGAACAGGAGGAACTCTGGACCAGTTTGGAGGGAGAGCAGCTCCATCTGAAGGAGGAGACTGATGTTGCCAGGTTTCCATTCTCTGTAGTTACTGTAAAGAGTGAGGATGATGAAGAGAAACCTCTGATCTCACAGCTTCATCAGCAGCAACTACAAGACAGAGATGTTCCAACCAGCAGCTCAGCTGACCAGATGACAGCAGAAACTGGTGGAGGAGCAGAGAGTAGCAGGAACGCTGATCTGAACCTTCATGAACAGACATCTGATTCTTCAGAGACTGAAGTTAGTGGAGATGATGAAGAGGATGATGATGTGAATGTAGAATTTGAGCTGTCAGACTCTGGGTCTGAAACTGCAGACGAAAACTGTGACTGCACTAAGAACAGGCCTTCCGAGTCACATATTAGGACTGTCAACAAATCCTTTAACTGTCCTGAGTGTGGTAAACATGTGAGAGTGACAGGTCATTCACCAAAAATGTCTTCAAGTTGTTTGGTTAAAAAGAAAAGTGTCAGAGTGAAGCAACATGTAGACTCATGCAGGAAATTCCAGAAAGAGCTAAACTCATTTAGTTGTGATGACTGTGGAAAACAATTTAGTGTAAATTCAAATTTAAACAGTCACATGAGGGTCCACACAGGACAGAAGCCTTTTGTCTGTGAGCTTTGTGGTCAGAGATTTAGACAAAAGTCAAATTTAAGCAGTCACATGATGGTCCACACAGGACAGAAGCCTTTTGTCTGTGAGCTCTGTGGTCAAAGATTTATAACAAAGGTTACTTTAAGCAGTCACATGAGAGTTCACACAGGACAGAAGCCTTTTGCCTGTGAGCTCTGTGGGAAAAGATTCAGACACAAGGGACATTTAAAGAGTCACATGAGAGTCCACACAGGACAGAAGCCTTTCGCCTGTGAGCTCTGTGAACAAAGATTTAGCCAAAAGTCAAATTTAAACAGTCACATGATGGTCCACACAGGACAGAAGCCTTTTGTCTGTGAGCTCTGTGGAAAAAGATTTAGCCGTAAAGAAACTTTGAAACTACACATAAGAGTCCACACAGGAGAGAAACCTTTTGCCTGTGAGCTCTGTGGTCAAAGATTTAGAAGAAAGATTTCTTTAAGCAATCACATGAGAGTTCACACAGTACAGAAGCCTTTTGCCTGTGAGCTCTGTGGTCAAAGATTTAGCAAAAGGATTACTTTAAACAGTCACATAATAGTCCACACAGGGCACAAGCCTTTTACCTGTGAGCACTGTAGTCAACGCTTTGGCCGAAAGAAAACTTTAAACAATCACATGAGAGTCCACACAGGACAGAAGCCTTTTGCCTGTGAGCACTGTGGTCAAAGATTTGGCCGAAAGGCAACTTTAGACAATCACATAAGAATCCACACAGGAGAGAAACCTTTTGCCTGTGAGCTCTGCGAGCAAAGATTTGGCCGTAAGGCAAGTTTAAATGATCACATGAGAGTTCACACAGGACAGAAGCCTTTTGCCTGTGAATTCTGTGGTCAAAGATTTAGCCATAAGGGAACTTTAAATAGACACATAATAGCCCACACACGACAGAAGTCTTTTGCCTGTGAGCGATGTGGACAAAAATTTAGTCATAAGACATATTTAAATAATCACATGAAAGTCCACACAGGACACAATGAACAGGAGCCACAAAGGTGTGGTTCACTGAAAAAACAATATTTATTGATTATTTCTGGTAATAATTGGTCACAGTTTTTCATGCAGGGTGAAAATGGAAATAACCTCCTACACGTATCTCCTGCATTAGCTTCTGATAAAAATGTTGAAAATAGACAGTGAAACTCTAGGATTTGAAATTCCCCAGAGATCTACATCACGCTGAGTTAGCATTCACAGACTCACCAATCTTGACTAAAAACTTTCCTTGTAGTTTGTACATCCTAGATACAAATCTTGCACCCCTGGTTGTTGTCCTTTACCCTGCTACCCACCTAAATCTGTAAATTAATCCCACAGAGAAGTGTAATTTCTCACAGACTGCGTAAAATCGATCAGCTGTTACTCTGTGTGCCGTTTGCTCCCACCGAACTGGGCTAAAGGGCTTTGGTTCACTCTGTTCCTTCTGCATGGAGCAGGCTGCAGGAAACCTGGAAATTAACCGAGGTTATCTCCTTGACTACATGTAAAACCAGACTAAGAACCCTTGAGAGGATTCCCTGTGTTGTAACTGCCTTCTGTAATTTTGTTACTTTGTAACTGTAACTTTTGCTGCCTCTTGGCTAGGACTCCCTTGAAAATTAGGTTTTTAATCCCAAAGAGACCTTCCTGGTTAAATAAAGAGTAAAATAAATAAATAAATAGATCATGGGCCACCTCTTCCTGTCCTGGAAGCCACATATTGTTGCCACCAAGCTGTAAATGTTTCACTAAATCTGTTTCCATCAAGAGGCGTCACAGTATCGTAACACAGTGATGAGGTGCTGTCCTACGTTTTCACTTTTGGAGTGTTGCAGTGGCGAGAGTTTAGCATGGCATCTATACTATGCTGTTAAATAGTTTGTGTAGTGTAGAAATAAATGTCTTACCAATGGTTTGTACTTTTGGATAAATAAAAAATAAAGTTGTATAAATTTAACTACAGATCTCTTCAGTTGTCTACAGACAACAATCACGCATTTCCTTTATTTTTCACACATTTTGCAGATTGAGTGTTTCCCATTTTTTAGAGACACTTGTTTTGTGTTTGAAACTGTCTTTTAGAAACGTTAACCTTACTGAGGCAACAGCAGTGAAGGCTGTCAATCAAAGAAAATAAGACATTTCTGTCTTTCTGATTTAAATAAAAACATAAAACACGTTAGAATAAGGACAGAGGATGCTATAACAGCATTTTGTAATGACTTGTTGAAGGAGAACTGGAGTGGGGTTTATGTGAAGGATGTGAACGTGGCATATGATACGTTCTTAAAAACATATAAATCTTTATATGATAAGAACTGCCCTGTAGTTGTCTGTAGAAAAAAGATAAATATGAATGTAGAACCGTGGTTAACTAAGGGACTACTAAAATCTTGTAAAAGGAAAAACAAATTATACAGGTGCTGGCCAGTAAATTAGAATATCATCAAAAGGTTGAAAATATTTCAGTAATTCCATTCAAAACGTGAAACTTGTACATTATATTCATGCAATGCACACAGACCAATGTATTTCCGATGTTTATTACGTTTAATTTTGATATTTATAGGTGACAACCAATGAAAACATCAAATCTGGTATCTCAGAAAATTAGAATATTCTAAAGGCCAATGAAAAAATGTTTGTTTCTCTAATGTTGGCCAACTGAAAAGAATGAACATGAAAAGAATGTGCATGTATAGCACTCAATACTTAGTCGGGGCTCCTTTTGCCTCAATAACTGCAGTAATGCGGCGTGGCATGGACTCGATCAGTCTGTGGCACTGCTCAGGTGTTATGAGAACCCAGGTTGCTCTGATAGTCGTCTTCAGCTCCTCTGCATTGTTGGGTCTAGCGTATAGCATCCTCCGCTTCACAATACCCCATAGATTTTCTATGGGGTTAAGGTCAGGCGAGTTTGCTGGCCAATCAAGGACAGGGATACCATGGTCCTTGAACCAGGTGCTGGTGGTTTTGGCACTGTGTGCAGGTGCCAAGTCCTGTTGAAAGGTGAAGTCTGCATCCCCATAAAGTTGGTCAGCAGCAGGAAGCATGAAGTGCTCTAAAACTTCCTGGTAGACGGCTGCATTGACCCTGGACCTCAGGAAACAGAGTGGGCCAACACCGGCAGATGACATGGCACCCCACACCATCACTGACGGTGGAAACTTTACACTGGACCTCATGCAACGTGGATTCTGTGCTTCTCCGCTCTTCCTCCAGACTCTGGGTCCTTGATTTCCAAAGGAAATGCAGAACTTGCTTTCATCAGAAAACATAACTTTGGACCACTCAGCATCAGTCCAGTCCTTTTTGTCCTTGGCCCAGGCGAGACGCTTCTTGCGCTGTTTCATGTTCAAGAGTGGCTTGACACACGGAATGCGACACCTGAATCCCATGTCTTTCATGAGTCTCCTCGTGGTGGTTCTTGAAGCGCTGACTCCAGCTGCAGTCCACTCTTTGTGGATCTCCCCCACATTTTTGAATGGGTTTGTCGTCACAATTCTCTGCAGGGTGCGGTTATCCCTAGAGCTTGTACACTTTTTTCTACCACATTTTTTCCGTCCCTTCGCCTGTCTGTTAATGTGCTTGGACACAGAGCTCTGCGAACAGCCAGCTTCTTTAGCAATCACCTTTTGTGTCTTGCCCTCCTTGTGCAAGGTGTCAATGATTGTCTTTTGGACAGCTGTTAAGTCAGAAGTCTTCCCCATGATTGTGGTGCCTTCAAAACAAGACTGAGGGACCTTTTAAAGGCCTTTGCAGGTGTTTTGAGTAAATCAGCTGATTAGAGTGGCAGCAGGTGTCTTCTATATTCAGCCTTTTCAGAATATTCTAATTTTTTGAGATACCAAATTTGGAGTTTTCATTAGTTGTCACTTATGAATATCAAATTTAAATGTAATGAACATTGGAAATACATTGGTCTGTGTGCATTGCATGAATATAATGTACAAGTTTCACGTTTTGAATGGAATTACTGAAATATTTTCAACCTTTTGATGATATTCTAATTTACTGGCCAGCACCTGTACAGAGATTTTGTCAGATACCGAACCAAAGCCACAGAAATGAAGTACAAGATATACAAAAATAAATTGACATTATTAATAAGACAAGCAAAAAAAGACCATTATAATTTAAGGCTGAAGGAAAGCATTGGTGACATGAAAAGAACATGGAGAATTCTGAATAGTGTCATAAGAGCCAGGTCTCAGCATGCCCGTTATCCAGATTTTTTACTAACGGAGATAAGATCTTGAGGGATAAAGCTGAGGTGGTAAATTAACTTAATTCATTTTTTGTAAACATAGGACCAAGTTTGGCCAAATCTCTGGAAACACAAACTAATGAACCTGGAAAAATACAAGGATGGAGCAAAATTTTACAGTCTGTTTTTAGGGGATGTAAGTGAAAATGAAGTTTTGACGATAGTTAGGAAAAGTAAAAATAAAACATCCACAGACTGTGACGAGATTGACATGATGATTGTAAAGAAAACTATTGATTATGTTGTTAAACCATTCACTTATATCTGTAATTTGTCTGTTCAGAGTGGTACATTTCCAGGAAAAATGAAAACTGCAAAAGTAATTCCAATTTTTAAAAATGGTGATAGACATAAGTTTGATAATTATAGACCAATCTCAGTGCTTTCTCAGTTTTCTAAAGTGCTTGAGAAATGGTTTGTTCAGAAACTAGATAACTTTATTGAGAAGGAAAACCTCCTGAGTGAGAGTCAGTATGGGTTTCGATCACATAAATCTACATCCCTGGCTTTATTGGAATTAAATGAAGAACTTTCATCAGCAATAGAAAAAAAACAATATACAGTGGGGTTGTTTATTGATTTAAAAAAGGCATTTGACACAATAGATCACAGTATTTTACTCTCCAAGATGAAGGATTATGGGATACGTGGAATCGCCCATGACTGGTTAAGTAGTTATTTGACCAATAGAAATCCTTGAACCGTCACCTTATCGTGGTGGAGGAGTTTGAGTGCTCTAATGATCCTAGGAGCTATGTTGTCTGGGGCACTTAGTGCCCCTGGTAGGGTCTCCCATGACAAATTGGTCTTAGGTGAAGGGTGAGACAAAGAACGGTTCGAAGGATCTTTCATGGCGGTTAAAACGAAGAGTCGGAGTACCCGGCCCGGAGGGTTACCGGGGTCCCACCCTGGAGCCAGGCCTGGGGTTGGGGCCCGTGAGCGAGCGCCTGGTGGCCGGGCTTTCGCCCATGGGGCCCGGCCGGGCCCAGCCCGAACCGGATACATGGGCTCGTCCAACTGTGGACCCACCACCCGCAGGAGGAACATGAAGGGTCCGGTGCAATGTGAATCGGGTGGCAGACCAAGGCGGGAGCCTTGGCGGTCCAATCCCCGGACAAGAAAACTAGTTTTTGGGACATGGAACGTCACCTCGCTGGCGGGGAAGGAGCCGGAGCTTGTGGCAGAGGTTGAGCGGTACCGGCTAGATATAGTCGGACTCACCTCGACACATAGCATTGGCTCTGGAACCCGAGACCTGGAGAGGGGTTGGACACTCTACTTTGCTGGAGTTGCTCCGGGTGAGAGGCGGAGGGCTGGGGTTGGCTTTTTGTTAGCCCCGAGACTCTCTGCCTGTGTGTTGGGGTTTACCCCGGGGGACAAGAGGGTAGCTTCCTTGCGCCTTCGGGTCGGGGAACGGGTCCTGACTGTTGTTTGTGCTTATGGGCCAAATATCAGTTCAGAGTACCCACCCTTTTTGGAGTCCCTGGGACGAGTGCTAGATAGTGCTCCATCAGGGGACTCCATTGTCCTGCTGGGGGACTTCAATGCTCACGTGGGCAATGACAGCTTGACCTGGAGGGGTGTGATTGGGAGGAACGGCCCACCTGATCAGAACTCGAGCGGTGTTTTGTTATTGGACTTCTGTGCAAGCCGCAGTTTGGCCATAACGAACACCATGTTCGAACATAAGGATGCCCACCGGTACACTTGGTACCAGGGCAGCCTAGGTCACAGGTCGATGATAGATTTTGTAGTCGTATCATCTGACCTGCGGCCGTATGTTTTGGACACCCGAGTGAAGAGAGGGGCGGAGCTGTCAACTGATCACCACCTGGTGGTGAGTTGGATCAGATGGCAAGGGAACATGCCGCGTAGACCTGGCAGACCCAAACGCATAGTGAGGGTCTGCTGGGAACGCCTGGCAGAAGAACCTGTCAAGACGGTCTTCAACTCCCACCTCCGGCAGAGCTTTGACCACGTCCCGAGAGCAGTGGGTGACATTGAGTCCGAGTGGGCCTTGTTCCACTCTGCGATTGTCGAGGCGGCTGTTGCTAGCTGTGGTCGTAAGGTGGCCGGTGCCAGTCGTGGTGGCAACCCCCGTACCCGCTGGTGGACACCAGAGGTTCGGGGAGCCGTCAGGCTGAAGAAGGAGGCCTACAGGGCGTGGCTGGTCTGTGGGTCTCCGGAGGCAGCAGACAGGTACCGGATAGCCAAGCGGGGTGCAGAAGTGGCAGTTGCCGAGGCAAAATCTCGGGCGTGGGAGGAGTTTGGTGAGGCCATGGAGAAAGACTATCGATCGGCTCCAAAGAGGTTCTGGCAAACTGTCCGGCGCCTCAGGAGAGAAAGGCAGCAACTCGCTCACACTGTTTACAGTGGGGATGGGGAGCTGCTGACGTCAACTGAGGCTATAGTCGGACGGTGGAAGGAATACTTTGAGGATCTCCTCAATCCCACCAATGCGCATTCCGAGGAGGAACCAGAGCTGGGAGGCCTGGGGATGGACTGTCCGATCTCGGGGGCAGAAGTTGCTGAGGTAGTCAAACAACTACACAGCGGCGGAGCCCCGGGGGCGGATGAGGTTCGTCCTGGGTATCTCAAGGCTATGGATGTTGTAGGGCTGTCATGGTTGACACGTCTCTACAACATTGCGTGGTCATCGGGGGCAGTTCCTAGGGAGTGGCAGACCGGGG